CTTTTTTCCATTTACTGGGAATACTGCCCTCTTTATAACTAATATTAAAGAGGTCTAAAAGTGGGCTTTTCGTCATAGTGGCAAGTTCATTAAGTATTTCATAAGTAACTCCATCCTCCCCAGGTGCGGTAGATTTCCCAACTTTAATCGCCGTTATTAGTTCTTCTCTGGTAATACCTGTGCAAGTGACATCACCACTGTTACCTGCTATAAGTATAAAATCCTTTCTTAGATCTTTCCAAGAATCTAATGACTCTCTCGTTACAGCGGGTAATGAACTAAGTTTGGCAGCTTCCGCCCATTTATTTACGAGCTCATTTGCAATTCCTTGCGGGTCTGGATGTGCAACAAAATTGTGCTTTTTACCCCTTATTTTATTTACGTCTTGCCAGATTTCCTTCAAGTTTCTGTTACTCCCAACTTTCTCTGCAAATTCCTGCCAATACTTGCTCCTAATTTCCTTTCTCTTCTCCCCACACAGCCTAGCAACTGCCAGTAAAGCATTCTTCCCTTCCTCAGTCCTACCATTCCTATTCCAATCCCTGTGAGCTCTCCTCATTGTTAATGTCCACCCCTTAAGCATCTTGTCATGTGTATAATTTTCTTTTCTGGGGGGATGCCTTTTTATACTAGATGGTTTCCGGTTCAATGTTGCATTAAATACATCTACCTCCTTAATTAAATCTTCATAAAATGCTTCTGCCGAAACCGGCTTATAAGTATCATACCAAGACTTAATATGGCCGACAAGACCCCTTAATTCTCCCTCATTAAACTTTAACCTTTTCCTCTGAAGGCAGGCATGCTTTTTATCTAGTTTAAGCTGTATTTGTAATGCAAAATGATCACTTAGCATTTCATCCACAGTAAGACAATTCCCCTCTATGCCCTCAGCATTTATTAAACAAGCATAATCTAATCTCCCTCCCCTCAAATGAGTAGGAGAGGGCTCGCCCAGCAGTTGAACATCTTCATGTTCCTGCAAAAACTGGTACCATCTGCAACCATTCCTATTTGCTTTACCCCTTGATCCTAAAGCTGGATGTCTGGCATTAAAATCCCCTACCACAAGTGTATCTTCAGAAAAGAAGGAATCTGGCAAGTATCGTAAATCAAGGGAGCTATCAGAGATGTATAGATTAATGAAATTTAACTCTCGGTCCTTTAATTGTATCCGCAAGCTAATACTTTCAATACCTCTATATCTCTGAGGAATTCCAGTTATCTCGGCAGGTATGGTACTTTTGACATAACATGAGACCCCCCTAGTTCCTCCATCAGCATATAAGTGAAAGCCTCTATAGCCATTTAGCCTCAGTATGCTACCATCCCTATCCCCAGTTTCCTGGAGTGCTACTATGTCAATATCCTCTCTAAGAGTATAATAGTGTACATCCACTGCTCTAGTTTTTAATCCATTAATGTTCCAAGATAATATTCTCAATTTACTTTCATCCATGATTAATAATAAAACTACCTTTGCCCTGTCCGTCACATTCCATGAGATACAAGAGTACCTTAGAAACTTCCTTCCAACACCGTAACATTTTTTCTTTCTCCTCACCTTCACAACTACTACTAACATCGAAGGTAATATTTTTCATATCTATTTTCTTTGTTATTTCTGTAACCCGTTTTACTTTAACCGTTCTTTCACCATTTGTCACAACAGGAGGTTGAACACCGCTAACACTACTAGAAAGTGTATTCTCCTGACTATCCTCTATCATCGTTACCTCATGCACATCATTACTTTCTTCTACGCACGTTTCACTTTCCATTTCACGTCTCGTTTTACTTTCAATTACACGTCCTGTTTCACCACCATCTTTACCCCGTCCACCTTCCATAGCCAATTTTTCCAATGCCTCAATCCTCTTATCTAGTTTTTTTAGATACTCCAAAATTTGATTACCAACCTCAGAGGTGACCATATTGTCCTGAACCTTGTCGTCACAAGGTTTCAGTTTTTCCACTGCATGATGTACTTTCCCTAAGCTCGCCTTTACTTTCTCCGTCCCTTTTTCCCACACATTGATCATAGGGGCTGCCGTTGGCTTCCAACTGTTTCCTCCATGTTCCTCTTGCACAATTTTTCCTTGCTGCGAGGATACATCTATCCTGCTTGTAGGACCCGTTCTAGTCTCTTTCAGATGAGGCTTCATGGGGCATAGAGAGGAACCAGCATTGTGGCTGCCTCGACAGTTGCAACAAAATGGGATAATCTTTTCACTTCTTTCAATCTTGACTCTACACTCTCGCGAGTCGTGATTTTTCCCACAATACCGACACCTGGGGTCAAACTGGCATTTCCATGCCATATGTCCCCAACGTGAACACTTCATGCACAGTATAGGCTCCTCAACGTATTTTGCAACGTTCCTATAGCCTAGTCCTTGCACAAAAATTTTCTCCGGCGCCTCACCCTTTACCAAGGCAACAACCTGGCTTCGTTTGTCACCACGAACACTGTTCCTCTTGGCCCAGACAACATTATCATTGTTAAGAAGAAGACAGTCAGGATCCAAATAAGTTGGAAACTTGAAAACTATGATCTTTGTGTGCAACATACCTTCTTCTGGAGGAACCATCACTACATTCTCAAATCCAACCGTCGTGAGGCGTTCCACGGCCTGTTCAGTCCCAACTGTTATGTAGGGCCGGTGAAGACCCTCCTTGAAAAGTGGTTCGTATTCCAAACATTGTTTAGCCAAACGTACCGTCCACTCTAGCTTTTGGTGGAAATTCAATTGGCATGTTGTAGGGAACAACAGCCTCTTCCTTCTTGTCTTGTCTTGAGTCTTGCCGAGTAGGGTCTCATTCTTTGGTCTCTTTGCAATCTCATCGTCACTCTCACTGTCTCGCTGTCTGTTATTATTTCTCCGTTTCTTTTTGTTCACTACTAATTCAAACGGTCGATTATCATCTTGTCTGTCCTCCTCACTGCCACTTGGGCATACCGCCTCAGCCATTTCTTCGACGTTGTCAATAATCGAGAACAAATGCACAATATCCTGTATCACCACGTGCAAAAAACGAAGAGTGTGGGGCAATCCTCCACCTCCCACCAATCAGCGCTCAAGGTCGAATTACTGACCCCGCCCAGGATGCAACCCCCAGCCCGTCCTCCAAACAAAGATCCAAAAGTGATTCCATGCACCCGCCAAACCTCCCTGTTTTTATTTTTAATGAAAAAACGGGTTTACACACGACTCAACTGATTTCGTTCGAACACTTCCGGAACAAGTGCTTCACTGACAAATTTTATTCGAACCACAACGCTGTGAATGCTTCACCTACGTACTACAAATACAAATAATCGCCAACAAAACTTAAACACCTAACCTAACCTATCCTATGCCTATATATGCACAATATGCTACCATATTAATTTATATTTGAGAAAATTCCCGTTTTGAATGAACAGCATGTTAAAATTTATGAATGTGTCTGTGGGGTCGACCGCTGGATGTAATGAACTTGAGTCGAGGACGGGTTGCGTGTGTAAACCGTTTTTCATTCATAAATAGGGGGTTTGGCGAGTACATAGAATCACTTTTGGGTCAATTTAAAGGACGGGCTGTTTACATAACCCGTCCTCGACTCAAGTCCATTACATTCAGCGGTCGACCCCACAGACGCATTCATAAACTTTAATATGCTATTCATTCAAAACGGGAATTTTCTCAAATGTAAATTAATATTATATGTTAGCATATTGTACATATATAGGCTTAGGTTAGGTTAGGTTTATAGGTTCTGTTGGCGATTATTTGTATTTTGTAGTACGTGGGTGAAGCATTTACAGCGTTGTGATTCGAACAAAATTCGTCAGTGAAGCACTTGTTTCGGAAGTGTTCGAACGAAATCAGTTGTGAGTCCCGTGTAAACCGTTTTTCATTCATAAACAGGGGGTTTGGCAGCTGGATTAATGAGCCACTGGGCTTTGTTGATGACGACAGGCTGGTACCTGCTTGTGGATCGAACCCAGGATTCTCAGTTGTGAGCCGATGACGTAGACTATTGCGCCACAGGAATCACATTACTAACTCGAATTATTTATCGACACTTATTTTATTCTTAGTCACAAGATCCACGAACTCAATCAACAAAAATATAGTAGTGTCAAGGAATGACTCACGTGATAGCCTTCTTAACAAGCAACACGTCAGGAGACAAAATCATCCAGCATAGGTCGTCTTATGAGCCAATGTGGAACAAAGTACCGGGTACACACTATAGAGTACCTATTACAAGGTATGTGGGATGCATTTTACGTAGGTATCTGGAACAAGGTAGGAATTTGGCACTTGGCATCAAACTTCACTAAACAATGCTCTACACGATATCATTTTAAGATAACGTGTTATCAAGGCTCTGACACTGTTGCCAAAGCTAGAGAGATACCAGCCCGTACTATCAATATTCATGCATTTAGTCCCAAGGCTTTAATACCGTCACGAAAGCACAAATATAAGCCAATCAAACTTATCGACGTTTATATCCGTTAATCCTGAAACGCGCACCATTAATTTTTTTCATTAAAGAGCATTAAATGTTTAGGCTAGCGGCCCGAGTGTACAAATATAGATGTAAGTAGCGTGTGGACGGGCTCCCGTTCCCCTAGAGAGAGAGGAAGCCTCAGCTGGGAATCAGCCAGCCCGTATCCTTGGTGATGAAGACTTCTTTCACAAATAAATTAAGCAAAGGAGCGGATGCATTGAGCGGATGTGTGTGTGTGTGTGAGTGTTGTATATGTGTGTGTGTGTGTGTATATGTGTGTGTGTGTGTGTGTGTGTGTGTGTGTGTGTGTGTGTGTGTGTGTGTTGTACACACTCTTTGTGTCTTCATGCATGTTTATATGTCTGAACTTCAGCGTATTGTATACACGCGCATACAGGCACGCACGTCCACGAGGGAGGCCAACGAAGGTACACAGAAACCAAAACAAAAAATATCAAGCGAGAGATGGCATCGTGGAGCAGTGGCTGTGCGCACGCATCCCCACTGTGGCACTGTGGCACTATCACTAGTCACTAGGGGGTGTGAGCATCCACTGGGCTAATCACCGTTACAATAGCAACTCATCGAGTCGACAAAGTTTCATACACTTGACGTGTTTACCTCCGTCTTCCAAACGCATTAATTTTGTTTCTGGCAAACACACGCAGGGAAAGAGGAAAACATATAGTTTCCTCGTAGAAAACATGTAGTCAGTTATTGCGAAAGACGAATCAAGCTTCGGAAACTGATTGAACTTTGTCAGAACAGTAAAGTGCTTTACTGGTAGTTTGGCGTGGGAGGTGAGGAGGCTGAAGGCGACCAGGTCAAGGGAAGCTTGGAACAGACAACAATATGATCAAGGATAGGCTGGAGTCGCTCAAGGCGGTGAGTAGCCTCTCTGTTTATCTGGTCCTTGGGTTACGTGTTTTGCTTTTTGTAGTTCAGACCACTACGTACATGTAGTAGGGATATAACGGAGTAGAAAAGATAAATACTAAGTACAGATATAGGCAGATAAACAGCCAGAGATTAACACGTACACACAGATTCCCCTTGTATTTACACACAATCCCACCTCTTTTTTTTCTTACCCTTCCCTCACATGTACTTGCACACATACCTGCCTCCTCTTCCTCTCCAGTGAGTTTTGTAGTATAATGGTCCACGTCTTCGACTCACACTTGAGGATCCCCGGTTCAATCCCTGCTATTCAATTCAAGGGATAGAAATTATTGGGCACGTTTCTTTTCACCCGATGCCTCTGTTCAGCTAGCAGTAAAGAGGTTACCCAGGAGTTATATGCAACTGCAGCGGGTTGCATTCTGGGGAAGGTGAGTAATTGTAGCCTAGGAAGATTTTGATACGTATAAGTAAAGCCTTTCTGTCCCCGATAATGTAAATTACACAAATATACACAGCCTACACTTGTTCAGATTAAAGCATACTCCATCATATCCCCCCCCCCCCAACCAGCGTATATATATACACTCCCACACCCTCAGAGGCTCTGGAAACATGTGTGATGCATTTACGTCGCTTCGCTAACTCAAAACTGATAGAAAAACAGATCAAGAATTATTTGCATTAGGCTACTATCGGCTGGAGTGGCAAGGGCAAAGAGCCATAACTCGATCCTGCAAGCACAAATAAGCGAGTACTCACACACACACACACCAATCCAATAGGCTATTTATACACCGGCTGATTAACAGTTGAAAGACGGGACCAAAGAGCCGAAGTTCAACCCCCTCCCCCCCGCCTCTAGCACAAATAGGTGAGTACATATACATACACGTACACATATCTCTACCACTTGTTGTATTATCAATAATTCCCAGCCTGGGACCAGCGCCTCAGCCACGACTCTTGCATCACTAAAGTACGAAGGTGGAGACGGCCCCTTGGACAATCATTAACGAGGGCATTGGGAGGTCTATATTTTAAAAAATGAACATTAATCAGGTCTCGTTAAGAAACGAGGCATTAACAAAACACAGGTTACGTTACCACTTCTCCAAAACAATTCGAACCTGAATTTATGGGGAAAAACCTCCATAACTGAGGAAAGATGTACAGGTTTTGTAAGTGGATGTGTAAATGCTTGATGAATCCCGGCCCCAGAACTTGTATTAATACGATGAGCAGGTCACAGAGGTGCATAGTGGTGGTGGTGGTGTTGGGGGACAGTGAGAGACATTGTCTCGCCAGCTCACAGGACGCTGGAGCTGTGATAAACACACTCTGACACCACATGACACCAAAGCTTTCACTCGTGCACAAAAAACGGGATTCTAAACACATGACATCACTCTTCCAACGCAAGTACACATTTTCAATATATACATTTATATATATATTATTTTTTCTTGAGAAACACACAAACAAAAATTTACATAACTTCAAAATTTTATTACATTTATTTAGTTATTATATTTATTTACTTATCTTTTGTGGACGAAGTGGTGTATGTTATAATTTTTATTAGTTTTATTTGCATTATAAATTTGAGAAAAATGAATGAGAGAAACTAGAGAGTGGTATATATTGAGTTAATAAAATACTCTTATCCTATCATAATATTTTGAGACTGCTCAAATTAACAATAAACCTAGAGTTAAATCTCTACCGCTGAAGACAAAGATTTGTCATTATTTCATTTATTTACTATGCAACCCATACCTATCCCGTGGGCAGTAATAACAAATACACCCTCAAAACAGTATTTGCAATAATTATCATTATTGTTTTTATTATGATTGTTATTACTGGTCTGATGATTCCTTGCGGGCTGCAGGCACAGGCCCGGGACAATGGCGAGACGCTGGTGGCTGGCCAGGTCAACCTTGAAATGGAAAAACAGGATCTTGGTGACATGGAGGACTTCTTCAAGCAGGTTGGTTTGTACCTCCACAACTCTCATTTGTTCCTCTTTATAAGCTTGCTATTTGTGATTGTAGGAGTGTTTGATGGGAAGTGCTTCTGCTATGTCTGATCTGTTATTGTTGTTCTGTCTGAGAATTATTTTAAGGCTGTTGGTCAGGTCTGGATCTCTCTCAGGTGATAATCTGGTTGTATATAGGAATTGTACTAAACTTGAATAAAACCATATTTGTACGTTGTCGTATTCCTCGAAAAACATGTTGAATGCTTGTCTAAATATTAAGAGCGTTGGGACAGATAGATCGCAACTGGGCTTGCTCAAAAAAGGCAACATTCTCATCTTTTAATGCGCACGTTTGAAATTCTGGCCGACAAACGGCAGCACCTATTGGGTTAGGCGTCAGGTCTGAAGGTCATAGAGGATCTGGTCGTTGGGTAAAAACAGATATTTTCTGTTTTCAGATTCCAAACATTAAAATCATTTTTCCGAGATTCGTGTGGTCTGAGGTCTTCATTGTTGAAAGCTGACGTCTTCACTGCTGTAGTCTGTCTTCATTCATTTAGTATGCGATCTTCATTTATGTATTCTGAGGACTTCATTCATGCAGTTTGAGGTCTTCATCGCGTTCTACTATGAGGTCTATATTATTGAAGTCTTTATTGCACTGTACTTTGAGGTCTATGTTCTTGTAGTTTGAGGTTTACATCTCTGTAGTCTGAGGTCTTCACTGCTGTAGTCTGAGGTCTTCACTACTGTAGTCTGAGGTCTTCGTTGCTGTAGTCTGAGCTCTTCATCGCTGTAGTCTGAGGTCTTCACTACTGTAGTCCGAGGTCTTCATCTTATAACATTTTTACATAATAGTCTTTGTTGTGTAATATTTTCATGACTAATATCTTAATACCGTAATCTTATTATAGCTAAGACTTAACTATAATCAGTTAAAAGGAAAAGGAAGGTAACGGATATCCGTGCTCTTGACAGGTGGAGGAGATCCGTGGGATGATTGACAGGGTCAACAGCCAAGTGGAGGTTGTCAAGAAACATCACTGCGAGATCCTCTCATCCTCTCAACCAGATGAAAGTCAGTGTAACTGAGATGGCTGCAGCTTCTTGTGAAATACATATTTTTAAAGGACATCCTAACGTCCTCATTTAAATTTAAATTTTTAAATAACGTCCTCATCACACTGAATCAATTAAAACACATTGTTACTTCAGCAAAAATTATAATTAGCTATGCTGCGACTTAAATGTCCAACAATTACAGTCAAATATATGGGTTTGTAGCGAAGGTTCATAAGCTAGATAATGTTATGAACATCTGTTGAAAACATGGCATTTTGGTACGCAGGAAATCCGTGGGTGGTTTTTGACATTTAACAGTGACAGTGAAACGTTACTATTAAGATACACAGTTATTCATTTGTTTGGTGTTTTGCAGATGTGAAACAAGCGCTGGACGACCTCATGGCTGATGTTAAAGATACTAGCGCCAAAATAAGAAACAAACTCAAAGGTACATCACGTCTATGATTTATTGCGTCATTGTTTACCTGAGTTTACCTGAGAGACAGTAACACTAGTGGCCTCGACGAGGCCAGGAAGCCGGCGGCTTGACGAAGGGTCCCCCCATTTGCCTTGAAATGCTAGAAAGCCTTATGCCTTGTTATAACGCCTATCAAAATTATTATTTAATAATACAATACTACTAATAATATTGAAAACAATATTTGTCATTAATGGGATCATTATAATGAGACAGTTTTCCTCGCTGAACCTTACAGCGTTGGAGCCGACGCCGGAGGAGGCCAGCAAGGACGCTAGTGCCCGCATGAAGAGTACTCAACATTCAACCCTCACTAGGCTCTTCGTGAACGCCATGACGGAATACAACACGATACAGACCAACTACCGCGATCGCTGCAAGGCCAGGATACAGAGGCAGCTCAAAATTAGTAAGTCAAGGAGTTGAATACAAAGGGCTGTAACTCTGGGATGTATGGCAAAAGTATCTTGGAAAGGAAATTTAATATTACATGATGTACACGTCTAAATTCCTTTTGATTGTATATAGACTGTTTTGGACACCTTTTTATAGTCATGTGGTGTATGTGAGTATTGGGTTAAGCCGAGAAAATGTCCATAATGTTTCCTTTAATATTTAGCTCTCAATAGTTGTCTGAATATATTGTTAGGATCTGTCGACAAATCATGCATAATTTAAATTATTTTATATGTGTGTGTGGTACGATGAATTGCTTCGTACGTGCACCATAATTTTAGTTTCACTCTAAAAATGGTACTCCATGTTTTATTGTGATAAATTGTTTTGTACTCTGTGAATAATTGTTTTGTACTCTAACAAAATATTGTTATCCCCTATTTGCACGCGTATCACCACGCATCTCATCAACCTCCATGTATCATTGACCTCCACATTTATATATATACTCAACATGTATCTGACCGTCCTCCACGTATCTCCCTCCTGTGGTGACTCGATTAAGTTTTCGTCTTTAATGTTTTTGCTGCCCGAAACGCTTTGCGTAATAGTGGCTTTAGGCATTGTATGTACTAGCTCTATAAATCTATCAATTTTTGTATAACCTCTGGTATGTATGTACTTTACCTGAATAAACATTTATTTATTATTTATTTATTTACTCACAGCCGGCCGCGACACCACAGACGAGGAGCTGGAGCAGATGCTGGAGACTGGCAATGTTGAGATCTTCACCCAGGGGGTATGGCAAGATAATTTAGTATTCCTAACCCTGGGGGTATGGCAAGATAATTTAGTATTCCTAACCCTGGGGGTATGGCTAGACATTTAGTATTCCTAACCCTGGGGGTATGGCTAGACATTTAGTATTCCTAACCCTGGGGGTATGGCTAGACATTTAGTATTCCTAACCCTGGGGGTATGGCTAGACATTTAGTATTCCTAACCCTGGGGGTATGGCAAGATAATTTAGTATTCCTAACCCTGGGGGTATGGCTAGACATTTAGTATTCCTAACCCTGGGGGTATGGCTAGACATTTAGTATTTCTAACCCTGGGGGTATGGCAAGATAATTTAGTATTCCTAACCCTGGGGGTATGGCAAGATAATTTAGTATTCCTAACCCTGGGGTTATGACACAAGGCATGTATTCCTTCATTTCTAGGGGCACGACACAAGGCATTTATTTCTGATGATCAAACCACAAGTTCAAGTATGGTCATTGAGACAAGAAAAAATACATGTCAAAGGAATAGAGTAGCTTAGGCTATTTCTACCCCCAAACACATCAGAAGATGAGGAGACGACGACGATTCCGTCCGTCCTGGACCATTATCATGTAGATTGTCGTTGTTTCCTCATCTTGGTTTGGTCATCATATCTTCAGCCACGTTATTGTAACTCATCGTCTGCATTTATTTCTCTTTACCTAAGGGGTACGACACAAGGCCTTTATTCCTTTAAATTCAGGAGGTATGATACAAAGTATATATTCCTCTATACCCAGGGGGGATATGACTAGGAATTTATTCACACGGAAGGGCTGGGATACGAGGGATATTATACTCCTCACCCAGGGGATATATATTCTTCAGATCTGTGATAGAACTATCTGATATCCTACAGATATGTGATAGAACTAACTCATATCCTGTAGATATACGATAGGTCACCAGTCACTAGGCATTCTGTTTTACTCAGGGAAAAATAAGAAATATAACTACCAAAATACATGTTATCTTATAGCTGTTAAGGAGAAAAACGTAACGTTCACTTTCCTTATAAAATCCAGATTAACCGAATAATATTTCAACTACAGTTGACATTTTAACTCTTAATAATAATACAGCGTATAATACGTCTGTCACTTTAAGATCAAGACTTAATGATATAGCTTCCCTCCCCCCCCCCTACCCCTTCATCAAATAATGAACAAATAAGACTAAATAAATAGACATTGATCATATTATAACTAAAATGTGAAATATTTATCCTAAACGAAGAATCCACAAAAACAAGAAGTACTCAATTGCTGTATTTCAAAGTGTAAGATCTTTGTAGATTAATCATTCGTAAATACGCAAGTCTTACGTGCGTCATACCGTCAGATTATAATGGAGACTCAGCAAGCGAGACAGAGTTTGGCAGACATCGAGGCCAGACACGACGACATCATCAAGCTGGAGACTTCAATCAGAGAGCTACACAACCTCTTCATGGACATGGCGGTCTTAGTTGAGACGCAGGTGGGCTATCTCGCTTCTTCCCAAGCTAATCAACACTTTTAATTAATATTATTATATTACAAACATGAGTTACTGACTTAGGTTAAGTTAGGATAGATTAGGCTAGGTTAGGTTAAGTTAGGATAGGTTAAGCTAGGTTAGGTTAAGTTAGGATAGGTTAGGCTAGGTTAAGTTAAGTTAGGCTAGATTAGTTTAAGTTAGGTTAGGTTAGGTTTGATCAAGTTTGTGTAGTTGTTTTGAAAATAATTAAACAAAAATTATATATAATGGGAAGCTTTATCGTTCCATTAAAAAAGAAAATCCGGACTGTCAGGCACTTAGCCTAAAAAACATATTTATATTATTATTATTATATATAAGTTAGATTTACTTTAGGGCAGAATGAGTATATTGGCTAAGACATGAAGGGGCTAAGATATGGAGGTACAAAGGAACATATAGGCTAAGAGATGGAGGGCCAAATGAACATATAGGCTAAGACATAAAATAGTTTCGCATTTATAATTGGTATAATTTAAAAGATTTCAAGCATTCCTGCAATGTTTACAAGATTACAAGTACAGTATATTTGCCTTGTTTATAATCTCAAGTATGTTTTAAATCTCTAGTAGTGTTAAGGATAAGAGTAAACGGTATATATATTCATAAATATACCCTGTATGGTTAAAGTTTGGAATATTTAATGTCTATTGAACGACAGCATTGATAAGGCAGAAATCCATCTAATTCTTGCAGATAAGTTAATCTCTAATAAAGTACATACTTAATGGACTATTTTAAGTATAAATACACTGAGAAGTAGGCTACGCATTTAATACTTAACAGTATATTGAAATTAGTTTGGTGTCTGTCAAACTCTAGTGGATTAGTTTATTGACCAACCAGAGAGTATACTTTAGTTTTGAACATAGTCCTGACTGTAGCGTACTCTCAGTGTACATATACCGAGAAGCGGAATATACCTAATGGTGTTTATATCCCTACAAATATTGTTATATTCATCTTGTTTCATTCATCAGTCTTAAATTAAGACTGATGAATTTCGCTAATAAAGCTGTGTGAGTAGATATGTTGACTTCCTGGTGCAGTTGCCAGTAAGCCTTGTGTTATTGTTTCTTATGCATGCTCTACCAACTCCTGGACCACACTCCATTAGGGGCTCATGGTCGACAGTATTGAAAAACATGTCCTCAGCGCTGTTAAGTATGTAGAAGAAGCAAAGATAAATATAAAGAAAGCTAAGAAAGTTCAAAGTAAAGTGCGGAAGGTGAGAGTTTAATATAATCAAGTTGCTGATGCACAATGCTAATGCCATTTTTTTCTTTCTCACTTTCGCCCTTCTGTCACACCTTCCCTGGTCTCAATTTTCTCTGCGATCCTCCCCATCATCTTCTATGCATGCCTCCTTCCAAAAAATGACGCATTTAAAAACTTTTTCTCAATATCCTACTGATCCTGACTATTTGATCTTCGAAAATATCTTAAAAACTGAAGCTATACTTTCTGATTGAAAATCACATTATGTCGTTGGTATTTCAAATTAATGGTTTTCTTACGACCTCTTTATTCTGCGACTGTGTTCCTCTCTGATGTTTATTTCTCTTGCAATCAAATATCTCCTACGATTTAAACAATTATATGACTGAACACTGAACAATGCTGTGTGATGTGTCTCCCGTGCTTGCTCCTTTGTTTACTTTTGCATTAATGGCTTCCAAACACACGGCTGCCGCCTCGGTGATTCCCAATCCTATTGTCGTCATATGCTGCGGTCTTTAATCTTCTAATCACACTTTTTCATATCCCATTCAAATCCATCCATCCTAAATCCTTCACAACCCCCCAACATTTCCAATCGCTTCCTGACCACGCCAACAGGGTGAGGTTCTGGACAGAATTGAGAACCACGTCCAACAGTCTCAGGAATTTGTGGAGAGTGCCAAAGTGGAGACAAAGTCTGCTCTCAAGTACCAGGGTAAAGCCCGCCGGGTGAGTACTGGGAGGGAGGAAGTAGTGTTAGATTGTCAGGCTCTGTACTCAACCCGTCCTCCTAATAGAACGTCGCATTTTGACGTATTCTCGAACTAAGGCCAAAAAATTATCGCATTAGAAAATGGTAGCGGCTCGCGAAATTGATTGTTGACCAATCCACTTACTAGAAAATGAAGGGACGACGACGTTTCGGTCCGTCCTGGACCATTTTCAAGTCGATTGTCATTCACAATCGACTTGAGAATGGTCCAGGACGGACCGAAACGTCGTCGTCCCTTCATTTTTGTAGTGTATGGATTGGTCAACATACTTCAGCCACGTTATTGTGACTCATCGCCTGCTCGCGAAATTGACATACTCTCCCGTTTTCAGTTTTGGGTCCTATGGTAGGTTAGGATAAAGGCACTTTAGTACGACAGTTTTTTGACGTTGGGAAACCTTAGGAGGACGGGTTGCTCTACTAGCCAGGAAGAACTCATTAAAACCAAAAATATTCAGTCGTGAAAAGGAAAAGAATGAAATAAAAGTTTCTTAGATTATCATAGAGCATTTCAATCGTGACTAACATTAAAGTACTTGAATTAATATTAACGTACATTGAGTAAAACAATTTCACTCCATCGAAGCAAAATATTTTGGTCTTTAATCGATATTATATTGTGAAAAATCCTGGGACTCAAATTAAGAGGATCTCAAACCAAGAGGTGAATGCACTAAAGCTCAAAATAAGTTCAGAAGAGAATTAGGATTCATATCCAGACTCATTACTAATACAATCTATAATGCTTATATTTATCTATCTAGTTAGTTTTATTCCCATAAAGCGAATAACACCTTGCTCATTATCATAATAATTATAAATAAAATAGGCTGGTTACTTTTTCAAAACAAAAATAAGATTTCTCACTGCTTTTATTGTTCAATCAAAATTGAAGCGATCGCTTTTTTTGCTGCTTGGTTTACACTTCCGTAGAATTACTTATATTTTTAATTGATAATCTGCTGATTTGATAATATACAACTCAGATAATATTCAACATTAATGTTAGCACGAACAACTGTCATGTGTTATATACTATTGTTTGCATTGTTTACAAATAATAACATGTTATAAAGGAATGAATCATAATGACAAATAATATATAAAACCTTTATTTAATTTGCAATTTATTGTTCCTTTTATCCCGCAGAAGAAAATCCTGATCATCATATGTGTTATAGTTCTGCTGCTGTTGCTTGCCCTGATACTGGGAATAACCTTATCATAGCACCATAATTAGAGTAGAGGCTGATGGGCATGTACACCACGGTAAGGTAATGTAATTGTTAAAAGAAAGTACGAAGCCAGCATGACTATATAGCACTTGGAAGGGATACTAAGACAGGATGGGAGGAAGAAATAAAGGAACGGTGCCTAACATTGAGCGCCGATCAGCAAGAAGCAAGATAGTTGCTCTGCCGTCCAAGTGGATGGACGGGTTTTTTCTCCCAACGTTTTGGCTTGATTGTTACTACCTAGGAGGTCCGGGCATGTGTGCCAAACGTCGAGTTAGGAGTGTTTGTGAGGTAATGTGTGTGGGACCCTCAAGGCGTCTCTCTAGTTATACTTGCCGCAAACAAAATATTTTAATTCCAATTAACTTTTGTAATAAATAACTTTTATGCTTAATTATTAAATAATTTTTATTTCTCTTTTTTTGTGCAGCACTATAGAACGGTTTAATTTTAATCAAATTTGAGAAAATGTTTCTTCTTAATTTTCTAAAAATAAGAGTAAAGTTACTTTTTATTTTAATACAACTCAAATCCATTTTAATTTATAATTGCCCCAATGATTGTAACCTATTCTGATGTTATTTCAATTATTGACATTCCTGAAGTCATATTTCAGTGTGATAAAGACTATTATTACACTGCAATGTAAAATACACCTTCAACATGAAAAGAGTGAAGAGTGAGATAATGAAGCTTGTTTATATATGAAGAATTAAAATCTATTTACATCTCTGTTATTATTTATATACTGTATTTTGTAATATATTTATCACCTATTTAAAAAACAATTAGAAAATTGTCTATTCTCAAATTTTCATTGAAACATTGTTATTCTAAACTTGACATTATGTTTGTGTGACGTTGTCATAATAATCTTATGAATCCCAGTTTGTCAGTCCCCTGTACACAGGCTCTCAGGGAACACAAGACTGTACTTGACGATAATTACACTAGATACCATTTGCAGAAATGAAGCTATGCTAATATTAACCTATTTATATTTGTTATGAGTGGCACGCTGGTGGTATCCCAGCTTGCCCATAATCTTTGTCAAATTACATCTTGAAGCTCCTAATGATTTGGACATTCACTGCTCTCTCATTTAAACTGTTCCATTAGTTTAAAACTGAGTATAATAGCATTCTTGTTTATTCAGTAATGGCCGATACTGTTTCATAAGATCTTTCGTTATAAGTATATATTCAAGCTATTTTTGATAGCTGGTATCACAAAAATTATATATTTCTCTGGTCCAGACAAGTGAAATTGATCTATTTCGCAAATAGTAGATATAAAAAAAAATTGTCAGAACTAATACCTAATGTCATTAGGCAGAATTTTGCTAACATTGTATATAATAATTAAGTTCAGGTAATACAATACAAGGTGGTTAAATGAGATGAATTTAAATTTATAAATTTATACATATGCTTTATGTGGTTTTATATGATCACGTATATTCTTTTATGATTTTATATGATTTTTATTACCTTGTGAAGTCTTATATTGACTTATGAGTTATGATTTTATATAGTCATTTGTGTTCTTATATATAGAGCCTGTGGAGGATCTTATATATTCTTTTGTCTCATCAACATAAAATCTGTAAAATATATAAATACTTTACTAAAAATATTACAGAAATGTAAATAATTTACATTCAGAAGCTAAACTATACTAATGATCTGAACCGACTTCGACAATTTTGTATATAAATGTGAGATTATTAGCTGAGTACCAGTTTACACTCATAAATATTTCCGGCAGTTAGGGGAGCTGTGATGTAAAGTTTGTAGATATTAACTACGATATAAATGACTAGCAATAGTTTTTTGGTGAGAACACGAGAATTGAGGAAATTGCGGAAAGCCTATTGGCCCATACAAGAAAGCCTATTGGCCCATACAAGAAAGCCTATTGGCCCATACGAGTGATTTCCTATAATACTTGTGTTGAGGACTAGCTTTAAAGACATGTCAACAGCAGGAGGGTTATTAGGGCACAACAAAGAGCTCATAAACCAACCAGAAAGTATATTTTACTTCTGAACATAGTCCAGGACTAAAGTACACTCAGGGATGTAATTGTTAATGTAATAATTTTTGCTGAGGTCTGATTAAGACCATTTGTGCCGTCTGTAATCCTTTTTGCGCTACCGCTCAAAATATATGTACAGATGATTGTACTCAGAGTTTTACTGTAGGTTTGGATAATATTTATTGACATTCCTGAAGTATATATCACATCATGAAGCCCTTACAAATTTACTTTAGTGATGACGTTGGCAAATTAGTGTCGCCTTTAGAAAGAAAATTATGCAAAAGAATGTCATCAATTTATTGAGGGCCATATTTTTGTAAAATACGTGCAATATATTTTGCGTATACCAGAGTATACTGATCCTGTCAGTATTTCACTACATTTTTATTCTTGTGCCAATAATGTTATCAGACAGATTGTAATGTTGCGGGATTCTTAATGATGACCAATGAACAAGTGTATGATGTCTTATTCCGAAATATAGTACCTAAAGTAGAGGAGATAAACCCACTTTTTTAACTAGCAATTAATATGGGTAAACCTGCCTGTCAAATTTATAGCTTCTAAACAGCGTAAACTATTGTATAGATTTAGTCAATAGACCCTCCATACAAATGATAGGCTGATGTTGAATATGCATGTAACGAAATTGAGAATAATATGCATATATTTTAGTTTTGTGAATAAAACGTTGCACTTGTAATTTAGATTAAAGACACTATTGCAGCATTATGCAGAACAGACATTATAGTGGATTTAATGAGTTTTTAGTGTTTAATATTGACATAAAATGCAAGAAAATTAAAAATACATTGCTACTTTCTGATTATCTTTTGTGTCGATATGAAAGCGTTAGGATTATTCAGTAGACAAAATACTGAAGTTTTGAAGGATAGGATAAAGTATTATATTTGAGTTTACAGTATTGATCTCATATATGAAGAATTGTAAAAAAGAAAATTATATAAACTACAGTATATGTAATGTAGCGTTTCCTTTGTAAAATAAGGTATATATAATATTGTACTGTATACAATTCAATAAAGAAGAAAAAAAAATGCATTTTTCTTAAAAAAATAAATGAATGAATCATGTCTCGAAAATGTGTTATGTTTGTAAGACCTTCCTGTTCATGCCTGTACTCACTGAATTTGTGCGCCCCTTGAGGGACTTGAAGTAGAGGGGGGTAGAAATAGCCTAAGCTACTCTATCCCTTTGAGATGTATTTTTTTCTTGTCTCAATAAACATACTTGAACTTGAACTTGAACCTGTTCATGCTTTAAATAAATAATTCTTGAAGAAAACACGTACCCAAAATACACGAAACTGTCCCCCAAACATTATATTATTGTCACTTTACACAAACGCTGAATGTGTCACAAGTAATTCTAAGTATTAAAAGGCCACAAGGCATGTCCACGCCTGCGCTCCAAGCAGAATCGATAGCCACCCACCTCGAGTTCTTCCTCCGTCCGAATACTTCACTTAAAACCCTCTATGGCATATCAAATGCTATATAATGACACATTATTAGCGTTTTTAACTATTCTTAAACTACATTACACCTCATCACATAATTTAATTCGAGAGTGAGGGAGTCGTGGAAGGCATCAGAGCTAGATTAAGGAACAATTGTGGGAGTGAAGCGAGGGGTTCGAGAGGCGCCCAAGTTGGCGTCCAGGGAGGGGTCAGGCAGGCACCTGCTCCAGAGAGACAAGCCCCTACGCCATGCTCCTCACCTGATCTACCCCTCCTCTCCTGCCCATCATGGAGGTAAGTTACTCAACAATCAACGTAGCCAAGACTTATATATACTTCGCTGCGCAGGATGTGACTTATTGCTGTTGGGAGGTTTCTCGCGGACAAAGGCTACTTGCTGGCTCAGGTTCGTCCATGCAATCAGGCACACATATATATATATTGGGGACAATTTCAGTGAATATACTTACGGTGTCATTCTAAATAACCGAGCCAGTTACTATATGCTTCTACATGCTATTCTTGCTACGTATCGATTATTAAACAAAAGGCAATTTAAAGCATATATAACGTAACTAGGTTATTGTTCTCCCGCTGACCAAGATGGCTGTTGCTTCCAGACACCAGTGGAGGCTTATAGATCATCAGCCTCACATATCATGCTCTCTTCTGATTCCATGTATGACTAACCATCCTGTGAGATGGGGATATTATCAAATCAAACTCAAACGTTTATTCAGTTAAAAGTACATAAACATTTGACTTTGATATTGATGGGGATATTAAATGAACTTATAGCTAAGTGTTTTATCCACACTGTGTAATCTTTCGTACAGAATAGGGTAGCAGCACCCTGATGTGCATACCTAAGATTGTTAATAATAAAACAGAAAATTGACGCCAGAAAAGCCTGTCACCTCCTCACAGTTGTCATGACTACCTACTGAGGGATGCTGGTATATTGAAATCTCAGGCCAATACACCTTTATTTTCGCCAGTCTTCCCATTATAAAAAGACACCCGTGGAATTGGATGAAGGACGAAATATTTTGAAACTACAATTTACTATAAAATTCTGAATAAGGCATTATCATATAAATTACGTCATCCCTCTGAGAAAATATATGAGGGATGCGATAGGCCAATTGTATATTTTGTTTTATTTATTTTTATACAGTCTGTGCTATATCAAATCAGTATATAAAACTTTAAAAGCAAACACAATTTGCACAAAAACAAACTAATCACTAAAGCTTCCAAGCAATTGACGAAACTTAGAAATTACTTTAGCCTATCCTTTCTTGAATTCAGCTGATCAACCTATGTTAAAAAAGGGCTTTATGAAACGACACTGATAATTAACAGTGAGAGCTTTCTGCTTAAATAATCTGTAGCCAATCAAAGCTATAGCAATATGTTTCCACGTTACAATACAACTCAAAACAAATTTGATTTGGTGATTTTTTTTCTTTTTCTATACATGTAAATACACGGAGTATAATTCTCTTGTTAACAGGAGGAACAAAATTTTTTTGTACCAGTTCAGATACATTAAATCTCCATAAACATTGGTGTATGTGTTAACAGCTGATGCGATGTAAACAAACTTTTCAATAGCGCTAAAACTTGTAAATTGTCTAGGACAGTGTCTTGTTCTTTATTGTAATCTAGTATATCCTAGCCCAAACTAAGCTAACCCAGCCGTATCTAGCCTTCTTAACTTAATCTTTCCTATCCTATATGTTATTTGTGGCTTTACAAGCACAAAATTAATTCTGACTGCATATGGCCAAGAAACTCATCTGATGACTGGTGACAGTAGGATTTTATTGCAGGCGATGCATACTTCAACCACAATAACGTGGCTGAAGTATATTGACCAGACCACACACTAGACAGTGAAGGGACGACGACGTTTCGGTCCGTCCTGGACCATTCCTAAGTTCTCAATCGACATGAGAATGGTCCAGGACGGACCGAAACGTCGTCGTCCCTTCACTTTCCAGTGTGTGGTCTGGTCAACTAGGCTTTTATTGTCGGTTTTCGTTTCCCAGATGGTGTCATGGATGAGGGCGGCGTGGGTGGTGATGGTGGTCGTGGGCGGCGTGGGCGGCCAGCGCCTCCTCAACATAGGTGGGATCTTCCCAATCGGTGGATCGGACGGCTGGCAAGGCGGCCAGGTGAGCATCTCACATATACTATATTTATTTATATACAAGAAGGTACATTGGGTTTATGAGAGTACATAGCATGATGTGTTTACATTCTTGTAAAGCCACTAGTACGCACAGCGTTTCGGGCAGGTCCTTGTAACCATGTAACCATGCATGCCGTGTAACTATTAAAATATGTAATAATAATTATATTAGTTGGGCCCCAAATCTGAATTCATTATGCTACAACGACTGCTTCTACTATTATTATTACTACAACTACTTCTACAGCAGTTACTACTACTAATAAAACAACAAGTACTTTACTACTATTATTGAAATCAATGTTATTATTTTTACAACTAGGCTTGATAAAATCTACTTTCACCGGTTATTGAAGGAAAAGTTGAACACTTACACAAATTATAATTGCTTTGTCGTATATAAATGGAGTTCATTATACCAAATTGAGCTTTTATACAATATGTGAGCACCGTATATGAAAGTTTTCTTTGAGACAAAGGCTTCCAATATGTTTCTCAGGCGTGTCAGCCAGCGGCCATGTTGGCTATGGACGACGTCAACAAACGGCCAGATCTTCTGCCAGGGTACACGCTCCACCTCGCTTGGAATGATTCCCTGGTGAGTATATCCCGTCATGGCTGGTCTGGTCTGGTGCATTACGGGGCTATTCATGCCCGTGCCATCTCTTGGGTGGCTTAATCTTTATCAATTAATCTGGCAGGGGCATGAATAGCCCATAGTAAGTCAAATGTTTTATTTGCCTTATTATAGAGTCAATAGACAAACACATCGGTGGAAAAATTCATAATTAGCCGTGCATGTGAAACTTAGTTTCCCAGCAGGTGGTGTTCCAGCAGTCACCTGGACGGTGTTATGAAAATTCCGGGTTCGAATCCCGGCCGCGACAGAGATAGCTGCGCGCGTTTCCGTTCATCTAATGCTCATATTCACCTAGCAGTAAATATGTACCCAGGAGTTAATCAGCTTGTTCTGTGGTTGCATCTTGGGGAGGGTCAGTAGTTTGAGCCTGAGGGGGTGGGCTGGGGTGGACCTTGATATTAGCCTAATATATGTGTGTATATACACTGGCTGCCTGTCACAAAGTAAATTATTATTATTACTATTATTATTATTATTATTATTATTATTATTATTATTATCGTTATTTTTATTTTTATTATTATTATTTATTATTATTAAATATTATTATTATTATTATTATTATTATTATTATTACTATTATTATTATTATTGTTATTATTAACGTGTGTGTGTGTGTGTGTGGGGTTGTGTGTACAGTGCGAGCCGGGGCTGGGGGCGGCGGTGATGTACGACCTGCTCTACAACCCTCCCACCAAGCTCATGCTCCTGGGCGGCTGTTCTACCGTGTGTACCACCATCGGGGAGGCGGCCAAGATGTGGAACCTTGTCGTGGTAAGTTGGCACTACCAATGACTGGTGGCCCCCTTGGTAGTGCCTCCTGGTACTGCCAGGCGGCACGGCCAGTCATTCAGGCTTTGTTATGCCGTGACTGGAGTAACTTGTACATCTTTTCTCAGTCGTTACGGCTTTGTTGATGTTTATTCATTGGTTTATAGGTATTTGATAGTTTGTGGTATCTGCCTCATACCTCATGATTTCGTGATATATCCCTCACATATGATGATGATGATTATCATTTTTATTATTATTTTTATTATTATTATGAAAGCACTTGCCACCGCAGTTATCGTACGGGTCGAGCTCACCGGCGCTGAGTGATCGCCAAAGGTTCCCGACATTCTTCAGGACGCACCCGTCAGCCACCGTCCACAACCCCACCAGGATCAGGGTCATGCAGAAGTACAACTGGTCTCGGGTCGCCATTATCCAGCAGGCCGAAGAAGTGTTCATTTCGGTGAGTCGAGTGTTGTTTGGTATACTAGGATGGGAGAAAGTTGTAATAAGCCTCCAGGAGGTCAGTTTATTATCTTTCAGAGTCTGGCTTACTTTGCTTCTTCAAACACCCTTTTTCGCCTTCGCGTCAGCACTCACCTCTGTTCCGCGCACCCACATCTGTTCTCCTCGGCGCTATCAACTTCTCTTCCATCCTGCAGACGGTGGAGGACCTCGAAGTGAGGTGCAAGGACGCGGGGATCGAGATCGTCACCCGTCAGAGCTTCCTCACCGACCCGACGGACGCCGTCAGGAACCTGAAGCGCCAGGACGCCCGGATCATCGTGGGGCTCTTCTACGTCAGCGCCGCCAGGAGGGTCCTCTGCGAGATCTACAAGAACCATCTTTACGGCAAAAGCTACGTCTGGTTACTCATTGGTAAGGCCAGACGCCTCCCCTAGTGGTTCACAGCTGAGAAGATAATGGTTCCTCACTGGTTCCATAAGTTGGTCACCGTTGGTTCCTCACTTGTTTTTCAATGGTTCCTCAGTGGTTTTCTCCAGATTTACAATGTCTTAATATTCATATTGGAACAATAACGAATTATAAAACATTTTCAGTGATCACATGGCTTTATATGTTAATGTGTTTAATGTATATGGAGAATTTGATGTAACTTTTAAAATTTATTATTTGAAATGTGTCCCAATGTGGTACCAGTGAAATCCCAGTGTGGCCCCACTGTAGTCCTAATATGGTCCCACTGTAGTCCTAATATGGTCCCACTGTGGTCTTATAAATCACCCATATGGGCCTCGATTTTCCAAGTGTGGGTTCATAATCCCAAATAATTCATTCTAAATTGGGGCCCACAAATATCAAAGTCCCGTGAATCCAATTTTCTTAAAAGCTATAATTTGAAATGCTACTCTAAGAGTGTTTGGTAGTTTAAGCTGCTAAGTAGTCTTAAGTAGTCTTGACAGCTAAGTAGCCTTAACAGCTTAGTGGTTAGCGTGTGCGTTGCTGACGGATACACTGTCGCAGGCTGGTACGAGGACAACTGGTTCGAGAACCACCTGCAGGAGGAGAACGTGAACTGCACGAAGGAGGAGATGAGGGAGGCGGCGGAGGGCCACCTCACCACTGAGGCTCTCATGTGGAATAAGGACAATGAGAAGACCATCTCTGGCATGGTGAGCATCGCTGGTTCTTACGTTTATAGTGCGTAAAATGAAAAACAAAATTAAAATAATTTTTTGATTTTTTTTTTCCAAAACAGTAAGTTAAGGGTCCTCTGGTAGGTCAGGAGGGCAGGAAACCCTGGAAACACAAACCGAAACTGTCTTTATTTTCCGCTTGTTACAACTTGTAATAAAGTTGTTACATCTTGGCCTAACGTGTTTATGACGTATTAGAACGTTGTTACAACTTGCTATATTGGTTGTTATCACTGGTTAGGAGGTGTTAAAACTTGTTCGAACGTTGTACCAACGTCGTAGTTTCGGTGTGTGTTTGGCGGGAATTCTCCTAAAGTTTCAAAAGTCATGAAAACAGTTAATTGAAAGTTTCCTCTCCTAACCTTTCCGATTAAGCCGGAGGACTCAAACAGAAAACGGGACAGTACATCACTTTCGTGAGCCGATTTCATTTCAAATTACGTCCATTTTTTGGGCCATGGCGCGCATACGAGCGAAAAACATTATTTTTAAGAGGACGGGTTGCTGTACTTTCCTAGATGCGTCAACCCGGGTTCAACTTCAGCTCTTGGACGTCACCTTTCGATGTTATCGATCATCTGAGGCAGTGCTGCCCCCTCCCCCCCCCCATCTTTGGGTCATATTTGTTTCTGATGCTATGAATGGAGTTGGCCTCACTTGCCATCTTGTCCAGCTAATTCTACTTTTCGGTAACGCCTTCCATTGTTGATGTGTTCATGTAGTCCATGCATCATTGAGCTGGTGTGCCCATGTAAACGTTTATCCGTGAAAACGTTTCCCTGTTTATCCGTTAAAACGTTCCCCTATATACGCGTGAAAACGTTCACCTGTGCGTCAGTATATCAGTGCGTCAGAACAACGTTTCAATTTTTTACGTTTAAGTTTGAAATGTGAGCCATTTTTCTTATCATTTTTAGTTTCCAAGTAATTTAAATATTGTTAAAATGGAATTTGTACATTAAGAACTTTTTCGTTTCTAGACTGCTGGAGACTTCCGGCTACGCTTGAACCAGGCGTTGATTGACCGGGGCTACGAGAACCAGAGTACTCCTGTTGGCTACCAGGTGAGTCCTCACTCATTCTCACTCACTCACTCACTCACGCTACTCTACCTCACGCTACTCTCCAGGACAGATTCACGAAGCAGTTACGAACCTGTACACCTTTTCTCAATCTTTGGCGGCTTTGTTTACAATTATTAAACAGTTAATGAGCTCCGAAGCACCAGGAGGCTGTTTATAACAATAACAGCAGTTGATTGGGGAGTTTTCATGCTTGTAAACTGTTTAATAAATGTAACCAAAGCCGTCAAAGATTGAGGAAAGATGTACACGTTCGTATGAACTTGCGTACCTGCTTCGTGAATCTGGCCCCTGAGCTCTCATACCTAGATGTATTAATTCGTTGGTGACATTATAAAGTGATTTAATACGTACATGTACAACTTTAATAAATATTGCCCTAACTGTACAACTATGTAACTGTCTTGAATATTATATATGTTATTCATAAATGAGATGTTTACACGTAGTTTGAAAAGATTACTCCACAAATAATTGACTCCAGAATGTACTTGTAACCCAAAGAGTTTACCAAAGTAAACAAAATGATTAGTTTTTTGGGTATCGGAGTAAACTTGATTAGAAATCAAGAGCCAGGAATCGCTTTAAAAGAAGACTAACCATCTGATTTTATATCTTCTGATTTAAATCTTCTGATTTAAGATTTTAAATAAAGATTTTAAATCTTCTAAATCTAAGTATATATATATACTTAGGGTTACCACCTCCGGTGCAATTGTAGGGACCCACATCCTCGTAGAAGAAAATAAAGAGTATTCAGAGAAGACTTGTGGATTCTCACTGAACACTTTAATCTTTTCCTCTCCTAACACCCACATTATTTTTTTATATATATTTTGTTTTGTTTTATTTTATTTTATTGCAATGCTATCAGTTTACAGAGAACACACACATATATGTAATCCATTCACAATGGACTTGAGAATGGTCCAGGACGAACCGAAACGTCGTCGTCCCTTCACCTTCTAGTGTGTGGTCTGGTCAACAATGATTTCCTTTTCCTTGTAAGACGCCAACCTGTCACTTATCATTCTCCTGCAGGAAGCCCCGCTTGCTTACGACGCCATCTGGAGTGTGGCTCTGGCGCTCAACAAGACGATGGAGCGCCTGGCAGCCGTCAACAAGTCCATTGAGGAGTTCACCTACACCAATAAAGAAATCGCCGCCGAACTCTACAAGGCCATGAATGCCACTCAGTTCCTCGGGGTGTCGGTAAGCTATGTCTCACCTACGCTTGGAACAATCCAGTCATATCGAGTTCTGAGACGTCGCGGAGGAATCTGGGACGTCACTGGCGTCTTCTAAGACGTCGAAGGGAGGCGCTATGAGTTACCTGTTAGGATAACATAATGTTCTAGGGGCCTTAACTACTGGTCTACAAAAGAAAGTTAGCAAGTATCTATGATATAGTGACGCTCTGTACTGTGTGAATGACGTCAACTAGACTGAACCTCGGAGTCTCTGGGAGAGTTCAGTCTGGATCAGGCTTCATCATGCATTTAAGTGCCCCATTTAAGTGCCCCATTTAAGTGCCCATTTAAGTCCCCATTTAAGTGCCCCATTTAAGTGCCCATTTAAGTGCCCATTTCAGAAAACTGTACATCTTTCCTCAATCATACCGGCTTAGTATACATTTATTAAAGAGTTTATAAGTTCCGAAGCGCTACGAGGCTATAACGAAAATAATCTTGGGTTGTAAAGTTGGCAAAAGTTCGTAAACTCAGTTAATAAATACAGACCAAATCGCCACGATTGAGGAAAGATATACAGATTTCGCAAGTGGAGCCGTACCAGTGCTTAGGGGTGGATGATGGTTGTGGATGTGTATGGTGAAGGTTCAGGGGGGGATTGGTTTCAGGGCCGCGTAGCCTTCAGCACCGACGGGGACAGGATCGCGTGGACGCAGGTCGAGCAGATGATCGACGGACGCTACCACAAGCTGGGCTACTTCCACGTCCAGACCGACAACCTCACCTGGTTCAACAGAGAACAGTGGCAAGGTGAGTCTTCGCTCCTCCCTCCTCCTCACCTGGTTCAACGGGGAACACTGGCAGGGTGAGTCTTCGCTCCTCCCTTCTCCTCACCTGGTTCAACGGGGAACAGTGGCAGGGTGAGTCTTCTCCCTTCCTCCTTCCTCCTCACCTGGTTCAACAGGGAACAGTGGCAGGGTGAGTCTCCCCTCCTCCCTCCTCCTCACCTGGTTCAACGGGGAACACTGGCAGGGTGAGTCTTCCCCCTCCCCCACCTCCTAGGGCATCAGGTGAGGGTGTTTCACCCTAGTACTGGAGAGAATTGGGGGATATGTTTCGTTCTTTCCCCCTAGTGTTGCAGGTGGGGTTAGTGGGGGGTGTTTCCTTCCCTCTCACCCCTCGTGTTGGAGAGAGGGGGAGAGGGTGTTTCTTTTCCCCCTCCTAGTGTTGGAGGGTGTTAGTAGGGGTGATTCCATGTACTCTATATGTCGTTGTGTTGCTGTGATTCATGACATGACTTAAGCCATAATTTACTACCTGGCTTACGTGTATCTTTGCATTCAGTTTACTATGTCTGCAAACTCAAGGGCCAAATTCCAACACATTTCTTAGAATATGGCATCAAACTTACCCTAGAACATAGTGTTAAACCTGTCTTATGATATGGCGTCAAACTTGTCTTAAAATACGGGACTTGAGACCCGACATAAGTAGATACGTCCAAGGAGCTGAATGAAGTATTTCTGACGCGGCAGGAGGGAAGGTGCCGCAGGACCGGACGATAGTGCGGCGGCAACTGAGGACGGTGTCTCTGGGCCTCTTCATCAGCATGTGCACCATCAGCGCCGTGGGCGCCGTGTGGGCGCTCCTTCTGCTTGTCTTCACCTTCGTCCACAGAGACCGCAGGTGAGAGGCCCCCCCCACCCACCCGCTGGCCACCACAGCCACTGGTCATAGGCATAGGGGGTAGCTGACCACAGACGCTTTAACTAGGTAGCCATATACATTGGAGGTTGGTGGCCACAGACAAGGTCTTCACCTCTTGAGTACCTCCAGCTTCGTAAAGAGACTCATCTGTGCCACACACAGCATGATTCACCTGTCAGGTTATATTCCTCAATGACCTACCTCTCACCCACATACTGATTCACCTGTCGCACCCACAAACAGATCCGCACCCTAGATGTCCGCAGATGTCGCACCCCACAAACTAATCAAGCTGTCGCACCCCACAGACTGATCCAGCTGTCGCACCCGGCGTGCAACAACATCACTCTGGTTGGGATCGTCATCTGCCTGGGTTCGATCTTCCTGCTGGGTCTCGACGGACAGTTCGTCAACCAGCAACAGTTTCCTACGGTGTGTGGGCTGCGGGCCTGGTGTCTCTCGCTCGGCTTTACTCTCGCCTACGGGGCCATGTTCTCCAAGATCTGGCGCGTCCACAGACTAACTACTAAGACCAAAATAGAAAATAAGGTGAGTATTCGCGTCAGTTTTTTAGTTTTGTCTTGCTTTCTGAGTATTTTGGCTCGTTGTAATTGTTTATTATGATATTGATTCAATGGTTCAAATCTGAAGTTGGGTTCAGTTCCTGAGCCCATTTTGTGCCTCTTTAACATTTTATATTGATGCTTACAAGATGGATATGGGTTCCTATACCACACACAGGATGAGTATGGGTTCCTCTACCACTCACAGGATGGGTATGGGTTCCTCTCACTCACAGGATGGGTATAGGGTCCACTACCACTCACAGGATGGGTATAGGGTCCACTACCACTCACAGGATGGGTATAGGGTCCACTACCACTCACAGGATGGGTATGGGTTCCTCTACCACTCACAGGATGGGTATGGGTTCCTCTACCACTCACAGGATGGGTATGGATTCCTCTACCACTCACAGGATAGGTATGGGGTCCACTACCACTCACAGGATGGGTATGGGGTCCACTACCACTCACAGGATGGGTATGGGGTCCACTACCACTCACAGGATAGGTATGGGGTCCACTACCACTCACAAGATGGGTATGGGGCCCACTAACGTGTATGGATAGGTATGGGGTTCATAATAACTGATCTGAATTAGGTTAAAATCGAGGAGTTTAGTTTTTTGGTCTCAAGCTTCGCGAGATGTTTCATGATTCGTTAAGTATCCGTAAGTGACCAGATTGTCTTGTCTTAAACCTTTCCGGCTTTTTCTTAAAAAGAATACAGCCCTTACATCCGTGCTTGGGTCTAGAGAACCTTGATGTTTACCATTCCTGATGCTTCTAGTTCCGTCCGTGATAAACCCTTAGTGTCATGACTTTCATCCTTCACTCAATCGGGCTCTGAGAACATCAGAGGTCTTCCAGCTGGTGGAGCCGTTGTGAATGTAATCTTCCAGCTGGTGGAGCCGTTGTGAATGTAATCTTCCAGCTGGTGGAGCCGTTGTGAATGTAATCTTCCAGCTGGTGGAGCCGTTGTGACTGCAATCCTCCAGCGGGTGGAGTCGTGTTAACCATGTACTTATTACAGCGGGTGGAGCCGTGGAAGCTGTACGTGATGGTGGGAAGCCTGGTGGTGGTGGACGTGATCGTGCTGAGCGTGTGGCAGGCGGTCGACCCCCTGCAGAGGAAGCTCGAGGAGTTCCCGCTGGAGAAGCCCCTGGACGCCGTCGAGGACATCAAGATCAAGCCAGAGCTGGAACACTGCGAGAGTAAATACAGCACCATCTGGCTAGGTAAGACCTACCATAGTAGTCAGAGATAGAGTAAGATATAGAGATAAAGTAAAGCTAAAGCAAAAAGTAAAGAAAGAATAAGAGCTAGAGATACGAGTAAGAGATGGAGTAAGAGCTAGAGATACGAGTAAGAGATGGAGTAAGAGCTAGAGATACGAGTAAGAGCTAGAGGTGGAGTAAAAGCTAGAGACACAGTGACAGATATAGCTAGATTAAGAGTTGGAATAAGTGCTAGAGATAGAGGTAGAGTCAGAGATAAAGATATAGATAAAGGAATAAGCCCTAGAGACTGAATAATAGCTATATATATATACAGTAAGAGCTAGAGTTAGAGCTAGAGCTGGAGTAAGAGCTAAATATAGATTATGAACTAAAGTAGAGTAAGATCTAAATTTAGAGTAAGAGCTAAATTAGTAGCTAGGTATAGAGTAGAAGCTAAATTAAGATCTTGATACAGAGTGAGAGCTAGAAGACAAGAGCTAGAGACAGAATAAGAGCTAGGGGGTGAGATACTGAGAGCGTTGTATAGCCTTGTGTTCACTTGCAGGACTGCTGTACGGGTACAAGGGTCTCCTGCTCATCTTCGGTCTCTTTCTGGCCTACGAGACGCGAAGCATCAAGCTCAAGCAGATCAATGACTCCAGATTGGTATGTTTATCTCTCTCTCTCTCTCTCTCTCTCTCTCTCTCTCTCTCTCTCTCTCTCTCTCTCTCTCTCTCTCTCTCTCTCTCTCTCTCTCTCTCTCTCTCTCTCTCTCTTTTGATTGTTCAATAAATCACGGAATTATATGTTTAACAGATCTCTAACCCTGTCCATGGAGGACAGCAGAAAATGTATATATATATATATATATATATATATATATATATATATATATATATATATATATATATATATATATATATATATATATGTGTGTATATATATATGTGTGTGTGTGTATATATGTGTGTACACACATATATATATATGTGTGTGTGTGTGTGTTGGTTAGCATTGTAAATGTGTGGCCACGTCTGTGGTAGACAATAATAATAATAATATAGTAAACAAAGCCTTGGCCCTCCGGCAGGTGGGGATGAGCATCTATAACGTGGTGGTGCTGTGTCTGATCACCGCTCCGGTGACTTTGGTCATCTCTACCCAGCAGGACGCCTCCTTCGCCTTCGTCTCTCTCGCCATCATCTTCTGCTGCTTCCTCTCCATGGCCCTCGTCTTCGTCCCTAAGGTCAGCCAGCCCCTCGGCCCTTGACCCCCAAGGTGGTCAGTTCGCGACCTTTGAGGACCCTCCTCAAGAACAATTCAAAGGATAACATTTAATTCCTATGTAATGACAAATATACATTATCACATTAAACGCATCATTGTTGATATTGATATTTAAGGTTGCATACAGCGAGTAAATTGGGTTTTTATTTATAGTTGAACATAGGTTTAGTGTTGCAGGTCATTTTCAAAACCTTTTTATAACATTTGTGTTGCTTATGCATTGTTTGAACCCTTAGTGTCATGACTGTCATCCTTCATTCAATCGGGCTCTTGAGAACATAAGACGTCACCTCCTTTAAAAATAATTATATACTTACGCCAGTGAATATTCATATGATACATGAACGAATGGAGGATACATAGGTAAGATAAGTACATTACATAAAGCCACCAGAGCGAATTATTTTTCATGTATAGTGTTGAGGAGTAACACTCATTCTGTATACCACATGAAATAGTCACGCTGTATATACCACATACACTCGTGTTCTATGCACCACATACACTCCCATTGTATAAGGCCTGTACACTAGCTCCATGTAGCTGCCGAAGGTGCCGCAGGTTGAAGCTTGTGCCCCTCGCCAGATCGTGGAGACCATCAGACACCCGGGCGAGCGAGTGGAGTCGACGGGGGACACCGCCCCTAGCAAGGAGGAGGAGGAGAGGTACCAGAAACTCATCCACGAGAACGAAGAAATGCAGAGGCTCATTGCGGAGGTAAAGGGCGCTGGACTTGTGCTGTTTCTGTCTGTCAAGCTCTCTGTCTTCCCCTATGTCTCTCTCTCTCTCTGTCTCTGTCTGTCTGCCTCTCTCTCACCCTTTCTCTATCTCTGTCTGTCTGCCTCTCTCTCACCCTTTCTCTATCTCTGTCTGTCTGCCTCTCTCTCACCCTTTCTCTATCTCTGTCTGTCTGCCTCTCTCTCACCCTTTCTCTATCTCTGTCTGTCTGCCTCTCTCTCTCTCTTCATCGTAAGGTGTCCTAGGCATAGCACTTTCTAGCTATTGACACGTAATAGTAGCAGCTGCTGGCAATTGACTCAGGTAGCACAAGTAACACCTCACTATTGTCTGGCTCCCTACAGAAGGAGGAGAAGATCCGTCTCCTAAAGCTGAAGCTACAGGAGCGAGCCGCCCTCAGAAGCAGGGAACAGCAGCAGCAACAGCTCCTGTCATCAGAGAACCACGTAGTGGGGATGGACTCCTCCCACCAGATGCGCCTCCGTCAGAGTACGTGGGTGCTTGTGTACGTGGGTGCTAGTGGGTGGTTGGGTATGTGAGTGCTGGTGTACGTCAGTGGTAGCGTACGTGGTTGGTGATGTACGTCAGTGGTGGTGGCTGGTATTGTACGTGGGAGAGGGTGTGTGTGTGTGTGTGTACATGGGTAGTGTTATAAGTATGGGTTGTGTAAATAGGTGGTAGTATGGGTGAGGGAGTTATATGCATGGGCGATGGTGAACGTGGAGGTTATATACGTGGGTGTGAAGGGAGGATATATAATATATCATTATGTTTGAATACAATGCCATAAACAATGAAATATAATGTTTTTTGTCTGTATACTAGTGTATACTGAGACACAGATTGACACGTGGGCATACAGTACCTGTGTATACTGAACAAGGATTGACACGAGGGTATACTTGTGTATACTGAGAGGAAGCTTGACAAGTGTGTATACTTACAGTTTCCGGAGACTCCCAGAAGGATACTGTAGCCTTGCTCAGCGCCGATATTGAGCTCTATTACGGCAGTAAGTAATACTGACGGAGGTTGTACACACCTGACACCCTGTGAGGTGTGCGTGTTGTCATACCCACACTTGCGTCACACGCCTGCGTCACGTGTACTGACTGCCTCGCATGCACGGCATCACAAGCACTTTCAGTCACGTGAGTCACATGTATAGTCTCACGTGTACTGCGGGAAATGCATTGAGTCACGTTAGTCATATGTACGTGTCACATGCATTGAGACACGTGAGTCACATGTGCTGTGTCACATACACTGCGTCACAAGCATTGCGTCACCCGTCACCCCGCGCACACGCAAGTAGTGTAACATTGGTTCTGCTTCACGCGCACTGTTACTGAGTCACTCACACCTCTTCACACAATATTACTCTGCGTGACACACACACACACACATGTACGCATTGCGTCACAGACTGCTTCACTTGTGTACACCGTGCGTCACTCACGCTACAACGCCGCCCCCACCACCTCACCGCTTTCACTTACCAACTCACACTCGGTTGCAATCCGCACGCTTTTGTCGTCTCCAATCAGACCTGAATGCACGATGATTCCTGGTCCCAGGACCCAGTTATAAATCACTTGATATACTATTAACAACACTTTATTTACACTTAAGGCTCATTTACACTTCCTTCAAAACACTTTATGACTTTTTTTTGGTAAATGTGTGCATTCCTTTTTTTGTTTAATTTAGTTACCCCTTGTTTGTGTTTTGTTTACAGGTGGTCGGCCCGCCGTCAGGATCGTCACCCCAGACCCGTCCTCCGCTGGAGATCATGCAATGGTGCCAAGGATCAACTTCGATATCTCGGAGTCCTACCTGTGAAGGCCTCCTGGGGCCACTGCTCCCATGGGCCAATGGGCCATCAGATCAGTGGACCAATAGACCATTAGACTTGCGGACCATAGGATCATTTTATCCAATGGATTGTTGAATCCGTGGGCCACTGACACGCTGAATCCATATATCACGAATCAGTGGATCACTTAACCCTTGGAGGCCATTGCACTAAGGTCAAATGAGTCACTGTACCTTTGAAACAATAGATTGCTTGACCCGCGAATCAGTGGACCAGTACGCTTCATGGGTCCATGGACATCTGGACCAATAAGTCACTGAATCCATTGACCGTGAATTAGTGAACCACTGGCCCTATGGCCCAGTGAATCACTTGACATATGGATAAATCCATTGATCAGTGGCCCAATGAATCCATGGAATTGGGTAATGATCAAATGAAACATTGGACCCCATGTACTATGAACCAATGTGCTATTGGATCCATGTACTATGAACAAATGTACTATTGGTTCCATGGACTATGACCCATTGAGCTATTGGATTAAGGGACTACCAGCTGGATTTCCAAACAGTTATTAGCTAAGAGTAGTAGACCGCTGAGTCAATGGGTCAATGAACCGCTGGACCTCTGGATCGATGGATCAACGAGCCACTGGACCTTTGGATCAATGGATTATGAGGCATTGGACCTTTGGATCAATTGATCAATGAGCCAATAGACTTCTAAATCAATGGATCAATGAGCCACTGGACTTCTGAAAGAATGAGCCGTTGGATTTCTTAATCAATGGATCAGTTAGCCATTAGACTTCTGATCAATGGATCAGTGCGCCACTAGACCTCTGATAAATGGATCAGTGAGCTACTAAACCTCTGAATCAATGGAGCTTCTAAACTTCTGGATCAATGGATTAATGAGCCACTAGACCTGTGGATCAATGGATCACTGAACTATATGTATCTCTGAAAACTGGTCCTCAATCAAAGGGCTCTCATATCTTTACATTTGTCACACGGCGTAATAATAACAGTATTACCACAAATACAAATTATGTATTTTACATAGGCCTAGGTTATGTCAACTTAGGATTACTTGTTATTTTGTCAACTACCCCGAACTGTATTTACAGTACGTGTATCAAGCATTTGAATAAGTGGACTTCGAATATGTAGAATTGTTCTACGCCAGCGAGTGGAGTATAGTGTTGAGGAGCCACTCTACATATGTATGTAGACTGGCGAGGGTTCGCTATTGACTCACTGAACCAGTGAGGTTTACGGGTTTACAACCTACACCCGGTGGGTCAGGTTATAGTGACCTCAGGTAAGGTCACTACAACCCGGTGGGTCAGGTAAGGTCACTATACAACCCGCTGGGTCAGGTAAGGTGGTACATCTTGATAAGTTTCATTAAATTCATAAAGATAGTGAAAGGCTGATGGACTAACGCCCCTTTCAATGTTTCGAGGACAGACTCTACCCTGAACGAAGATTGGAATATATTTACTGGATCATGTGGATCCCTGATCAGTGAACTATGTAGATCATAAACTATGTGAACCACTGAACTTTGTGGACCACTGAACCAAATAGATCACCGATCCGTGTATACAACATGTAACTATGCCTTAAAAACAATGGTCAAAAGTGCTTCTATCCAACAGTCAAACTCATTGCTAGAAAACTAAGTGTATTAAGTCAATCCACTTGGACTTGTCTGTACAGCGGTGTCCTTGCTGCTTCTAGCATTTTTTGTTTAATATATGAGGTACATCTGCATTTGTGCAGCTACCCTAGATTATATGAAGGGGGAGTACAGTGTGTCAAAAAGCTAGCGACATAGAGCTAAAAAAATCCCTTCACACATGATGGTTAGTCATACAGAGGCATGTGATAAGTAATCTGCACTGGCAAACTCTGGGTGCATTATGAGGATATCATCAATACAAGAGTGAATAAGGTAGCAGTGATACCAAAAGTCCCCATCTCGCAGGATGTTTAGTCATACAGAGCCATATGTTCGGTATCCTGCACTGGCAAATTTTGGGTGCAATATGAGAATATCCTCAAGAACACGAGAGTGAATAAAGTAATTGCAAAGCTCCAGGTACCTCATGCCAACGGCTTTGAATGGTCTAATAACTGGGCATTCGGCGATGTAGTGTGGGAGATCATGTCGCAATTCCTGCTCACAGAGTTTGTACCTGGAGTGCTCAGGATTGGGAGATCCGTCACCTGTAGCCACCTGCCACAGGTAACGGTAACCCAACCTGATCCTTGCAACCACTGTGTCGCACAGTCTGGTGGACGTTTTGTGCTATCCATAAATACAGGTTTCAGATCTGAACAAATCATAGCTTTTTATACTGGTGCTTTCAGGTCGTTGGGAGTCAGTAATTTCTTTCCTACCAGACCCGAGTGTTTGGAACAATATAGTTTTGACAGCAGAGATGGGGATACCTAGATCTAATTCAACTTCATCTTTATTACACGCTAATTTGGCTTCAATGTCTGTCTCATTATGATGGGTTATATTTATGTGTGATGGTATCCACACAAAGCCTTTCAAGGAGATTCGAGACCCTTTACTCTGTGCAGCGATTAGGTCATTTATAATTGTATGAGGTTCTTGCTGTCGATCTTCCAGGAGAAGTTTTCGAGTGCTTGAAGAGCAGGCTTTAAGTCACAAAATATTATTCGACGGCGTTCGATCTCTGATAGTACAAGAGGTTGAGGACCGTTCCTTCAATCCGCCCTCATATTTACCTGAATTTGCCTGAGGTTTACTAACACTAGTGACCTCGACGAGGACAGGAAACCGACGGCTTGTCAAAGACCCCCCCCCCCGTTGTTCTGATTATTTTTTTCAAGCTGGATTTTAATACTCAGCCGTGTTTTGGCATTTACGGCGTCGACGGGTAGGTGTTTCTATGGATTTATAACTATGGATGGAAAAAGAATCCTGTTTTCTGTCCTACATTGCGGCTTGCTGAGCTTGAAACTGTGGCTCCTTGTTTATGTTACATCTGACCCAGTGCATTGTCCTCATATCCTTTCATATTGTCAATTGTCATGCTGGCGTAGTACATTCTCCTCATAATTACCTAACGCATTACTCACAACTGAATCCTTACGAAGCTTTTCTCGGAAGTTGTGTTTTGCTTCGTGTGTTCATAGCACACTTGTCGAAATGCTTCATTCACGTTATGTAAACACATGGGAACCAAAACATACGACCTAACCACATGTTTACCCATGTACAAAGCCATATTTACGTAATATATTAATTTATGTTTGAAATAGCCCTTGTTATTACTACGTATGATAAATAGTATTGGAACGGCCGCCGGCCTGAAGTGTGTGTGTGGATTGAGAACGGGATAATTGCAGGACGCTATGAACAACTGGTTCATATAGACCAAGGCCGCTGAGTCATATATATCACTGGACAACGTGAATCGTTCTGTTACACGGACCACTGAGAAGGACGATGGCCCAGTAGCAGCGAGGACTCTTGCAGGGATGGTTACCTCAGCACTAGGTACTCGTCATGTGTCGTGGAAAACAGGCTCTTAAAGATCCTTTTGGGAACTTGAAATCGCGTCCTCGAAGTTTTAGCTTATAAAATGAATATTTAAGACAAGTATTCGATTCATTTTCTTAATTTTCGAGAACGTGTCCTCGAAAACAGGGTTCTGGAGAGGTTCTCCAAGAAAACGATGGTGTCTTCGTTAATTCGCTCTCGAAAATATGTTCTTGAGACCAAGGTTGGTCTCCAGGTTCTCGGTGTTCGTGGTATTCTTAGTTGTGATCATCGTACTAGGAGCTAGTGGAGCTTAAAGAGCTCCAGCTATCATCAATTTATCAATAATCCCAACGGCAAACGGAAGCCTTTGTGAGGTTCTGTTTATTTTGATTACAAACAGTGGTTCATCACTTATCTCTCAGCTGTCATGTAAGTGACGATGTAATGATGCTCTGCTGTTACTTATTAAGAGGCCACTTAAATTGTCTCATTAACCCCTTACGTTAAGCGATTAGTAGTGAGAACGGGTCGTTAATATTGCATTATTACCGTTAAAATAATGGACAGGGGTTCACAGCTATGGGAAAAAAACGAATATGGTAAATTATTTTAACGACATTGGCAGAGACAGTTGTACAGCGTTGTCATTGGTCTTTGTTAATATTCCAGTGGCCATTTTGTTCACTTTGTTAACGCACAGCGATGTGCCCCAGGAGACGTTGGCTTTTTTGCCTCCTGACGGAGTGCTCGGACGACACGAAGGACTCGTGATGTGCCCATCGGAGAATTCAGAGGCATATTTTCATTCCATTGTTTCGCTGAAAAAGATCATCGAGATATGAATCAAATTATTGGTTAAATAATTTTGCGACCTCTCTCCTCGTACCCACAGGAGCTACCTCGCTCGTATCCAACAGAGCGACCTCTCTCGTAATCAACGGATCAATCCCCTCTTGTACCCAGCGGAGCGACTTCTCCCATCGTACTCAACGGAGCGATCTATTCGTACACATCGGAGCCACCTCTCCTCGTACCCAACGGAGCAAACCCTCCCCCCACCGTCGTACCCAACGGAGCGAAACCTCCTCCCACCCGCCTCCCTCGTACCCAACGTAGCGACCTTTCGTACTCAATAAAGCGACCACTCGATCCTGGCACCCAACAGAGTGACCTCTCTCCTCTGTTGGAAACCCTAGGTAACAATCACTGGCATACCTTGAGAGCGCCTATACATATGAGTCTGGTTTAGCTCGGGTAAGCCGTTCGTGAGTTCACGGAGGAAAAAAAAAAGAGATGCGGGCATCATATCTTTTTAAGTTACGCGGTCATTCGCTTAGTGGAGAGGACGGCCGCCAGAAGCTTTCCCCCCCAAGACCTCCGACAGTTCCACCGCGAAGTGTAGCGATGGAGGCTAACTTCAGCGTCCAATGCTACACAGAACCTTGTCATAGCAGGTGCTTCTGGCAGCGCCGCCGCTACAGGAGCGCCCCGGGCTCCAAGCTGGTCAGTCACGGCGGTGTTGTCCTCTCAAGAGGACGAGACACGCTAGACGGACCTCGGATCTCGTTGCTTGCAGCGATGATCACCGATTATATAAAAAGTCATAAAAAGCTACCATAACAGTTACTCTGAGGAAAAAGCACAAAAAAATATATAATAATAGTCTATTTTAGAAGTCTATTCTTTTATACTCACTTTCTGTTTGCTTCTTTAACTCCTTTAAATGATTTAAACAATTATCAGTTGTTAAAGCAATTAAGCGATTTAACAGGAAATTTATCTTCATATACTTGTCTTACTTATATAGTTTAATTGTGTACAAAATATAGTTTAGCTACCTGATATATAGCCTTTCAACTCAAATTTTATATTACTTCATTCTCTAGAATTTGAATATTTTGTTCGGAATGTTCATGTTACAGATTTAGTCAAGTTATTACGGAGCTACGTAAGAATTACAGGTGGACCCTTGTGTTACCTCACATATGTTTATGTGGTGCCTGGTGTTTCATGTGGTGCCTCACACATGTTTATGTGATGCCCCACATAAGTTTATATAGTGCCTCATATATTTATGTGGTGCTTCACACATGTTTATGTCAAATAAAGATATTCCTGTTTTAACGCTTTTGATTCGTATTTTAAGTGTTTAGTTTTATATTTAGGTATTGTTTATCATGTATAGGAGGCCCTGAGACACCATGGGAGACCCTGGGACACTATGGGAGGCCCTTGCACATTCCTTGGGAAGCCCATGAATACACCTATAGGAGATTCTTGGACATACCATGGAATATCCTTCGACACATCATTGGAGAGCCTTAGACACTACAGTGGAGGTTGACAGGGCCAGATGAATATTCTATTAACATAACGAAAAACACTGGATTTCGATCAGAAAACACAGAAATATTGCACGTTATTAATGTTATTGGAAAAATGCAGCTAGAATATAAAAATACACCAGTATACTTTTGGAACAAAGATCTGTACAGTGAAGATTTGTCCCTCGGATACCTTCAGGAGCGCGATGAACTTGTAGCAGTTCTTAAGAAGATACTTCTTCACCTCAAGAGTATCTATGGGCGGTGAACCATGACATGATGGTGGGTAGGGGGAGCTATCCTCTTGACAGGCTTCACCTCCGACATGATAAATACCACTGCAAGTGTGTCTTAACGGGTGGTGAAAAATGACATAACAGTAGGGGGTGAAGAGGTCCTTTTGACAGGCTTCACCTTTGACATGACCAACACCCACGCCCACTGGCTGCTCATGTCAGACATGGGAGGAAACACCACTTGCATCCCTTTCTTCACAAACTTGAACTGTAAAAAAGAGTGAAAACAATTATATGTGAGATTATAAAGCGATTACTGTATTGTCTGTAAAGTGATGATATAAATTAACAATTTCCCTGAAGGAACTTCATTACTTAGGTAAATCATCAAAAGTCTATAATGCTTTTAGTTTAATGCATATATAATTTAGTTTATATAACTAATACAATTACAACTTCGACCAATAAAATTTAGTCTCAAAACGCAAAGTAATCATTGATGGTATTGTGTTTATACAAAGACTGGTTACAGAAGGTCCCTGGCAGTGGAGGACGGACCATCTCACCTGGAGGCTGCGTCTAATGTCGTTGTCATGGTAGCCAAGGATGGAGATGCTAGTCTCTGGTGTGGGAAGGACGGAGCCCAAAGTCAGTAGGTTGCCTCGGGGCCACGACAGCACCATGGCGTACACCGTCTCCCCCTTACTGGTGAACCTGTACCACCACACACCTCACTACCTCAGTATTCTATTACAATACCTTGAAGGTTATATAAATAAAGCTATTTTTAATACAAAAAGCCATACCATAAGTTTAATGCTAAAATGTTTGAGATCCAACATGCCGCCTTGGGTTTAGACGATAAATTTATGTGTAACAAATATATTTGTCACACATAATGGAGAGTCCCTTTTGAATGGGACTCTCCACACTCCAGGAGTCACACTGGTTGTGGTGTGACTCACAAAATGACTCACCATACTCCAGGAGTGACACTGTCGTTCTGGTGTGTCCACGGAGTTGAATCATACACGGCATCACCATTGATGTCAAGCCAGGAGCCCAGTTGCCTCAGTCTCTCCTCCATGATGGGTGGGATGCGGCCGTCGTGTGTAGGTCCCGCGTTGATTAATATGTTGCCTGTGTGAGTGAAGATCAGTAAGAGAGTGACATTTTTGTGAGATAATTTCTTGATTATAACTGTTGTGTGGGCTTACCGCCGCAGCTGATGGTCATGGCGAGCTCGGTGATGAGGTCGTGGACAGTGAGGTAGTCTGCCAGTGGTGCGTTGCGACGGTAGCCCCACGCTTGTCGGTCCAGAGTCATGCAGTTCTCCCACTTGTGAGGCTGAAGGACCCCTGCAACACAACCATTCTTCAGTCATTAATTACTACAGGGAGACAACATTGTGGCGTGTCCTATATCTTCACCTATACCTGTTCCCGTACCTTTCATTGTTCTTAGAACCTAATCTTCATTCTTTCATCGCACTGTTTCATGCTTAGAGTAATCTTATTTGGTCATCCGGACTCTAAACATTCCCGTATTGTGAACTTATACCCGGGTTGTAGCGGTCTTGGCAGTTATAGAAGGAGCCGTGTTGACAGCGAATTCCTCTTCCCCATCTGTCGTTGACCACAACGGTGTCCTTGACGGGGGAGTCGTTGAAGAGCCACGCCAGGAACTTGGTGGAGTTCCAGTACCAGTCTTCAATCTCCCAGTCACCATCTGACCAGATCACCTCCGGCTGGTAGGTGTTCACCTGATGCATAATACAACAACAACTTAAGTTTAAACGTTTTCTGTTGAACATTTGCCATTTTGGATTAACACAATTATGTGCATCACAGCCATATATAAAAATTAGCTGTGTCCTATCATGCAAAATTTTCCAATATACGGGATGTCTCTGAAGTCCCTATTTCACCAGTAAAAATCTTAACCTCAACACTTGAAGTTTCACAATAGGTGAACATCAAGTAAATTATAACCAAACAGTGCTGCCAAACCATTGCAGCAATGTAATTCACACTAGCAGTGTTGCCAGAGACACCTAGAATAGACTAGGAACAAGTCATGAGATCAATACTAAGAACAGCAGGAACGTCAGTTTAATTAACGCCTGGGTGTTGCATCTGTTTATGAATACTAGGCTTCGTTATTTATTTTCTGGTCTAACCCATTAACAAATGCAAAATAGCACAATGTGCAAAGAAAAAAATATATATTGCAATTTAATAATCATCTCTGACGTAAGTATACAGCCCTTCAAGCAACATTAAATATATATCACTGAAGATACATACGAGGTGATCAGTATAATGAATATATAATTTAGAATATCACACACATAAACAGAACAGACCCCCTAAAACACAGTTATATAAGAACAATTATGTGATTACACTAACATACACCACGCTCAGTAAAACCAACCAACTCAAAGTAGCCTCACGCACAAACGCAATAATGTAAAACTATTGCTTACCAGCTCATAAAGCTCTGGAATGGTTTTTTCCTTAACGAAATTGTTGGTCTGAAACTTGTTGGACTTATCCTGGAGGTAGAGTGGGTTAAACCACTCGTAAAGGGAGTGATACAAGCCGAAGTGGATATTTGGAGTCTTGGTCCTGATGGCCTTGGCCAGATCACCTAAGGAAATAATAGTTCAATTCTATAATATGTAAGCCACACATGCATTATACAATTAGCTAAGTGAATTAGATAATGTGAATCTAATTCACATCATGATGTGAATGATGATGTAAGAGATGTGAATTTAAGATATACTGTACTAATCTGCTATTATGTTCTTCACATAACAATGCTAAAACCTATTTTACTGAAATATTTATGGATGACAGATACACAGAACCAACTTACGAGCATTAGGTTCATGAATAAAAGCACAATAAACAACTGACCGAGCAAGTCCCTCTTGGGCCCGACGTCCATGGCGTTCCAGTTCCAGGAGTAGCGAGAGGGCCAGTTGGTGAAGCCTTCGTGGTGCTTGCTGGTGAGGACCACGTAGCGGGCTCCCGAGGCGTTGAAAATATTCGCCCACTTCTCGGGCTCGTAGAACTCCGCCGTGAACTGGGGAGCGAAGTCCTGGTACGTGAAGTTGGGCGGGTAGTTCTTCTTCATGAACTCCACGTACTCGCTATTGTGAGCTTTTACCAAAAGCAGACAACAACAAAATTGTACTCATATTAGCACATAAATTACTGAGTAACTTCTTCGCAAAAAGTAAACAAAGACAATTAAATACTTTAAACAAATGCAGGAAAGTTACTTTTCGAATCATTACTATTTACACTTTAAAATAACTTTCTTGATGAATGAAAAAATCAATATGATTTAAAATCTAAAGAGCGCCTTAGTGACGCACAATCACTAAATTAGAGAAGAAATCAAAGATGCTGAAACGAACTCTCGGTTCTTCAATGTCATTTTTGCTTCATACAAATTTGCGGAATGTTACCTTGCCAAAATTCCCAGAACCAGGCAGAGCTGAAGGAAGGAACAGAGAAGACACCCCAGTGGAGGAAGATGCCGATCTTGGCTCCGTCATACCAAGGAGGCAGAGGCCGAGTGTCCAGGGAATCCCACGTAGGCTCGTAGCCCCCCATAACAACACCTGAATGAACAATGTCTTGTGAGAATAAATTGCTTACTTACCACATCGCTTACTTACCACAAGCATTCCTTACCCTAGAATGGTGTAAATAATGAATTTGTGAATACTTAGTGGCTGCTTGGCCTTCAATGATAATTGACTGGAGGAGATTGTAGACAGTAATCAGCCCTTAAATCATTAGTTGACTTTGCAAATAGTAATAGGTTACTCATGGTTTATTTCGGTCCCTATGAGAAGTATTGTAAAGGGTTGAGAAGTTGTAAGGGTAGTAGGGAGGCAGAATGGAAGGGATGGTGGTGAGCAAGAACAACAAGACAAAAGAGAGCATTAGGGTAGTCACGAAGGCAAGTCGGGCGTGTGTGGGTGACCATGGTAGGTTGGTGAGCACTCAGGCGATAACGCCACCAGCCAACATGTTTCCCTGGTCTGCGCTATGAGTATCAGCAGCTACACCTCTCCTATTACGGGCTCACCATAGCCCGTGCTACATGGAACTTTTTCTGAGTAGCTGAATCTATAACAACAACAACAACCTCTCCTATACCCCATGGCCCTATCAATCAGCCCATCCTCTAGTACATCGCATTTTGACTTATAAATCCTCCAAGACCAAAAATTGATGTACTAAAAATCCTAGCGGCTCACAAACATTGACGTGCTGCCCCGTTTTTCATTCGTGGGTCCTGGTTTAGGTTAGGTTCAGGCAATATAGTACATCAGTTTAATGACGTAAACATTAGAGAGGACGGGGTGACCAATTATAAGCTCTCACACGCATTTAGAGCTTGTTGTATAATTCATCAAAACAATCCTAATCAAACGTTTGAATGCCTTTGGCCTATATGGTGTGGCTGTGTTGATTGTCAGGTAATAGTCATCGCCTCAACACGGAAGGTTTTATTAAATTTCGTTAACCGTTAAATCAGAATTAATAAATTTGTTTAGTTTCATCCATTTTCTATTTATTTATTTATTTATATATATACAAGAAGGTACATTGGGATTGTGAGGATACATAGCATAGTAATTACATTCTTGTAAAGCCACTAGTACACACGGCGTTTCGGGCTACTTGTTATTGGTTACTCTTATAATAATTCACGAAATAGCATGTATTATAAACTATCTTTGTCATTTGTCATTCACGGGTTCGAACACCGTAGTTAGCTTTAAACTACCGAACCTCAACAACAAAGGCCAATATGCTCGTTTTGAATCACTGTTGCTACCATTATTCAGCACTAAACCTCAAACAAACACAAACCAGCGCTTACATTTTCCAGTTCTGTTCATTTAAAAAATAAAGAATACAATAGGTAAAACAGCCTGAAAGCGAGGGAACAGCACTGACCGAGGAGCCAAAAGAGGTACGCCTGACGAACCATAGCGGCTGGTACTGGCGGTCGAGGCCACGGTTGCCAGATCTAAATTGCTGAAAGTAGCGAGCTGACGGTCTAAAAGTAGCGAATTTGTAATAAGAGTAGCCCAATTTTTTTTAGTGAATGATATGGGTTTCAAAGTAATATATTTTGATATATAGAGTACACTACACGATGTTAATTGTTTTATTAATATTATTTCTGCACATACACACACACACACACACACACACACACACACACACACACACACACACACACACACACACACACACACACACACACACACACACACACACACACACACACACACATATATATATATATATATATATATATATATATATATATATATATATATATATATATATATATATATATATATATATATATATATATATATATATATTGTGAGGTAACAGTCTTTCTTGTAAACATATGTTGTTAAATATGACCGAAAAAGTAAGATTAATAATTCTAACACGAATTTTCTCAATATTTCTTGTTTCTTTTTACTGTCGATAGTAATTGAAAAATCAATTCTCCAAAATTAATTTTTATTTCTAGTCTGACGCGACGCTTGAACCCGTTTCGTAATAACTTATTACATTTTCAAAGACTTTAGTTTACACACACACAACTGTAACCTGAAAACACTAAACAGAGTTTTACTAATGCAAACACTGAACAGCTTGTCTTATATACTCGCATTTGGGTGAGGTGATATGTTGCAACAGTTTTGGATGAGGTGAACAAACTTTTGACCAACATAAGACAGAACACGGTACAATGGGTATAAATTGGATAAATGAGAGGGAAGAATGGAAGTAACTGCAAAGGGCCTATTGGTCCATACCTCCTTTTGATGCTTCTATATTGGCATGGAGTTTTGAAGTGGGTAAAATATAGTTGTGCATTAATTGGCTGTTGATTGCTAGTGTTGACTTTTTGATGTGTAGTGCCTCGCAGATGTCAAGCCGCCTGCTATCGCTGTATCTATCGATGATTTCTGTTGTTTGTTAAGACTTCTCTGGTGGTGGGGCTGGTTGTGGGAAGAGATTATATGTTCCTTAATGGAGCCCTGTTGCTTATACATTGTTAATCGCCTGGAAAGAGATGTTGTCTTGCCTATATACTGAGTTCTTTGGGGCTTACAGTCCCCAAGTGGGCATTTGATGGCATAGACGACGTTGGTCTCTTTTAAAGCGTTCTGCTTTGTGTCTGGAGAGTTTCTCATGAGTAGGTTGGCCGTTTTTTTTGGTTTTATAGTAAATCGTCACTTTTATCTTATGATTTTTGTCTGTAGGGATAACGTTCCTATCAATAATATCTTTCAGGACCCTTTCCTCCGTTTTAAGAGCTGTGGAAAAGAAGTTCATGTAAAATAGTCTAATAGGGGGTACAGGTGTTGTATTAGTTGACTCTTCAGAGGTTGCGTGGCGTTTCACCTTCCTTTTTATGATGTCTTCAACGAAACCATTGGAGAAGTCGTTGTTGACTAGGACCTGCCTTACACTACAGAGTTCTTCATCAACTTCCTTCCATCCTGAGCTGTGGCTGAGAGCACGGTCGACGTAAGCGTTGACAATACTCCTCTTGTACCTATCTGGGCAGTCACTATTGGCATTGAGGTACATGCCTATGTTTGTTTCCTTAGTATAGACTGCAGTGTGGAAACCTCCACTCCTTTCCGTGACTGTTACATCTAGAAAGGGCAGCTTCCCATCCTTCTCCATCTCGTAAGTGAAACTCAACACAGAATTCCGCTCGAATGCCTCCTTCAGCTCCCGCAGACGTCTGACATCAGGTACCTGTGTAAAAATGTCGTCAACATACCTGCAGTATATGGCAGGTTTCAAGTTCATGTCAACTAAGACCTTCTGTTCGATGGTATCCATGTAGAAGTTCGCAAATAGGACACCTAGGGGAGAACCCATGGCGACCCCATCTACTTGCTTATACATGTGCCCATCCGGGCTCAAGAAGGGTGCCTCTTTAGTACAAGCTTAGAGTAGTTTCCTTAGAATGTTTTCTGGTATGTCAAGAGGAGTACAGGCCGGATCACGATACACTCTGTCCGCTATCATCCCGATTGTTTCAGCCACAGGTACATTGGTAAACAGTGATTCTGCATCCAACGAGGCTCGTATCCCTGTGGCCCGTGTTCCCCGCAGTAAGTCAAGAAATTCCTTTGGAGACTTCAGGCTGAAAGCACAAAGTACATAAGGAGTCAGCAAGCCGTTGAATCCCTTCGCCAGTCTGGACATGGGTGTGAGTATCTGGCTGATGATTGGCCGAAGTGGGTTTCCAGGCTTGTGTATCTTGACATTTCCATACACATACCCAGGTTTGTATTCCCCAATAATCTTTGGCAGGCGGAGTCCGGATTTTTTGGCGTTCACAGTTTCGATCAATCTGTTTACCTTTGTTTTCAATTCGGCTGTAGTGTCCTTCGTTACCCTTTGGAATTTAGTTTTGTCAGAGAGTATGAGGTTCATTTTCCCCAGAAAATGAACCTCATTTGTTTCTCCCTGTGAAGATTATTAAACAATGGTGATTATAAGGGCGTGGAAGTTCAGCCTGGCCAGGGCTGCCAGCAGCCCTTGGGTCTGCCCTGGCAGCACCCAGTTTTTAATTTGGCACCTTGGTATAAGCCTAACATGTATATATACACTGGCTGCCTGTCCCCCTACATAATGATTTATTATTACCTATTATTTTATCATTTAATTTCAATATTAAATAAAATAATTTATTTAATTATTATAGTAAGTACTTAATAATTTAATAATAAGTAGTAAGTACATGAAAATGATTAAAAAGTACAATTTAGTCATAGGAGATTCCTAGATTGGAATTCACTACCAAATTTCGATATAGCCAAGTATTTTTAGTGTGAAATGCTGTTATTATATGCATAAATTGTTGTTTTAATAATATTACGCTTAACCACTTGGGCTGGACGGTAGAGCGACGATCTCGTTTCTACAGGTCCGCGTTCAATCCCCGACCGCTCAAGAGGTTGGGCACCATTCCTTTCCCCCGTTCCATCCCAAATCCGTATCCTGATCCCTTCCGAGTGCTATATAGTCGAAATGGCTTGGCGCTTTCACTTGATAGTTCCCCCCCCCCCGGAATAATATTACGAGAGCAGTATTTACGGGCTATTCATGCCCGTGCTACCTCTTGGGTGGCTTAATCTTCATCAATCGAGAGCAGTACGTCCTAACCAGACGTTATATGATGATATCCTCAACAGTTGATAAATAAAAGTAATTGCGGAACTCCAGTTATCTAATACTTATCATAAATGGTATAAAACCTTATCATAAGCCAAGGGATTTGTAGATCAGTGTTTAAAGGGAATTCGGAAGTAATATAACACAGCTGATGCCATCTGTCGGCACAAGAGAACACTATCAACTGGCTGGTCAATAGTGGCCATAAGGTACAGCTTACGCCATCTGTTGACATCAAATTACACTTATAACAAATTACCCCACAAAATACCACTAACGCCATCTAGTTTTTTTCCAACGCACTACAAATAGCCAAACAGCAACCCATAAGGCGGGTTGTTGTGCTCGGGTAGGAGGTTCCTAACTCCGCCCACAGATGGTATGGGGTGCATAATAAATTGCATATCATTCTTTGTTGACATTCACACAACAGCCAATCACAGGAAGGGATCAGCTAAAGGCGCCATCCACTTAATAAATCATCTTTATTCAGCACACCATCGATGCTTGTGACATTCTGCTTCAACTTTAATCTACCTAAAAAGTCAAATGTTAAGTATTTAAAAGTATTAATATAGTGATAATTAAATATTGCAGGATGTAACGGGTGTTACAGAAACATGGGCTGGCTACCTAACTTGAGACGTTATTGTTGGGTGTTGCCTCACACAAATAATATCGGCGATTAATGCCTCCGCCCTCTTATTCGTCTACATTATTCAGTTAGATGGAAATTTCTGTCTTGTATAAAACAGAAATTGTTGTTCTTTTGTACAACAACAAGGTTATTGAGCAAAAGGACGTATTTCTTATTTTGCATTTTATTCATATAAGCGTTGGCATTCCCCGCAACAGCCAATCACAGGAAGGTATTTGTTGGAAACTCTGCCATCAACAAAGCTGATTCCTAATGAACTCTAACAATAAATTCGTTTAATAAACGAGTATTTAGAGTCAAGCTACAGATGAACATTATAGGATAACGGTGTTTTAGCTTGCAGCTTCGTTAGACAGAATCCCTGGTCTTAATTTTAAAAATAAAGAACTAAAAAGCGTATTTTATCGCTAACTTTTCGAGAAATAAATCCCAGTCTCATAATGCCCGAAACGCTTTGCGTAATAGTGGCTTTAGGCATTGTATGTACTAGCTCTATCTATAAATCCATCAATCTTTGTAAAATCTCTTGTATGTATGTATCTTACCTAAATAAACATTTATTTATTTATTTACTTGCGAACATTTACGCATTGATTTTTTGGCTTAAGTTCTCATCATAATCCGTTTTGCAATCTCAACACCATCTGGCCCGTATCTTGTAACTATCTTCGTTACTTAGCCTCAAAACCTTACATTTGTCTTACATATTCTCAACAGTAGATAAAAAAAGTAATTGCAGAATTCGTTACAAATAACAAATACAAATTTTTATTCAGGTAAAGTACGTACACACAAGGTAAGATACAAAAGTTGATAGATTTATAGATAGAGCTAGTACATATAATGCCTAAAGCCACTATTACGCAAAGCGTTTCGGGCAGGAAAAACACTAAAGACTAAAATTTAATACTAATTGAGATTAAAGTATAAATTGTGTTGAGAATACCTAATACCAGCACGTTATAAAACCTTATTATAAGTTACCAGACGTATAAATCAGTGTTTAAAGTAATAATAATACATTATTATTAATGTAATAATATTATTAAAATAATAATAATACAGCTGATGCCATCTGTCGGCACAAGAGAACACTATCAACTGGCTGGTCAATAGTGGCCATAAGGTACAGCTTACGCCATCTGTTGACATCAAATTACACCTATAACAAATTACCCCACAAAATACAACTAACGCCATCTAGTTTTTTTCCAACGCACTATAAATAGCCAAACAGCAACCCATAAGGCGGGTTGTTGTGCTCGGGTAGGAGGTTCCTAGCTCCGCCCACAGATGGTATGGGGTGCATAATAAATGGCATATCATTCTTTGTTGACATTCACACAACAGCCAATCACAGGAAGGGATCAGTTAAAGGCTCCATCCACTTAATAAATCATCTTTATTCAGCACACCATCGATGCTTGTGACATTCTGCTTCAACTTTAATCTACCTAAAAAGTGAAATGTTAAGTATTTAAAAGTATTAATATAGTGATAATTAAATATTGCAGGATATAACAGATGTTATATAAAAATGGGCTGTGGCTACCTAACTTGAGACGTTATTATTGGGGGTTGCCTTGACACAAATAATGATACGCTGCTCTGCCTTCTTAATCAAGTAAATTATTCAGTTAGATGGAGATTTCTGTCAGGTGCAAAACAGAAATTGTTGTTCTTTTTTACAACAACCTTGTTGTTGTGCACAAGGACCTATTTCTTAGTTTAATTTTATTCATAAAAGAGTGTTGGTATTCCCCGCAACAGCCAATCACAGGAAGGTATTGGAAGCTCCGCCTCCTTATGGACTCAGCACATCGCTCTAGCTCATGGCTCTCTGTTTCATCTCTTGTATATACAAACTATGACTTTTTTCGATTCCTGTTATAATTAATAATATGAGATATAAAAGTTTTTACACAAAATGGCTAAATTCTGTCATTAAATGGACTTTATCTGGTATACACACAAACATACACCAATTTAATACCATTCATCCATTATTAATTTCAAATGTAATGTATACTGTCTAGTTTTTTTCCTCTCGCCATTACTTGGTGCAATATTTGAAAGTTGTCTATTTATTTATCGATCTATCTATTATCTTGTATTTATATTTACAAGTTTCTGTGCTTGGAAGAAAACTCTGCATTGAATTGGGACTAATTTATTAAATAATATTATGTAGTATTAATTAATATTTACAATTATTTATAGCTTAGTTACTTTCATGTAACTCGCAATTGTACATTCTTTACATTAATAGCCCAAATTAGCACATCTTGCTTTTAAATTAGCCCAAAAAGTAGCAAGTAGCGAAATTACACAAATTTGGGCGCGCGGGGCTCACAAAAGTAGCCCAATTCGCTATTTGTAGCCCAATCTGGCAGCACTGGTCGAGGCCTCCAGACTGCCCTGTAGACGGGACGACCACACACCCTACCAACCATAATACGTAACTACAAAAGTCCTTTTTTGTTTAGGTTATTACGGTTTACGATATTAAACATTGTGGCTACGTTGTATGTCTGCTGGGACTCGTTCTTTCTCCTATACGAAGGTTAGAAGAGAGGAACACAGCAGTAGGTCTACTGATCTCTGCGTTTAATATGTCGCGCTTTTAATACCTCATAAATAATTTTATGAAAATTTACCTTCATTACAGTTTTCTTCTATACAACATTTCCCCAACCCATGCTCCTGTTTAGATAGTACTTTTTGTACCTATGTGGACCATCGTTGGTCCGCGGTTGTTCAACGTCCTCCCAGCAAGCATAAGAAATATTGCCGGAACATCCGTGGACATTTTCAAGAGGAAACTAGATTTATTCCTCCAAGGAGTGCCGGACCAACCGGGCTGTGGTGGGTATGTGGGCCTGCGGGCCGCTCCAAGCAACAGCCTGGTGGACCAAACTCTCACAAGTCGAGCCTGGCCTCGGGCCGGGCTTGGGGAGTAGAAGAACTTCCAGAACCCCATCAACCAGGTATCAACCAGGTAACCAGGTATCGTACATATGTTGATGTAATAGACAATTAGGCAGTAGAATTTGATATTGTTCACTTTATAGTCCGGAAAAAATAAGGCTAAAAGCCAAATGTAAATATTCTTAGGCCTGGTATACCACATATATGAAATATTCGCTCAGCGTGTATTAGGCTTGGTGGTTAGGTTACGTTAGGTTTTATTGGCAACATAAATACAAAAACTTTTCCGGTTTGTCCAAATTTAGTAGTACCAAATTCTACTTTCGTAAGTGTTCAGTTTCAGTACGTTTATTGAGATAATAAAATAAGTTTCAAACTGATAGAGTAGCTTAGGCTATTTCTACTCTCTTAGTGTTCAGTAGATACGCTGAAACTGTCTCTTAAGAATGAGATTATCCTATTATCTGCATAATAACCTAATTAGCCATGCCGGGCAAATGTGTTATTTAGTTTAGGTCATTTATTATACAGCCCATACCCATCCTGTGAGTGGTAGTGGAAAGGCTTACAGGAGGCACATAATGGGCTCAAACTGAACTCCAAAATTAGTTTAGCTAAGCAAGTTACAGTTGTAATGAGTTAGTTACAGAGTTGACTGACATATGTCTAGAGTCTATTCATAGTTTATCAAATTAACATCACTGTAACCCAAAGATATCAAAGGCACTAAAGCAAAGAGTGAGTTCTATTTAACTAGTTTATTGTATAGTTATTCACACGTGCAGAGGCTGGCTAATAATTTTTTAAAGGGGAAAAATACAATGAAATACATACATATTTAATTTAATTTTAACATGATCAAGTAATTTTGCGATTGACTTCGTCGTTGATAAACTACTGACGCTGGTGCTGCTGGAAACTTATGAATTATTTCCAGAGAAATATCGCAAAAATTACGTTTAAATGTTGACTTGATTTTGCATTACATAATTCTATTACAGAAAAAAAGTATTAAGCACAATAAACCAGCAACACAGAATGGTGCTAACGAAAAGACAACTAGTTTGGTGCTCAGAAAAATTTAATTAATCTACATAGGGAAAAATTACTCTTGGGTGATAACATTTATTTTTGTAAAGAGTTTTCTGGAACCTAACAGAGGATATATCACAGAGTAAACAGTGGAGAGAACGGGAGTTGTAGTTATGGAGAATGTAAGTCTGGGAAATGAGGGTAGTAATTGGGCAGATAAAGGAATTTAGACTTTGTAGTTTTGTTGCAGTAGTTTAACTGGAGTGGAGTTGGGGATGAACCTGTTGTGGTTCTGTTGGATCTCCTTAGGGAGAGCCTTAAGGGGCGGTGAGCCAGGACATGACAGTTGGCGGGGGAAAGGTCTGCTTGACAGGCTTCACCTTTGACATGGCCAACACCCACGCCCACTGGCTGTTCACGTCAGACATGGGCGGAAACACCACTTGCATCCCTTTCTTTACAAACTTGAACTGTAAAAAAAAGATTGAAAACAATTATATGTGAGATTTTAAAACGCTTATTTCATTGTCTTTAAAGTGATGATATAAATTAACAATTTCCCTGACGGAACCGTCATTACTTAGGTAAATCCTCAAAAGTCTATAATGCTTTTAGTTTAATGCACATATAATTTAATTTATATAATTAATACAATTACAACTTCGACCATTAAACTTTCGTCTCAAAACGCAAAGTAACCTTTGATGGTATTGTGTTTATACAAAGATTGGTTACAGAAGGTCCCTGGCTGTGAAGAATGGACCATCTCACCTGGAGGCTGCGTCTAATGTCGTTGTCATGGTAGCCAAGGATGGAGATGCTAGTCTCTGGTGTGGGAAGGACGGAGCCCAAAGTCAGTAGGTTACCTCGGGGCCACGACAGCACCAGGGCGTACACCGTCTCCCCCTTACTGGTGAACCTGCACCACCACACACCTCACTACCTCAGTACTTAATTACAATACCTTGAAGGTTATATAAATCAAGCTATTTTTAAGACAAAACCTCACATTATCACAAATTTAAGAGGGAGAATATTTCAAATACAACATTCGACCTAAGGTTTAGGCTTTTTACATGGACGGAAGATGGGTAGATGCAGTTTAGTGCTGAAAATCTTAAGTTTTGAGCTTAGGTAATAATAACAGTTACCAGACATCATCTAGCCAATGTTGAATTTGCGAAATTTGAATGAAAACAAAATATGGATGTCGTGATGATAGGGATCTAAATCCAACAAAATCAATACATAAAAGGTACAGAATATATAGAAATAAGATGTGGCGAGTCATTATGTTACTCTCATACTCACCATATTCCAGGAGTGACACTGTCGTTCTGGTGTGTCCACGGAGTTGAATCATACACGGCATCACCATTGATATCAAGCCAGGAGCCCAGTTGCCTCAGTCTCTCCTCCATGATGGGTGGGATGCGGCCGTCGTGTGTAGGTCCCGCGTTGATTAATATGTTGCCTGTGTAAGAGAAGATCAGTAAGAGAGAGATATCCAATATTTCATGCAGTCGCAATGTTTGTAACATTACATTACTGTTTTAACTCTGACTTCGGTTAACTGCTCAAGTGCTGCTGGCGTCAATGTGCGCTTTCAGAGTTGAGTTATTGAAAATTGAGTCAGCTGCGCTATTTTTGCACTTGTTGTTGTCAGAGATCTGTGAGGACAGTACCTACGAGTTGAAAATTAATTTTCAGGGATTAGTCTATGATCTTTTTGATTATTTAATAATTATCGGTCTTGCTGAAAGAATTAGTGGAAACAGTTGAGAAAAACATGTCGGTGGCGGTGTGAGAGAGGGAGACTTCACTACATTCAAACTATACCCGTAACTTTTGTTCGGAAAAATCAAGCATAGGAAAATGGATCACCCCCAAATAATAGCCACACTGTGGGTTAAAACTGTTAAGTAAGCTTACCACCGCAGCTGATGGTCTGTGCGAGCTCTGTGATGACGTCGTGGATGGTGCGATAGGCTACTACTGGTGCGTTGCGTCGGTAGCCCCAAGAGCCTCGGTCCAGAGTCATGCAGTTCTCCCACTTGTGAGGCTGAAGGACTCCTGCAACACCACCATTTCTCCAGATATTACTACGGGGAGACAACATTGTTCGTGTCCCATTTCTCACTAAGTCCTACCTCATCAGCCTAGAGCATTAATGTCGACCATTCTGCTCACAGACATTCGCTGCCCAAGGGTACCTAATTTGATCTATATGTTATTATAATGTTAGAACTCGCTGGGATGTGGGATAACTTGCAGTAGGCAATGGAAAGTGAAGAGTTCATACCCGGGTTGTAGTGATCGTCGCAGTTATAGAAGGAGCCGTGATGACACCGAATTCCTCTTCCCCATCTGTCGTTGACCACGACGGTGTCCTTGACGGGGGAGTCGTTGAAGAGCCACGCCAGGAACTTGGTGGAGTTCCAGTACCAGTCTTCAATCTCCCAGTCACCATCTGACCAGATCACCTCCGGCTGGTAGGTGTTCACCTGTTGCATACCAAAATTGAACTTGAGGGTTTTCTGTTGAACTTTCGTCGTTTCGATTAAGGAAATATAAATTTAACATAAATTGCTAATAACAAAGTATTGCATACCAACTCATAAAGCTCTGGAATGGTCTTTTCAATCACGAAATTGTTGGTCTGAAACTTCTTGGACTTATCCTGAAGGTAGAGTGGGTTGAACCACTCAAGCAGGGAGTGATACAAGCCGAAGTGGATGTTCGGAGTCTTGGTCCTGATGGCTTTGGCCAGATCACCTTTGGAAAAAAATGTTTTCATTATACTCCACAAAACAATACTACACATTTCTAACACCACATCCCACCTCAATCTTCCTCTTTCATCTGTCTGTCTCGCAGAACATGTAATCCCAGCAAACACAATGTATCCACAATGTTTCTTTTTAGAATTGTTATTTTCATGGACTGTCGTAAAAATGTAGTTTAAACATCTTGTGTTACTCTGTGTGTAAGTTGGGATATTATGAACAGCTGAAACTGTTCATAACTTTCAGACAAACAAACTCCCGTTTCAGACTTTGTAGGAGTCAGAATAGGAGTTGTTCATTCCTAAAGAGGGGGTACTGGGGCCTACCCAGAAACGGTCTATGACAGCCCCATACCACCTCATTTGTCATCTTGAAAAGATAGGTGAGGTTAGCAGCAAACTTCTGGCCTCCATTCTTGGACAGACATTCTCTTTATAGATATAAACATACAAATAAGCGAATTCAATTTGCAAGACACTGTTTACTGCCATAATAAGGACATTATCTAGATTTCTAGAAACATGTGCACAGCACAAAGCTAACCTACTAAATCCCTCTTGGGCCCGACATCCATGGCGTTCCAGTTCCAGGAGTAGCGAGAGGGCCAGTTGGTGAAGCCTTCGTGGTGCTTGCTGGTGAGGACCACGTAGCGGGCCCCCGAGGCTTCGAAAATATTCGCCCACTTCTCGGGCTCGTAGAACTCCGCCGTGAACTGGGGAGCGAAGTCCTGGTACGTGAAGTTGGGCGGGTAGTTGTTCTTCATGAACTCCACATAATCTCTATTGTGAGCTCCTGGTCAAGGAGCAAGGAGGAAATATGATAATAATTGTCTTGTGTTTTAATACTGGGCAGCTCGAGTGAATACAAAAATGAGTGCTAAGCCTGTTTACGCAAAGTAAGCAAAATTTCAATAAATTTCACGCATCGAAATTACTGTTTTTTAAAGTGTTTTAGCATGTTTTATCCTAAACTAAATTTTACATCATGAAGGACTAACATGATAACGATTTAAAAGAATAAAAGTATACATAAACACCGCTGTTAATATAGTCGTGATTACTGTTAACAGTTGAAACACAATTTGTAAATGAAGAACCTTTCATATTTGTTCTACAATATATTCAATGATATAATATTATCCATAAACATTTTTAAGGTACCTAACCTTTCCAACTATACCAGAACCACTCTGAGCCGAAGGAAGGAACAGAGAAGACGCCCCAGTGGAGAAAGATGCCGATCTTGGCTCCGTCATACCAGGGAGGCAGTGGCCGAGTGTCCAGGGAGTCCCAGGTAGGCTCGTAGCCCCCCATAACAACACCTAGAATAATTAATAATAAAAATAATTCATAAATGGTGTGAGTTACAACATATTATTGTAATAAAAAATACTTCCCATTCGCATAATATACTTGTTGACTAATTATGATGGTTCAGACTTGTCACTAGGGGGTGAACGTGTTTACAAGGCTCGGGGTGACGATTGACGAAGTCCGTCAGGTGTCGTTCGTCATGGGGGAAGGTTCCTCCCTTGTTTATATATTTGTTATAACACGTCAGCCCGTTAAAGACAGTTACAGCCCCGCTCCTGTGTCAGGTAAGTTCTCCGGGCTCACCATAGTGCTCACTCACCTGTGCTACTTTTTGGAACTTTTTGTTCCGAGTAGCTGAATCTAAAAACATCAATAACAGCGTCGGCCGTCAACTCCAGATGGTTGACGGCCGACGTAGGGAGTATATATATACCTATCTTCCCCGAAGTGCGAAATAGATACTTATAGGCTGTCTTGGCAAGTCGCTAGGAAAACGTCTCCCCATCTTACGACCATAGGCTGTCGTTGCAATCTGATCTCAGGCTTAGCTCGTTAAAGACGAATTCAGCATGTTCTCAAATATTAGTTATTATTATATACACTAGGATGTTGAATAGTTAGGTTTAGGTTAGGTACTTAAGTTTGTAGTTAGGTTAAGTTTGTTAGGTTAGGTTTGTAACTATTTGTAAATGACAGACTGGTCTTTGGGAAGACGGCTCGCGTTGCTGTCAAGTGTGTGTAGGGAAGGGTCGTGCATCACCAAGACACTATAAAGGGCGGGTCAAATTGTAAAACTGGTTACGGGCTCGCCATAGCCCGTACTACATGGACATTTTAGTTAGAGTAGCTAAATCTAAAACAACAAACATGTAAAAACTTTCATTATATAGTAGTTTGCAACAACCAAGGTAACAAGTGTCGTAAGAAAACATTATTGCTATTAAAGATAAATCTACAGTGCATAAACTAATACATTTTGAGTTGTTTGTAATACTGAATTTAACCTAAAGTTCCTTTTTCACGGTATCGAGCATGTCTGAAGCTGAAGTATTATATCCGAAGCGAGCTTCATTATAAATAACAAGTGTATATTATGCTTTTACAAATGAAGTTATCAGAAATAGCATAAAATAATGGCAATTCTAGTTTTAACAGCAATGCTAGAACAAATGATTACGGTAAGAATGAAGTTTTTTTTTATTATTTTCTACCACAGACGTGGCCACACATTTACAATGCTAACTAGCATATATACATTTTCTTCTGTCCTCCATGGACAGGGTGAAAGATTGGTCAACATACAGTTCAGAGATTTATTGAACAACCAAGAATGTAGGGAGTGCATAGCGAGGATTGTTGTGGAGACCGCCAGGGAAGGGGCGGGTTGGTGAGCACTCGCTCGATAACTCTACCCTGGAGACCGTATGACTTGATGCCATTGTCGCCACAACAACTGGCCTCTGTACTCACCTAGTTGCTCTGTACTCACCTAGTTGCTCTGTACTTTCCTAGTTGCTCTGTACTCACCTAGTTGCTCTGTACTCACCTAGTTGCTCTGTACTCACCTAGTTGCTCTGTACTCACCTAGTTGCTCTGTACTCACCCAGTTGCTCTGTACTCACTTGGTTGCTCTGTACTCGCCTAGTTGCTCTGTACTCGCCTAGTTGCTCTGTACTCGCCTAGTTGCTCTGTACTCACCTAGTTGTACTCACTTAGTTGTGCTTGCGGGGGTTGAGCTCTGGCTCTTTGGACTGGCCTCTCAACTACTCGAAGATTGCAAGTTCAACGCTACAGTGATAAATCATTTGAAAGACTTGCACAAGAAGTATATAGATACCTATCTTCCTCGAAGTGCGAAATAGATACTCATAGGCTGTCTTGGCAAGTTGCTAGGAAAATGTCTCCTGTTTTACGACCATAGGCTGTCGTTGCAATCTGAACTTAGGCTAGGCTCGTTAAAGCTGTTGTACCCACTCTGTCTCCAACCATTGCTCTTTCACTTTAGTCTTGCTCACTGAAGTACTTAATTTTAGCATTTATGTCTGAAGTTTGGGTTGTATATATACCGATGCTAATTGTATATTGTGATGTCAAGGGCAAACAGTTGAATGCTTATTTTGCTCGGTTATGTGCAGTTTTCAATCCTCTTTTTGGCATTAATTGCGTTAATCTGAGTTGACGTAACGCCCTCTTAATCGGATATGAATCTTGAACCGAGAATTAGACACATATCTGAACCTATGATCATGACAGCTTATGAGTAGACGACCACATCCTAAACAGATGTAAAATGAAATTTTTGTTTTGTTTTAGTGTCTAACATAATTGAGCAACAGTACCCACGATCCAACGGAAGCTGCAGCAAGACACTGAGCTCCTAGATAATGTAAGTTATATCCAAATGACCATAAACAAACCTACTCCCTTTAATGAATGCATGTATAAAATGCAGTTACTAAAGAAACCACGTCCTTGGCCACACATGACGCTTATCAGACATGTCTTGGTGGGAAATACACGGATTAAGATGTCGTCTTAGCCGACCATACGCGAGATACTGAAGTTTGTACTAATGGTAGTCATGACTAATAATTTACTAGATGAATGTATACTTAACGCACTAACGCTATCCAACCTGATCAGTCAACTATGTAACCTCTACAATTTTACCTCGTCTAAGTATAGTTATATAATATATACCACTTATCCTGCACTTGTAGTATTTTGTTTTGGGCATGTTTCACGAAAGACCAGGTTGGGCTTCGTAGGATTCATTTTTCAGTATTCATTATTTATATATTTAGTATATACATGTAAGTTTAAGGATGTCCAAAATTCAGTATTTGTATTCGAGCGACGTTGCAACACAAATGTAGTACAGGACTTTCTATGAATTATCATAAAACTTAGATTGTTTAACGAGTCATTAGTATGTTACAGCCGAGATGAAACTGAACAATGGCAAAGAATACTTAGTGAACTGCCAGGTGGTTGTGTTTAAATTATCGAAGTTGATATTTTCTAACTAAAAACAATATATACTGACCGAGGAGACAGAAGAGGTGCGTGAAGCGATCCATTGCGGCGTGTACTGTGGTCGGCTCACAGACCACAACACTATATAGGAACTACAACCTGTCCCCAACCCCTTCTCTCCCTCCATCCAACCCTCCCTCCCTCCCACGCACGACTAAAGCATTGCTCTGATGCACTTGTTCATTTATATTCAACCATCATTTTTGGTTTTGTCTAAGTTTTTTAACGTTTGTTAATTCATTAGTGAGGGTAGAGTTCCCCACCATAAGCGAGAGTTAGCAATTTATTATGAGCCTTCTACCATCCTATGGGCGGTGGTGAAAAGGGGCGAGAGGCACATAATGGACTCAGGAACTGAATCCCGAGTGAGAAGTTTGTTTCAACGCTGCGTGAAGCCATCATGCCGGCAGGCACATCACTATTTGAAATATCCAATACATAGGACTCGAAAGACAGTGGGGAAGTCTCATTTTGTTTTTGTTTATAAAGGAACTCGTACACCACCTAAGACAGACTGAAACGAGCTTATTGGGTCAGCCAGAGGCTTAGGGCCCGCGCAAGAATATCCCTGCAAAAAAAAAAAAAACTCTGTAACAAACGAAGCGATTACACCATGGGAGAATTAGATCATCGTATACTGCAAATTTATAATGTGCATCAAGAATATGAGGCTCCGTCTACACAAGATGATGCTGCTAATGCAGATCTTTCCATGAGTCGGAGAGACTATAAGGTATTGTCTACGCGTGTCCCTCCAATCTTTTGTGCGTCATCGTTGTAAATGGGTTAAAATCATCTAAAAAATATTAGAAATTTCATGTAGTTTCTTATGAATAAGTATATGGAAGTTAAAAATTAATAAAATTGTGATATTGATATAAATTCCTGTAATATGATATGTACACCAAAGGTGTACCCCTCTTCTCGATGCTCAAGAAGTATATATGTACTTAGTGTATGTACACAGAGTTTACTTTGACTTTGGACCATGTCCAGATCCAATGTATTTTTACTGGTTGGTCAGTCAGCTCTTGTGGTTGCCTTAATAACCCTCCAGAGGTTGATGGGCATTAAACCCAACACCAAACCATTTAAGGAAAATAAATTAAATATGGTCTGAACTTTAATATTTTATATATATATTTTGGGTGCGGTGGAGGTCACATACGCCGAAAATCATTTCGGTAATGAGTCTGATATATATAAACAAAGTTTATAATTTTATTAGGTAATAATAACCAGAAATAATTAGCGGAGGACACCTTTTGAGAAGCCGCCAGCATCCTGTCGTTGTCGAGGCCACTAGAAATGGTGTTCCTCGGGTAAATAATTCAGGTTAATCTTTTGTAATTAAAATAATTCCTAGGGAACCCATTTTCCTTAAATTTCTATAGTGAAGAACGTCATTTGACATGCCACATTCACTCTGTGTGAAGCAAAATACGTTAAATGAATGAAGCAGTCGTCTAAAACTTAAATATTTAATCTAAATTGGGAAGAGATTCATAGTGATAACATTCATCTTTGTGCCTTTGTGAAGAGTTTTCTGGAACCTAACAGAAGCAGAGTAAACAGTGGAGAGAACGGGAGTTGTAGTTAGGGAGAAAGTCTGGGAAATGAGGGTAGCAATCGGGCAGATAAAGGAATTTTAGACTTTGTAGTTATGTTGCAGTAGTTTAACTGGAGTGGAGTTGGGGATGAACCTGTTCTGGTTCTGTTGAATCTCCTTAGGGAGAGCCTTAAGGGGCGGTGAGCCAGGACATGACAGTTGGCGGGGGAAAGGTCTGTTTGACAGGCTTCACTTTTGACATGGCCAACACCCACGCCCACTGGCTGCTCATGTCAGACATGGGCGGAAACACCACTTGCATCCCTTTCTTCACAAACTTGAACTGTAAAAAAAAGTGAAAATATTGAGATTATATAGCATTTACTTTGGTGTCTATAAAGTGATTAAGATATAAATTGAACATTTCCATCTAGGCACTTCATTGTTTTGATACATTCCAAAATGTCTGTAATGTATTTATTTGTAATGGAAGGTTCAGTGTTTTCCTTAACCCTACATTAGTGCAATTGTTCCCTTAGTCTACAAATCTCAAATATTTGAAAAAATACTTTAGTTTCTTTGCAAATGAGTTGATAATGTGGTATATATATGGACACATTAAACGAAAATCTATGTTTACTTGGAATCTCGTATGAATTAAATTCTGATAATGAAATCAGTTCTCGAAATTTAGATGAAGTTGGCAAATCTTTTAACGTTTTCTTGAATTTCTTGGAAAACATGAATAAATTCTTGCAAATGTTTATAACGAATAACTTCAGTTAACGTAAGCAGTCGTTTAATTATTTACAAATATTTTATTTATTTTTATTTTTTTAAATGGGTACCTTTATGAGAAAATATAGAAAACATATTTCAAAAATCAATCCATATTCCTCGGATATGCAAAATTTCATACTTAAATTTTCATTGTTATATCCATCTCCTTAATTTATATACAAGATTTTCCCCATAATTTTAGCTTTTGTGAGGATTTTAGGAAAATTGTAAATATTATACAGTCAACAAAATGTAAATGGTTTCAAACTTTATTATTTTGCTGAAATACTTGTAGAATCTTAACACATGCTTCATAATTCCAATAATTAATCATTTTATTAGATAATGAGCCAGAGAAATGTTAAACCTTAATTCTAGGAATACATAAATTCAAATGCCATAAGTTTCAATAGTGAAAATGATTATATGGCGTAAGCCGCGAGTACCTCTGTGGAAACCCGCAAGGTAAGGTAAGGTAAGGTAATCCTAATTTCTCCAAGGATGCTAGCCGTCATTTTAGGGTTAATGTAACTGCAACTTTAACCTAAAGCTATCTCAAAGAACGTCAAAACTTTAAGGCATTTATTTATACAAAGACTGGTTACAGAAGGTCCCTGGCTGTGGAGGATGGACCATCTCACCTGGAGGCTGCGTCTAATGCCGTTGTCATGGTAGCCAAGGATGGAGATGCTAGTCTCTGGTGTGGGAAGGACGGAGCCCAAAGTCAGTAGGTTGCCTCGGGGCCACGACAGCACCAGGGCGTACACCGTCTCCCCCTTACTGGTGAACCTGTACCACCACACACCTCACTACCTCAGTATTCAATTACAATACCTTGATGGTTACATAAGTAAAAATATTTTTAAGATAAAAATTTAGGGCGAAAATGTGAGATTCAACATTGGACCTAAGGTTTAGGCTTTCTAAATGGACGGAAGATTGGTAGATGCAGTTTAATGCTGAAAATCTTAAGTTTTGAGCTTGGGTAATAATAACAGTTACCAGACATCATCTAGACAATGTAGAATTTGCGAAATTTGGATGAAAATGAATATGGAAGTGGTGATTACAGTAGGGAGTTAAATCCAACCACATCAATGCATAAAAGGTACAGAATATACACAAATAGTACTATGACTCACCATACTCCAGGAGTGACACTGTCGTTCTGGTGTGTCCACGGAGTTGAATCATACACGGCATCACCATTGATGTCAAGCCAGGAGCCCAGTTGCCTCAGTCTCTCCTCCATGATGGGTGGGATGCGGCCGTCGTGTGTAGGTCCCGCGTTGATTAATATGTTGCCTGTGTGAGTGAAGATCAGTAAGAGAGTGACATTTTTGTGAGATAATTTCTTGATTATAACTGTTGTGTGGGCTTACCGCCGCAGCTGATGGTCATGGCGAGCTCGGTGATGAGGTCGTGGACAGTGAGGTAGTCTGCCAGTGGTGCGTTGCGACGGTAGCCCCAAGAGTGTCTGTCCAGAGTCATGCAGTTCTCCCACTTGTGAGGCTGAAGGACCCCTGCAACACCATACATTAGTGTTACTTCTTGTAGCCTAAATTGTATTTTAATATACGGTTAGTAATACATGCATCACTTGCCATTTCTGGAAAAAAAATGGTACGAAATTAGAAAAAAATCTGTTTACCGTATATAATACTGATCTCGGCAGCATCAGCAACGTTTAATTTTACTGGCTAAAGCCAATAGGCCAATCAAAGTGCTGCATATCACTAGTTGAGGCAGCCTTGTTGAGAAAAGCTGGTTGAATAACTAAACAGATTATTTGATCATAAAACCGTACACCATGGTTGGACTCAAGAAGTGTCCTGTCATAGTTTCCCACAAGGACCCGCAATTATCTAGCAATCTCCATATATTTCTCCAATTTTATAGGAATATTTTTTTTATTATACCAGATATTTATTTGGCTCTAGGGACCCAGGGGATATATATTCGTTTATCGCAGCACACAATAACCTTAGGTGAAAACTGAGAAGCATGAGGGTTAAATCTAATTTTTAGATAAACAGGAATACACCTTTCTCCTGAACATCTATGATCAGAAGTACATTTTTATGGAGTTAGAAAAATAATAAATATGAAATGACGAAGAAAATAATTTTTTCTTGTACCTGGGTTGTAGCGGTCCTGGCAGGTGTAGTAGGAGCCATGATGGCAAGGAATTCCTCTTCCCCATCTGTCGTTGACCACGACGGTGTCCTTGACGGGGGAGTCGTTGAAGAGCCACGCCAGGAACTTGGTGGAGTTCCAGTACCAGTCTTCAATCTCCCAGTCACCATCTGACCAGATCACCTCCGGCTGGTAGGTGTTCACCTGGAGTATCATAAAGCTTTAGATGGTAGATTTTCTGTTTGACTTTACTTAATAACGACGAAATATGTATTTTGTATCTGTATGCATCCAGTTAACTTCTTCCCATATTTTGACACTCTTGACACCTCTGCAGACATTCCTTGGAATCCCACGTCAACTCACAAAAATCGCATGGCAATGCACTAGCATGCTTTCAAGACAGTGTATTCATATTTATCAAAACCATACAAAAATTGTAGCTTACCAGCTCAATAAGCTCTGGAATGGTTTTTTCCTTAACGAAATTGTTGGTGTGAAACTTATTGGACTTATCCTGGAGGTAGAGTGGGTTAAACCACTCGTAAAGGGAGTGATACAAGCCGAAGTGGATATTTGGAGTGTTGGTCCTGATGGCTTTGGCCAGATCACCTAAGGAAATAATAGTTCAATTCTATAATATCTAAGCCACGCATGCATTATACAATTATCTAAGTGAATTAAATTATGTGAATCTAATTCACATCATGATGTAAATGATAATGTAAGAGATGTGAATTTAAGGTATTGTGTATTAATCTGCTGTTATGTTCTTCACATAACAATGCTAAAACCTATTTTACTGAAATATTTACGGATGATAGATACACAGAACCAACTTAGGAGCATCAGGATCTTGAATAAAAACACAATAAACAACTGACCGAGCAAGTCCCTCTTGGGCCCGACGTCCATGGCGTTCCAGTTCCAGGAGTAGCGAGAGGGCCAGTTGGTGAAGCCTTCGTGGTGCTTGCTGGTGAGGACCACGTAGCGGGCCCCCGAGGCGTTGAAAATATTCGCCCACTTCTCGGGCTCGTAGAACTCCGCCGTGAACTGGGGAGCGAAGTCCTGGTACGTGAAGTTGGGCGGGTAGTTCTTCTTCATGAACTCCACATAATCTCTATTGTGAGCTCCTGGTCAAGGCATTTGGATAATTTTTACAAATGTTAGAAAAATAATATATCGATGATCAAAGTTCCAGTAATATAAGGCAGTTAGTAATGTGTTGAAATTGTACAGTCAATTCTATACTAAAATGTAGGAAATATTCAACAAACCCATTATAACACAAATAAAATATTCTTAATCGGTTCATTATTCCGTTTCGCACTAAATAATATTCTATGATACAAAAGTATTGTAATTTAAAACTTCTAAAACTGTACATTAATATATTTGCTAATGCAGTCGAACTTCATTGTTAGTTAATAGTTAGAAAACCCAATTTGTTAGCGACGCACCTTGACGATTTGTCCAATACTACACTACTAACTGTGTAACATTTTGAACATCTTACCTTGCCAGTTATCCCAGAACCACTCTGAGCCGAAGGAAGGAACAGAGAAGACTCCCCAGTGGAGGAAGATGCCAATCTTGGCTCCGTCATACCAGGGAGGCAGCGGCCGAGTGTCCAGGGAGTCCCAGGTAGGCTCGTAGCCCCCCATAACAACACCTGAATAAACAATGTCTTGTGAGAATAAATTAGTGGAACGCTCAGAAGGCATTGCAATTGCAGCAAAAAATCTTAAATACAAAAAATAATAGTATAGTAGCATATATATGTTGCATATTGACACACACGCACACACTACTATATATATATATATATATATATATATATATATATATATATATATATATATATATATATATATATATATATATGCGAACAAGCCTGAATGGTCCCCAGGACTATATGCGAATGAAAACTCACACCCCAGAAGTGACTCGAACCCATACTCCCAGAAGCAACGCAACTGGTAACTACAGGGCGCCTTAATCCGCTTGACCATCACGGCCGTCAAAAGGAAGTGATAGCCGAGGCTATTTGAGCCACTTCCCCGACGGCAACTCGGATGGTAATCTTGGGCATAGCATTTCACCAAATCACCTCATTCTTTGGGGCACACGTGAGGAACACAAATGCGAACAAGCCTGAATGGTCCCCAGGACTATATGCGAATGAAAACTCACACCCCAGAAGTGACTCGAACCCATACTCCCAGAAGCAACGCAACTGGTAACTACAGGGCGCCTTAATCCGCTTGACCATCACGGCCGTCAAAAGGAAGTGATAGCCGAGGCTATTTGAGCCACTTCCCCGACGGCAACTCGGATGGTAATCTTGGGCATAGCATTTCACCAAATCACCTCATTCTTTGGGGCACACGTGAGGAACACAAATGCGAACAAGCCTGAATGGTCCCCAGGACTATATGCGAATGAAAACTCACACCCCAGAAGTGACTCGAACCCATACTCCCAGAAGCAACGCAACTGGTAACTACAGGGCGCCTTAATCCGCTTGACCATCACGGCCGTCAAAAGGAAGTGATAGCCGAGGCTATTTGAGCCACTTCCCCGACGGCAACTCGGATGGTAATCTTGGGCATAGCATTTCACCAAATCACCTCATTCTTTGGGGCACACGTGAGGAACACAAATGCGAACAAGCCTGAATGGTCCCCAGGACTATATGCGAATGAAAACTCACACCCCAGAAGTGACTCGAACCCATACTCCCAGAAGCAACGCAACTGGTAACTACAGGGCGCCTTAATCCGCTTGACCATCACGGCCGTCAAAATGAAGTGATAGCCGAGGCTATTTGAGCCACTTCCCCGACGGCAACTCGGATGGTAATCTTGGGCATAGCATTTCACCAAATCACCTCATTCTTTGGGGCACACGTGAGGAACACAAATGCGAACAAGCCTGAATGGTCCCCAGGACTATATGCGAATGAAAACTCACACCCCAGAAGTGACTCGAACCCATACTCCCAGAAGCAACGCAACTGGTAACTACAGGGCGCCTTAATCCGCTTGACCATCACGGCCGTCAAAAGGAAGTGATAGCCGAGGCTATTTGAGCCACTTCCCCAACGGCAACTCGGATGGTAATCTTGGGCATAGCATTTCACCAAATCACCTCATTCTTTGGGGCACACGTGAGGAACACAAATGCGAACAAGCCTGAATGGTCCCCAGGACTATATGCGAATATAGTCAAATAGCCTCGGCTATCACTTCCTTTTGACGGCCGTGATGGTCAAGCGGATTAAGGCGCCCTGTAGTTACCAGTTGCGTTGCTTCTGGGAGTATGGGTTCGAGTCACTTCTGGGGTGTGAGTTTTCATTCGCATATAGTCCTGGGGACCATTCAGGCTTGTTCGCATTTGTGTTCCTCACGTGTGCCCCAAAGAATGAGGTGATTTGGTGAAATGCTATGCCCAAGATTACCATCCGAGTTGCCGTCGGGGAAGTGGCTCAAATAGCCTCGGCTATCACTTCCTTTTGACGGCCGTGATGGTCAAGCGGATTAAGGCGCCCTGTAGTTACCAGTTGCGTTGCTTCTGGGAGTATGGGTTCGAGTCACTTCTGGGGTGTGAGTTTTCATTCGCATATAGTCCTGGGGACCATTCAGGCTTGTTCGCATTTGTGTTCCTCACGTGTGCCCCAAAGAATGAGGTGATTTGGTGAAATGCTATGCCCAAGATTACCATCCGAGTTGCCGTCGGGGAAGTGGCTCAAATAGCCTCGGCTATCACTTCCTTTTGACGGCCGTGATGGTCAAGCGGATTAAGGCGCCCTGTAGTTACCAGTTGCGTTGCTTCTGGGAGTATGGGTTCGAGTCACTTCTGGGGTGTGAGTTTTCATTCGCATATAGTCCTGGGGACCATTCAGGCTTGTTCGCATTTGTGTTCCTCACGTGTGCCCCAAAGAATGAGGTGATTTGGTGAAATGCTATGCCCAAGATTACCATCCGAGTTGCCGTCGGGGAAGTGGCTCAAATAGCCTCGGCTATCACTTCCTTTTGACGGCCGTGATGGTCAAGCGGATTAAGGTGCCCTGTAGTTACCAGTTGCGTTGCTTCTGGGAGTATGGGTTCGAGTCACTTCTGGGGTGTGAGTTTTCATTCATATATATATATATATATATATATATATATGCGAACAAGCCTGAATGGTCCCCAGGACAATATGCAACTGAAAACTCAAACCCCAGAAATATATATGTTATATATATATATATATATATATATATATATATATATATATATATATATATCTAGCAATAATTATTACCACCAGAGCTTTGGCCTGAGTTCGTATCCTAGCCAGGGAAGGATTGACTGGGCGCCAATCCTTAACTGTAGCCTCTGTTCACCCAGTCGTGAAAGGGTACCTGGGTGTTAAACGATTTGGCGGGTCGTATCCCGAATAAAATTAGGATTAAGGACCTGCCCGAAACGCTATGCGTGCCAGTGGCTTTACAAGAATGTAAGAACGCTTATATTAGATACTGTATATATAAATACAAAAATAAATAAAAAAAATCCCAATCACTTGGGACGGCCTCAATTCTCGCAAATTCGGCGTTAGCTCCTTCGATTATGCAAAGGGTTAGGCACCAGTACTTTATTCTATCCTCATCCAGCTCCATTCTATCCTCATATCCAGCTCCCTATCCTCGTATCTTGTCAAAGTGCTATATTGTCATACTAGCTTGATTAGCACCTCATAAGTACCTTTCTCATATTGATTTTAATGCACTGACACCATAATAGTAGTGCATTGGGGATAACTTGGAAAAAAATTAAATAACATATGGCGGATTTTCGAAGAGACATAAACCTAATTTTAAAAAAATGTAACCCAAATCTAATGTTTAATCTATTCAAGATAATGTTTACCAATTATAAATAGTTCATCATTGCAGTAAGTTTAGTAAGTTCATTTATTGAACTTTAGTGTTCTATGTAACTATTCCTCTACCACCTACTGGATAGGTGTAGGTATGACACATTGATCAAATCATTAATATATGACTAAGCCCCTAATTGACTTGGTTCTGAATCAAACGTAACGGTTCTGAATCAAACGTAACGGTTCTGAATCAAACGTCACTCCTTGCAGAGTGACGCTGAAATTGAGTTATAGCTAGTGGCAGGTAGGGAAGCATTAAGATTGATTGATGAAGATTAAGCCATCCAAGAGGTGGCACGGGCATGAATAGCCCGTAAGAAGCATTACGGTAAGAAGGGAGATATTATAGCAAGACGAGGGATATTGTAGTAAGAGGATTAAGGGAAGTAGGGAGTGTGTAGTGAGGATGGTGGTTGAGGCCTGTGGGGCCCGGTTGGTCAGCACTCAAACGATAACGCCACCAAAGTACGTCTACTGGCAGGTTTATCATTAGACCATTTTTTTTCTTGATAGGCATAGCTATACAAAACCACACTGGGTGGTTTTGTATAGCGGGGTGTCTGTACACAGTGTTGACGGATGTGTACACGTAAAGTTTTGGTGCAAGATATTGTGGACATAGTGCAGGCGATGAGTCACAATAACGTGGCTAAAGTAAGTTGAGCAGACCACACACTAGAATGTGAAGGGACGACTACGTTTCAGTCCGTCCTGGACCATTCTCAAGTAGACTTCAGAATGGTCCAGGACGGACCGAAACATCGTCGTCCCTTCACCTTCTAGTGTGTGGTCTGGTCAATTTGTGGACATAGTGTTGACGGATGGATGTGTGTACATTGAATGCTTGTAGATCTTTGGTAATATTTGCTTTCAATAAAGCTATCGATGACATTTAGATAATGATTAATAGTTATTTATATATTTACAAATAAATTTGATGCGACTCGACACTTCTTTCACGTGCCTCCTAGTTAAACTGAACCTACATTATTCCAGCCATACGTGTAACATGTGTGTGCAGGACACATGCACATGTTATGCATGTCCTCTACGGGCTCTGGACGCACTCACGGTCATAGTGAGTGCGCAGTTACGCTGGACCATTGGAACCCATTTAAATAACTTTCAAAGATCTGAACACACTCAAGACCTTACATTTACGGATCAACCCAATATGATGACTGATGAGACTGGAATGGACCCAGACTAAGACTGGAGTACTGACCTAGGAGACAGACGAGGTGTACCAGGCGGTCCATGGCGACGGTCACTATACTGGGGGCGGCTCCCACACACACTGACGCCACGCTCCAGCTCGCGCGCCTCTCTCATCCCATCCCATTACCCACCAGTCATGTATTCCTTCCTTCCTGCCTTTACTCACCTAGTTGTGCTTGTGGGGGTTGAGCTTTGGCTCTTTGGTCCCGCCTCTTAACCGTCAATCTACTGATGTACAGATTCCTGAGCCTACTGGGCTCTATCATATCTACATTTGAAACTGTGTATGGAGTCAGCCTCCACCACATCACTTCCTAATGTATTCCATTTGTTAACCACTCTAACACTGAAAAAGTTCTTTCTAATGTCTCTGTGGCTCATTTGGGTACTCAGCTTCCACCTGTGTCCCCTTGTGCGTGTGCCATCCGCGTTAAATAATTCAACCTTGTCAATTCCCCTGAGAATTTTGTATGTGGTGCGGCTGAGGGAGGGGGGGTCTAGGGGTGGGGGTTAATTGGGGCATGGGATGGGGAAGCTGGAGGGGCATGCGGTGGGAGATCACGGGCTCCCACCCACCTCGTTGGTGGGAGGCTTCTGTTACAATCCTCCCTGGGGGTGCTGGCCTGCTGGTGGGGGAATTCCCACTCCACTCTGAGGTGCCTGGAGATATTGAGCAGAGTCCTGTTGCTCCCATATCCCCACCCCTTTCTTTGCATCTTCTTGCTTCTGCAGCCTTCCTTCTCTCTTCCCTCGTCATGTCCCTTTGCAGAAAGATGTCCTCGTATCCTCCTAGCCCTACAAGTCTGCTCTTCCTGGATAGGATTTTCTCCTTTGTCGCCTCGTTCGTGAGCACTACCTTTATCAGTCATTTCCTTACCTTCTTATAGATACCCAGCCTGAAAACCTTCTCTATGTTGCCATTTGCCTCCTCCATATTCAGTCCCTCCAAGATCTCTGTCATAGTTGCTCGGTCCCTCCTTCTCCACTCCTCCTGATTGGATCCCTTTGGTTCCTGTACTCCTACAATTATAACCGTTCTTTTCCTTTCCAGCATTTGTTCAGTGCATTTTGCAGCTTCCTGTGAGGTAGCTGCTTTCATAGCCGCTGCCTCTAAGGCGGCCTTGGCACCTGGGCTGTTTTGCAGTATTTCTGCAAAAGAGAGTCCCCCCCTGGAAGGAGCCTTCCATCAGTTTCATCCCCTGTTTCCAGGAGGTTGCATACCCCATGCTGGTTTGAATTCTGATTTTCTTTGTGTGACAGTGCGTTCAACTCGTAGCAACTTTGTGATCTACATTCTATAATCCTTCATCTATAATTAGGTAGCAGCTCATTGTTGTGTTTACTAAAGTTTGTTAAAAAGCGTTCACACAACCTTTCCTCCTTCCATTCGCGTAATATATTACATGAACACGTCTCGTAAACGTTCTTACCATTATAGAGAACATCTTCAGTTGGCCCTAATTAACAGCCTATCTGAACATTTAACAAAAATAATACAGATTAATACCCCACCAATAAATTAACATTATAATAATAACAGAGATACGCTACAGAATTCTTAATCTCTTAACCCCTATATCAGTAGGAGCCCGTCCTCGGTGCAAATCCATTACCATGAGAAACTACCCCCCCCCTCTCAAACCACCTCGATAGTTATTTAGATAGTGCTGGCCTAAAAGCATATTGCGGTTCCAGTAATAGTCTGCATGTAAACAAGCAAGTGAATCTTTGTCCTAACCTTCCTTTCTCCCCTAACGACAGGCATCCCCTACCCCTCTCTTACCCTAACGACAAGCATCCCCTACCCCTCTCTTACCCTAACGACAGGCAACCCCTCCCCCGTTACCAATATCGTGTAGCAGCCGGCGTGCAAGTGCTCAGTGCTGTACCCGATGTGTCGCCTGTCACTTCTCATCTTTGTGTTCGGTCAGTTTTTTCTTCGTTACACTACTGTGTAGCATTATTATAGGTTGTATAACATAAAGAGGTTCCCCAACATGATAATTTGTGTTATAAACACTGTATTTATGGTTATTGCTGGCTTATATCTGAAAGAAAGAAATGCAGCATACAGCTGTCAATGGTCCCACGGGGTTATGGAGGCTAGGCTAGTGCATATGGAGATATGAATGATTGTCATAGAGGGCATGGTGCTATGATTTTATAACGCCAAATAAAAGGAATTATGCCACTGGATTGTCATACAGGGCACGGTGCTAAGGTTTTATGCAGGCGATGAGTCACAATAACGTGGCTAAAGTAAGTTGATCAGACCACACACTAGAAGGTGAAGCTAGGGACGACGACGTTTTGGTCCGTCCTGGACCACACAATCGACTTGAGAATGGTCCAGGACGGACCGAAACGTCGTCGTCCCTTCACCTTCTAGTGTGTGGTCTGGTCAAATTACTTTAGCCACGTTATTGGGACTCATCGCCTGCATATTTATACGATTACTCGATCGTCAATTAATAGCATGTGAAAGGTTATTGGTACGTTGTATTTCTCATATCATTTTGTGGAACATTATTTTAATAATATAATGCCAAAATTTTTAATTCACGAATGTTTTATTGTATTCTCATTCGAAAATATGTTTAAAGTTTTATCTCGTGAATATCTCTTCTTCCTGTTTATATACAGAATAGGTACAGTAGTAATACAGTAACATTTTATTCAAGTATGTTAATTGAGATAAGAAAAAATACATCTCAAAGGGATAGAGTATATAGCTTAGGCTATTTCTACCACCCCCCCTCCCCCTTCTACTTCAAGTCCCTCAAGGGGCGCACAAATTCAATGAGTACAAATACACAAATCACAGTACAAGAATCTAATTTAACATTTGCAGGTTAATATAGTAAGCACAGCGGACATTTTATTAATTTTCGTGTATTTCGCTTCAATATTAAACATTATAAAATTCCTGGTGAGGGCCACTAATACTAGTTAGTATATCTGGCACAATAAACAATGGCTAACGTCGACAAAGGAGATTCGGTTGCAAGCGGCACGGACACGATCTCCTGCAACCTTCATAATAATAATGGAAAATTATTGATGAATAAGTTGTATATGTACTTGTAGCGATGTTTTTATTAAACTTATAAATTGTATCGACAGGAGCGGCCCTGGGGGGCTACGAGCCCACCTGGGACTCGCTGGACACACGGCCGCTGCCTCCCTGGTATGACTCGTCCAAGATTGGCATCATGATCTGCTGGGGGTTATATTCAGTCCCTTCCTACGGAAACGAATGGTTCTGGAATGCCTGGCAGAGTTAGTAATCTTTTACTTCTTATTTGTATACCGAATTTTTACATACACAATTATAAACATCTTATTAATAACATGCAGTCGTGTAACTCGGTGGATGATTGACAAACTTACGCTAAACATATATACAGCCATTAGTACGCCAGTATTTGTACTATGGTGCGCATAGTTACAAAAAATACTGTCTAAAGTTCAAGTATGTTTATTGAGATAAGAAAGAAATACATCTCAAAGGGATAGAGTAGCTTAGGCTATTTCTACCCCCTGGGGTTGGAGTCAGAGTTACTTATTAATTAAATCCAGCCGCAGGCACCATCGCGGACTCTGCCAACTTTCAAGTAGATTAGTATGCAAATAAACAGTCCCAAATTGTAGAATAATAGCCGTTAATTAGCATGATACCATTTTCATCGGTGTTATTGTTACTTTGATATATTTTCAATCTATAATTCCATCCTTGTTTATACACGTGCCATTGTATCACTGTATATACTGTATCACTTTATAAAACAAATTATATTATGGCTAATTAAATTATTACAACTGTAAAAACATTAATATATTGTTTTTTTTTTTATTTTTTCACTAAGGGTAATGTTAATTTAATTAATTAATTACCATTATTTGTTCCCTTTGCGTACAACTTGTCAGAAACGCTGGACATAACTGAGCCCCTTGTAAAAATGCAGTTATATAGGCCTGTATAAATTGTATTCTTTAAGATAAGGATGTCTGCAATCTCTTCAACAGGTACTCATAATCCAAACTATGTAAAGTTTATGGAAGATAACTTTAAGCCCAACTTCACGTACCAAGACTTCGCGGCAGAGTTTACGGCAGAGTTCTACAACCCTGACGAGTGGGCGAGGATGTTCGCTGCGTCTGGTGCTCGCTACACGGTGTTCGTCGCCAAGCATCACGAGGGCTACACCATGTGGCCTTCAACCTTCTCCTGGAACTGGAACTCCGTGGATGTTGGACCCAGGAGGGACTTGTTTGGTGAGCTACCTGTATATATTTGATGTCTTGCCTCGTTTTGATGGCCTGTTTGTCTATATATTTTGTTTTTCCCCAAAAATATTTATACTGCTACATTACTTTTATTCAGACAGTTTAAATCCCAGGCAAAACTGGGTAATTTAATACAATATTCTCCGTTACGACCCCTGGGTCCAAGATTTTCTCCAGCAGGAAAATCATGTCTGTCTGTCTGGTGTCTGGGATGCTCCCGGACGCAGGTTCGAATCCTCGTCACGGCCCTTGTGGATTTGATGATGTTCGAATGATATTAGATAAATATGGGATTAACATTGTCAACGCAGACATCGTTGTTATATTGCGTCTGCACAATTTTGCCCGGGAATCAACGTTGAGTTTATATTACTCGGCCATTGTTTAATTGCAGAAATTACTCTGTAACGGATACAGGTTTGGATGGGTTAGGAGAGGACACTTTAAATTGACCATTTTCCTGGCGCTGAGAAACCTTAGGAGGACGGACTACTGGGTGACATTGGTTCAAAAGTTTAGTGGATTTTTATTTAATAAAATCGGTCGGTTGTTGGAAATGCAATGACGTATATTGATAGCTGAGACTAGGCCTGGAGCAGAGAGCTTGAGCGAGGCCAGGGGTAGAGAACTGGAATGCGTCTGGAAGAGCGTCTGGAAGAACTGGAAGAGCGGGTAGCATGAGTATGGCCGGAATCTGGCTATCTACTGTGGCGAGGTTGTAGCTTCTTGTGGGAGTAGGAACTAGACTCGTCGAATGTTACATTGTTGCTGGTGATTGATTGATTGAGGAAGATTAAGCCACCCAAAAGGTGGCACGAGCATGAATAGCCCGTAAGTGGTGGCCCTTTTGAGCCATTACCAGTATCAAGAGCTGATACTGGAGATCTGTGGAGGTACGACTGCATCTTGCGTGACGGGAGATGTCTCCGGGACCAAATGGAGTTGCTGGTGAATGTCGATGGTGTTGAAGATCTAAAGTATGTACAGAGCGTTTGTCAGAGAACTTGGAGTTAGACTGACCACATTCCGATGAGTGATTGATGAAGATTAGGCCACCTTAAAGGTAGCACGGTCGTAAGACCACGATCCGTACTTTGACGGCTTATATTGCACACTTAACTTGCTAAGTTCACCATCTTGCGCCTTACCTTTCGGCTGGCCTGATTGATTCCTGGAACCCTTAGAAAGAATTTATGTATAAATTGTAATTAGGACACATATAGGATTAGTGTAGAACTTCTAGGAATGTGGAATTCTTAGGAATAGGTTGTGTGGAATTAACAGGCACGTGTAATTGCTTATTTATTTATTTATTTATATACAAGAAGGTACATTGGGTTTGTGAGAATACATAGCATAGTATTTACAATCTTGTAAAGCCACTAGTACGCGCAGCGTTTCGGACAGGTCCTTAATCTTACAAATAGCTTGCAATATATATGAAACTTCCGAGAGCTTTGGAGCAATTACTCTTAACATAGTTGCTACAGGTCGATTTGATGTCGAAAAACGAGTTGACAACTTTATTATTATTTTTGTGTACATGCTTATATGTTAAGACATCCTTCACAGCGTGGACTAGGCCCCCACCAGGGCAAATCTGGGGAAACGACTTTCATGCAACCTTGAATAGACGTTTGTTTAACCTTACTAGAGCATATTTATGCCAGATGAGATCAGATGTTTACTAAATGAATGGTAGACCGACGGTCTCGCTTCATGGAGGTCAGCGTTCACATGCATATTTTCCCTCATCAGGTGACCTAGCCAAGGCGATCAGGTCCACTGCACCACACATTCATGTGGGTGTGTACCACTCCCTGTTCGAGTGGTACAACCCCCTCTACCTCGAAGATAAGAGCCAACAATACATGTCCAATAACTTTGTTACCAGGAAGACCTTGCCTGAATTGTACGAATTGGTGAGTATAGTACTCTTAAGGTAGACTTCATGTCCATGCGTGGTACCTTCCACAATTTTTTTTTAATTTTGTGTGATATATGGAAGCAGGAAAGCATCTGGTACGATCTATTTGACGATTATATTGTCTGTTTAAGAGTTTTTTTAAACTCGGGACAATGCCAATAGTTTTCTATTTATTACCCAAATGCACCTGAGGGACACCGTCTATTTAGTGGGCACTGCGGCTTGTCAAAGGCCCCCTCCAATTTTTACCCCCGAGGATTTTTTCCGGCCCGATTTTGAACTGAAGTAATGTCTTGGCATTCACGGCTTCGGCAGGTAGATGGTTCCATTGGTTTATAACCTATTTTGGTGGAAAAAGCATCTCTTGTTTTCTGTCCAACACTGTGACTTGGCGAGTTTGCAGCTCTTGCCCATTGTACGTGTTACATGTAACCTTTTAAAGAAGTGTTCTGGATCCTCCATTTTGTTCAGTATTTTAAGTTTCAACGAGATCCACCCTGTCATGTCTAGTTTGCAGTGTTTTTTTTTTTTAGATAGATGCAAGAGTTGTTACATTCTTGTACAGCCACTAGTACGCGTAGCGTTTCGGGCAGGTCCCTGGAATACGACCTCCACGTAATCTTTGTTACAACCAAGTACACATTTTACTGTTGAGTTAAACAGAGGCTATAGTTAAGGATTTGCGCCCAGTAAATCCTCCCCGGCCAGGATACGAACCCATGACAAAGTGCTCGCGGAACGCCAGGCGCGTGTCTTACCACTACCACTACACCACGGAGACTGTAGTTAGTCCTGTCGCTCTCGGTCTTAACTGGTAATGTAAGTAGACTTACTTCTGGGACGATTTTTTGTAACTCTACATTGTACTTTCTCCAAAGTAGATATATATGTTCTTTTGAAGGTGAGGTTCCCCGTTTAGATACAGTAGTTCAAATGGGGGCGCATCAGAGATTTGTACAGTTGAATGACCATTTCCTTTTCCTTGAAGTCTAAGGTTCGTTTGATTATTCCTAGGGTTCAATTGACTTTTTGTATTACTTGCAGCTCCCACTTGTGCAACTTTTTGATGACTGGTGGATCAAAACTAATAGGTCCTTCATCAATTTGGTGTATGTTTGTATTATGATAGCTGTGATGTGCATTGTTATGCCCTAGCCTACATGCAAGGCCTTTCATGTTTCAATATTGAAAAGCATTTGGTAGTCATCTGATCATTTGTAGAGTTCATGTAGATCTCTTTTGTAAGTCCTTAATATAGTTTTTGCTTCCTGTTTTACCATATTTTGGTGTCGTCTGCAAATCTGATGATATGATTTGTAATATTATTCTCATATGCCATTAATATATACATGTATGACAAAGAGGATTGGCCCCAAGATTGAAGCTTTCAACACGGTTCACATTTGTCCAGACTCCAGTCATATTCATTTCCATTTAAGATGACCCTCGGTTTTAACCATTGTTTTATCCACTCTAGTATTTTACCATTTATTTTATGAGCTTGTAATTACCTCACCAGTCTTTCATGTGGTACCTTATCAAAGGTTTTAGAGATGCTCTTGTATACTACATCTACTTTAAGTTCTATGTCTAAATAGCTAGTTACAGTACCATTTACAAAAACAAAGTGAACAAGTTAGTATGGCAAGATATATTTTAACAAAACCATGTTGTGTTGTTTTTACTAATTTGCACTGTGAAATGGGAAATGATTTCCTCCCTTAGGATTGCAGATGTGCAAGGTTAGGCGGATTGATCGGCATTGAGCCCTGCCAAGATTTTTCTGCCTTTTTTGAAGATAGCAGTAAAATAGGTACCGACCGGGCCGCGGGGACGTTAAGCCCCGGAAGCACCTCAAGGTAACCTCAAGGTAAGGGGGGAGACAGATACATATATATCTCTACTCTAGGGGGATTTTCCTTAGTGCAGAGATTTTGTGAACAGGAATTTCATTTGGTAAACCCAGTTCTTCAGACATTTCTTTTGTGGTTTTAGATTGAATTCTATCCACAACTGGGACTTTAAGATTCATTTAATTTGTCAAGGTTTCTCCCGATTGTTTCCCACATTATCAGAATATCCTTTAATTCATTCTTTTTTCCTGCTTTAAACATTTGTGTGGGTATTGGTATGTTGTCTAATATTATCTAATGGATATGTATGGGCTTCATGTATTTGCTCATTAGGATATGGAATGTATCATGTTTTATATTTAGTTTGCTTGGTAAGTATAATACATTAGCTAATCCTTTGATCATGTTTTGACAAAAGCAGAATAGTCTCATGGTGTCAAGTCATTTTTTACTAAAAATTTTTTTCACCATTGTGGAAACAGGAATCCTGTCTGGCTTTTCAAGGTCCCCCTAACCAGTGACTAGCCTTTCTTAATGATTCCACAACAGCCTTCAACTAACTTCCATGTACCTATTTACTGCTAGGTGAACAGGGCACCAGGTGTCATTAAATGCCCTCAAATGCCTCACCCTGCCCAGGACTCTTTAAGTTAAGACCAATTGGTTGAGAGCCAAAATATGCTAATCACCATGCCACAGGCACAACTGCAAAAAGCACACATTGTCAGCTACTGCACTATGATGGTGCAAGATTAATTAACAGAATTTTCACATGTATTTATTATCTTTCCTGAAGAAACATGTCACTGTATTTGACTTCACCAGCGCATGAATGACAATTATAAGGTAAAAGGCAATTATGATCTACCAGGTGAACAACTACCACCCTGAGGTGATCTGGTCGGATGGCGACTGGGAGGCTGAAGACTGGTACTGGAACTCGACCATCTTCTTGGCGTGGCTTTTCAATGAATCCCCCGTCAAGGACACCGTCGTTGTCAACGACAGGTGGGGTAAAGGCATTGGCTGCCATCACGGCTCTTTTTATAATTGCGAAGATCGTTATAATCCAGGTAAGTGAGAGGTTAATTACTGGAAACTCCAATAAATATAGCTTGTCTAATTTATCTTGTGGGCATTGATTAATTAGAGATGTTACTTGAACAAGTACAGCTTTTACATCGGAATATATGTACAGTAACAAGAATATTATTAAACTTTTTTTGATATAATAATTTCTAATGTGTGGTGACAAAACAGTTTAGTTATTATGCACCCTGTACTCATCCTGTTGGTAGTAGTGTAAAAGGTTAGAGATGCATAATGAGCTCTGACACTGAACCTCAAAATTAATTTGTGTAAGCAAAACAACTTAGAAAAATTTATTGTAAAAAAAAAGAATAGAAAATGAGAGAGTTTTACTTAAGGATGAAACTTTTAATGTCAAAATATTTTGAGGTTCAAATTCCTTGTTTATTATTTTTAAGATTAGTAAATGATATATACCAGTATAGTTTCTAAAATTCAATAGTGTATTAACCCTACCAGGCGTCTATGTAAAAATACCCATACAGTATTTTCCCATCTTGAGGATAATTTAAAAAATACATTCACACAAACAATAAAACTAACAATTAGTATTGATTAAATGAACATAATGGGTGGGGTACAGGTGTATTACAGCCACACAAGTGGGAGAATGCCATGACGTTGGACAAGCACTCTTGGGGGTACAGACGAGAAGCTCCGGCCACCGACTATCTCACCATCCACGACCTCCTCACCACCCTGGCCCAGACTATCAGCTGTGGAGGCGAGTACCCTTACCAACACGTACGCTAGGGGTCAATTTATTGCAATGCTCTTTGTGTAATGATAATTATTTTTTTTTTTTTTTTTTTTTTTTTTTTTTTTTTTTTTTTGCAATGTTACTCTTGTACAGCCACTAGTACGCGTAGCGTTTCGGGCAAGTCCTTAATCCTATGGTCCCTGGAATACGATCCCCTGCCGCGAAGAACCGTTTCGCGGTTTAATTACTTAATAGATAATGGATACTTAATAATATAGGAAGAGTTAGTTTAGTTTATTATGGATCCTATATCCATCCTGTGAAGCTGCAGTGTCTGTATGGTGACCAGTCTTAACCTGTATGCATTTCATTGTATTTGATTTTGAAAACTGTACTGTTTTTTGCATACACAAGTTAATCTCCAGCAGTCCTTTCATTTGCCCATTACTGTACTCATTACTAACAAAGAATTACTTGCCTGTGGTCTTTTTCTTTATTTGTGAAGAAAGTGTCTTGTTTCTCAAGTTTGCAAAGTAGCATCCTGTGTGGACCAGTCTTGATGTAAGTGTGTGTGTGTGTGTATGTAATTCCCTAAGTGTAATTACAGGATGAGAGCTACACTTGTGATGTCCCATCTTCCTACTACTCATCATGACGCTTTGAAACTACAGTACTAACTGCTTTGGCATCCTCCACCTTCTCACATAACTCATTCCAACCGATTTACCACTGTTTGCAAAAGAGAAATTTATAATATTTTTTCAGCACCTTTGTTTGAATCTATGACCTTTATTTTTGAAGGTGCAAGTTTCAAGGATTCCTCCTCTCAGTTTTGCAGATTCCTGTTACTATTTTCTATGTAGTGATCATATCGCCTCTTTTTTCTTGTCTAATAGTTTTGGCATATTTAACACCTCTAGCCTCTCTCTTGTAGCTCTTGTTTTTCAGTTCTACATACAAAGGAATCTGCAGGGCACAGTTGACTTAATGATTGTAAACTAAAATGGGTTAATGTTTTGGATCTTCAATTACATGACCCTTAATTTTGGAAGGTGTATCGTCCAGGCAACTTGCTTGTGAATGTGGGTCCGACACACGATGGCCGCATCCCGCCCATAATGGAGGAGAGGCTGAGGCAACTGGGCTCCTGGGTCGACATCAATGGTGATGCTGTGTATGACTCGACACCGTGGACACACCAGAACGACAGCGTGACTCCTGGAGTATGGTGAGTCACAGTGAGTCAACATCGCAACTAGTGTGACACCTGGAGTATGGTGAGTCATGGTTTGTGTTGTAAAGGGAGGAGGTGGAAAGTCATAGGACACACACTGCACAGTACCTAACCAAAGAAGTTTATAACCCTGTTTATGATTAAAGTAGTAAGGGGCAAAGAATACCTTCTCTTAATGCAGTTCAAGGGGTTTGTGTGTGAAATTCAAGTTGCAAGGGTAAAGGTGACAATGTTGTCTTTTATATACGTTTAAAAGATGATGGTATTTTATGTATGTGAACAAGTTAGAACAGTAGAAACGAATAATCTGAAAAATTTGAGATTTTATATGAAGTGTCTTTCTGAGCTGATCTTTCAGCTGCACTCTGAGGCAGGATTCGTTGTGGCCAAAGGACAGTGTGATCCATAGTCGGTCAAGACAACTTTCTGACACTGGCATCATAGATAGGAACTTCTTAAACAGTCTAAGACCCCTTCAGAGAACTGTGAATATATATTGGTATATCTTGAGAGCTAATCCATTACTGCATACCCCCGTCACAACCTCTGACCACAGCACAGTCCAGATATGATCAAGGACATTAATTGTCCTGCAAGTAAATGCTAACACTAGTATTCACTGACATGCTTTAAGTACAGTGATACCAGGTAAAACTTTACTAAAAATCCAGTCCTTGAATGCCAGTTAACATTTATCACAATGAAGAATATGAAGTTTGTCAGGAATATCAAAATGTACCAATGTACCTTCTTGTATATATATATAAATGTATGCATGTACTTTCTGTACCTTCCTGTACCTATATGAAGGTACCCAATCTACTTTCTTGTAAGTAAATAAATATACATACATATACATAATGTGTGGTGGTGATACTGCAGCTGTTGTCTGGCATTGGTGGGTGCTGACCATTGGAGTTAACTAGAGCCGTCTTTTGATCCCAAATTGTGATTGGTTATTGTATCACACAGGTACACTCAGAAAGGTAACCTAGTCTACAGCATCGTGTTGAGTTGGCCCAAAGGTGACACATTAACCTTAGGCTCGGTCCTCTCCACTTCCCAGACAAGTGTTACAATGTTGGGTTATTCTGGCAGCAGGCTTGAGGTGAGTTGGATCCTTGTAATTGTTAACGTGTTAACAATACCTTGGCACTTGTTACTATTAGCATTCTCATTTCTAAATTGTACAGGGTGGAGAGGCAATTGACCAGACAAGAGAGCAGTATAGGAAACTAAATTAGATATTCAAAATAGCAGTCATCCATTACTTGCCCCTGTCACATTTATCCAATTTTCATTTATCACTGAAAACAGAATAAAAGTCTGAAAAGTACTTACAAGTAAGTATATTGTTTATAAAATCTCTACTTTCATGGGGGGTGACAATTGAAAATATCTGAATAATAATGTTGTCAGTATTGTTTTCAATTGTACCATTTCCAAAAAGATTTGTTATGGAAAAACCTAGGTGAGAATAGTTAAGTTAGAACACTTGAAGAACCCAATGAGAATAGTTAAGAATTATGAAGAAAATGCCTTATTTTTGTCTAGATCTTGCCATAAAGCAGCTATATATATATATATAGCTGCTTTGCTTTCCCCTTAAGTAAGATATGTTAGCCAAGCCTGGAACCTTGATAAAAGAGGAGACTCTCGACTATATATTCCATTCAGTATTGTAATACCTTTCTGACTGAAAATTTGTTTGGACTTTTGCCGACTGTAATCACATTACTTTACATTGTTAATGAACATAAAAGCTTGCTGAATCTGTTAATGTTATTGAACATGAACATGAACAATGTTAATGAACATGGCATTGTTCTAGATTTGTCTTTTAATGCTCCTTGGCTCCACGTTACAGTATATCCAATACTTGTTAACTTTCTGAAAATGTGAATGCTTTAATATGCTCAATAATGTTGAAATTTCTTTTTAAAATTATACTTCACGCTAAAATCGACAATATTCACATCTGGGAACATTTTCCTTCAGTTTATGGATGGAGCGGATGGACTCAAAGTGACGTTCCCACGGATGTCACAGGTAACCAGCCAGTGGGTGTGGGTGCTAGCCATGTCGGGAGTCACGCCAGCTCAGACATCAGACACCGCTGAATATGAAGCCATTTTACAGCTATTTACTTAATATTGAAGCTTGTGCAGCCTCCTTGTCTGTGCAGGGAAGTTGAGCCATGTTCATTACACACTGTATACACATGTCCATGAGAATATGAGGGAGATTGGTACTGTATAATAATTCATTGTTAGCTTTTGCATTCCACAAATGACCCAATGTTAGTTAAATCACACACTTTACCCATAATCTTTAACTTACATATTAGTGATCATGAAAACTGAAAACATATAATGTTTTCATATAATTACAGTGAACATACAATGTTTTCTGGCCATGATTATGCAGGATCTTACTCTAGAGATGCTTTCAAGATTTGGGCAGTTTGCCAACAATTTTTGTTATATCTAACCAACTCATCTGGTTGTGATTCTCTTAGGGTCAGTATTGCCCATGTGCACAGCTAAAACAGCAACATTTATGTTCAAACAAAACTGTAATCAAACTTTGAATGATAATGAAAAATAAATAACCCAAAACACTTTAAGTTTATATATACCATGAAATGTATGCCTTGTGTTTGCAAGTGAAATAAATGACCGGACAATGCATAGTAGGAAGTGGAAGCAATGCATAGTGGAAGAAAACATGGAGAAATCTAGCAGTACTGTGCTGGAATTAACCGAGACTATGCATGATGTATATCTTTCTTACTTAGGATGTGTGCCATCGAGTCTGGTCAGTAACTGGATGGGTGGCCACACAACAGCAGCTTCACTTTTGGCTAGGAGTACTTTGATGAACCATGCACAGGCCTCCTGTCATTGGCAGAGAACGATATACCAATTCCTGTGTGTATAGTGAACACTGACGAATGTTATTAAACTCGGGAGACTAAGCAGTCAATTTTAGACTTTGTATAATAGGAATAACAGAATAGAACTTAGTTGCATAATTAGGTTTTTATTGCTGACCAAAGATAATTCATTATACTGTACAAATAGCAATTATCATAGAATAATCATTGTATAACAAATTTGGAATGATGTAGTCTTTATTACATTGGTCAATCTACAATCTAAAAAAAATTAGTTTCTTAACACTTACAAGAAAATTAATTTTATTACCACCAAACACCATTTGTCTACTTTCATTTGATTCTACAACAAAGCAGAGTCTAAACAATAAATATCTTTATACCATGAATGAGAAGTTATGCTTGAAAATTTAAATGAACAGAGTATGGTTAGATGAGATGATATTGAGTGAAAATTTCCGATTACTGTACATACAAAATCGCCCAGTAGACGACCTTCGGCAAAGCCAATGTGAAACAGTTTAAAAATCTGAGATCATAACAAGGTTCCTAAAGTAAAACAATGAATTTGTATAATATTGTAAAATCTACTAACAAAAAGGCTAATCAGATCCAAAAGTATCACAAAACATATCTGGATTAGTAATACAGTAATTTATACAGTACCTGTACACTAGTAATTCTGTAATGTTTGATCATGCAAGAATATATACCCCATAATTAAAACTCTATAAACTGATTATGATTTTGCTTCTTTTCCTCGTAAGTTTACATTATTGTAAAGTTGCCAATCATCAGCCACTCCCAGCTATATTAGGCAACAAAACTGTTGCCTAATATATGCCGTACTGCATCCGAAGAGGTCGGGCCCATATAGACAAGACTTCTGGGTATCATGTGTATCTTGGATAAAACAAACAAGATTTAAATAAATACTTTTCTTACCCTAAAAATTTGTTTGGTCTTCTTAAGAATATGGCACCAGTAACAGGAGTAGGAAGAAGTTACTGGCGAGCTGCCAAAATGACAGGCTTATTAGTATTACTAAACTCCTCCAAGGAGTGCCGGACCAACCGGGCTGTGGTGGGTATGTGGGCCTGCGGGCCGCTCCAAGCAACAGCCTGGTGGACCAAACTCTCACAAGTCGAGCCTGGCCTCGGGCCGGGCTTGGGGAGTAGAAGAACTCCCAGAACCCCATCAACCAGGTATATTAGAACCTGATCCAAATGTATGGTGATGTTATCGCAAAATGTGCTTACAGTACAGCGTTGAAAAGCCTGTGGATACAAGGTGTGTGCATGCCAATATGTCGCCTGTGAATATGGCATAAAATGCCTGCACATTAGTTTTATATGCCAGCATGAATGATATCTAAAAGGAAACTTCAAAAATGTGAATCACAGGTTAGAGAAAATTGTCAGTCCCACATTTTTGTATAGCTGATGTGTTTAAGATGGGACCTGAAGGAGACTAGGTAAACGTAAACATAAATGCTGGCCCGATCCCAGTTATAATTATTCAGTCTTGGTGATTAAAATTAATACAGTATTACATTTTTATACATTGAGTAGAATATATTTAAGGATGTTTTAATATTCATCAATAGTAATCCAATATCAGCATGACCTGACATTGAATTATAATGTAAATAAATATTATAATATGTTTAAAGATATTAAAAGTAGCAATAACAATAACACACCTGATTATACTAGTAATATTACTTTTGTCAAGTTTGACCATTGATGCCAAGGTGGCCATCGTCTTGCTCCAGACCAAATCATTGGGAATGACAGACACATATCTTGAAAGATATTACTTCAATAGACTTCATTGTTGTCTAATTTTATAAACCTTAATGCCATAGATTTGTCAAAAAATGATCTTTTTGATAGTGGAATAAAAAGGTTAAAGTGGCTCAAGTGCCCAAGGACTGGCAATCTTGTCCTATTCTTACTCTATAGGCATTAGTATCATTAATCTTTCATCCATTTATGATAAAATATATCTTTACTACTGTTTTTTTTCTTTTTACACCAGTACACTGAGTATACTCTAAAGTTGTATATAAAAACTAACACAGTTGGGGTTATGACTGTTTATACATTTACAGTGTCGTCGTTATTTCTACCGGTGTACAAAGTTTTAGTTTGTGGAGACCTGAATCCTGCCAATATTTAGGCAATTCCTGGTAAGGGATAATATTACTGGCAACAGATTGTAAACACATTTTCAACTCAAGCATTTAACTCAATTTATCCTGCCTTTTTTTTCATCCTATAAAAGCAAAACTTATCATGATGCTTTTTTATAACTTATCACTATTAGGCACCATCACAACACACAAAATACAGTCTGTTCCTTTATGCCAAATCCCTAAAATCAAGGCATTAAACAAATTTGAATCTAACAACATTGTCCAAATCTCTATTTGCAAAACTTTCCCACTTTCTTAATAAAATTAAAGAGAGATATAAGTATAAATGAATTGCATGTGTATGAATACATAAAGACTAATCCTCAAAACATATCATTTATATTTTATAATAAATCTGGAAACTGTGCTAGAAATCATTTTGAAGTGTTAATATTGTAGTTCTAATGCATAAGAGTTGCAAAAGGTACAAATTTTTACAGCATCTTGGTTTATGGTTTCCCCTTTGTTAGGAACAAGAAGTCCTGTTCGGTTTATCACCGTCCCCTTTGTAAATGACTGCCAAATTCCCAGGATGTAACCTGTGGCTCTGTCTCTGATCAGACCAGTCAGACACTCTTGGTGCTTGAAGCTCACAATCTGATACAAGCTTCACAGCCTCACTGACCAGGAACACTTTTGAAGGTTTTGGTGAACATAATAAGAGCGCTAAGTTACTGGGCACAATTCTTTAACTGTCTCTGAACAACAGTAAAATGTGTAATAAGAAGTCATAGGATTAAGGACTTGCCCGAAACGCTACGCGTACTTAACTCTTTTTCAAAAAAAAAAAAAAAAAAAAAAAAAAAAAAAAAAAAAAAAAAAAAAAAAAAAAAAAAAAAAAAAGTCTTATTAATTTTATTTGCCGGGTATATTTAGAGGAGTGGTGTTGACAAATTCTGGGTCCTTTGTTTATTTTGTAAAATGGTACTTTTAGTGTATGAATTGCACCTTTATTTTTCTATAAGGAAGTAGTACCAAGTTCCATTTAATGGCTTGGTTTAATACTTTTGCATTTTAATGAAGCTAAAACACGACATCCATTGTCCGACAGTAAAGGTTCGAATGACTTTTAAAATGCATCATCTGACTGCTATTCATAAACACTCGCGTATTCATCACTATTGCCGATGATCTATTATAATACACTTGTTTTCGTATATTTCGAAAATTTGTTTGGCAAGCATTTTGACATCAAATTTAGTTTTAACAACAAACTTTGAAAACTTAAAATTATTGTAAATATTTGTTGCATCACCGAGTGGCATGTGAGCATCTCGGGAAGCCCAGAAAACTTACTGTTGGGAATGTGTGGAGAGGTAGGACTATCAGTGTTAATAATGAATACTTGAATAATTATGTTACTTTAATAAGAAAGTCACTAAATTATTCTAACATTTAAAATTCTATTACAATAGTATAGGGTGTTAAAATCTCTACTGATTGAATAGTAAAGTGCAATAGATCTTGTGGAGCAGTGGTGCGGGCAGTTGGGACAGAGAGCACTGTTAAAACCTGGTCATTAATGGTGCCAAAGACAGGCTGCCTTGTTGACCAGACCACACACTAGAAAGTGAAGGGACGACGACGTTTCAGTCTGTCCTCGACCATTCTCAAGTTGATCGTGGTCCGGGACGGACCGAAATGTCGTCGTCCCTTCACTTTCTAGTGTGTAGTCTGGTCAACATATTTCAGCCACGTTATTGTGTCTCATCGCCTGCACAGGCTGCCTTCTTGGTTACAACTGGATAAGCTATCATACTGATTATATGTAAATCAGGATGACGGCACACTCAGTCCCCTTGACCCCAGGGAACAATTTCAGGTTGACTCCTGCTACTGTGAAGACTTCTTGAAATGACTTTTAAATTATACACAATGTTGTTTCCTGCCAAACACACACCAAAACTACGACGTTGGTACAACGTTCGAACAAGTTTTAACACATCCTAACCAGTTATAACAACCAATATAGCAAGTTGTAACAACGTTCTAATACGTCATAAACACGTTAAGCCAAGATGTAGCAACTTTATTACAAGTTGTAACAAGCGGAAAATAGAGACAGTTTCGGTTTGTGTTTCCAGGGTTGCAATGAATTCTAAATTTGTATGCATGTCATCTCAAAGTACCTTTTTTTCAAAATTATTGTACCAAAATTGCTGTAAAACCTTCTAAATGAAAGATTTACAAGCTAATCCATATTCATTAACACTTCAACAATATTTTCTTAAATCATTTTAACCAAGTTCAAGGGGCATAACTGGCCGACCCCTCACAGTGTTCAAGAGAGAACTGGATAAGCACCTCTAAAGGATACCTGATCAACCAGGCTGTGATTCGTACGTCAGGCTGCGAGCAGCTGCGTCCAACAGCCTGGTTGATCAGTCCAGCAACCTTGAGGCCTCGTTGACGACCGGGCAGCGGGAACGCTAAGCCCCTGAAGCACCTCAAGGTAACCTCAAGGTTTACAATAGTGACCATTTGTAAATTTGTATACATCACAAATTTTTTAATTTCCTCAAATGAAGTTCAACCTTTTACAATTTATTCATTGCAGGTTTCACAATTTATATTTTCTTCTTTGCAGTCATACAACTCAATCACATCATACAAACAATAATAATCAGTAAATAAAGATGATGGCTTATATCTTTGATCATGTTAAATAAGAAGGTAATAAAGTATGGAAACAATTTATGATATTTGGTGCTTGGAATGTTGAAGATATCATCTAGGAAAAGTACTTAAATACAAGAAACACTGTATCAGCACTTTTTTAATTGTATTACATGTCATATAATATGTTGTAAGAAGCAGAGGAGAGTAAAAGAATGTTAAAATTAGTTTAGGCACAATTGATAAAGTTGTACAGTATTTTGTTATGTCAGAAACAGTATATATATATAAAGATGCAAAAAACATTTCACGAGTTTTCAATACAGTAATCTTTGGTATACCCAAATTCTAATTATGTGACCTTACATTGCTTTATGTTGATGTATGTACAGAATGAGTGAATGCTTATCAAATAGTGCATACCTAATAGCACATACAAGCAGGAACAATTCTTGGGCTCGACTATTCACATTCAAGAATCTGGAGTCAACTATTCTCATAACTTTCACTGTCATATGCTAAATTCTGAACTGTACCTGCACCCAGGTACAGGTACAGGTACATTTCCTGTACATCCTGTCCATTGCCACCTTTCAATCTCGGTTGACGACTGCCCTAGAGTATGAAGTTTTTGGCATGCGACGTCAAATTCATCGTAAAATTTGAATTAGTGTACGACGGTTCACTGAATGCATATTTACTAATTTCCCTGTGGCTCAACTAGGCCAGTAGTTTCCTTCAATGACTTTATCTGGCACAGTCTTAGTTCATGACATCTATGATTTAGTATTTTGTCAAAATTAGGCCTACTCTGGTTCTTCTCTATTCCAGTGTTTGAAGTTTTAGCTTTTTTGAGCCTATACTAACAGCTTCAATATCAAATTTCTAGTAAGTCTCATTATCAATCAATGAGCTTTTATATAATTCTTCTGTTTTGTGTTTCCTAAGATGAGGGGCTCTATGCTGGTGCTGCATACTCCAAAACTAGTGTTACTTAGCCTTTGAACAGCATTCAGAAAGATTTCTTGTTTAGATTCTTAAATAATATTTGAATGAAGTGTGATGGATGGGACTGAGCGAATGTGCGTGCATGCAATAAAAAAGTATATATATATACAGTATTATATATATATTATATATTTATATACTGTACATTGAAAAATTACATATATGCATATACATAATTTATCAATCGACTTGAGAATGGTCCAGGACGGACCGAAACATCGTCGTCCCTTCACCTTCTAGTGTGTGGTCTGGTCAACATACTTTAGCCACGTTATTGTGACTCATCGCCTGCATAATTTATAATGTACATCAACAATAAGTATTAAGTGAAACTATATAACAAAAAAAAAAAAAAAGATTTATACAGAAGAAAGTGAATTTGGAATCAATCATGAAGTTTATTCAGGATACCATTATTACTTGACTTTGAAAATTAATCTGACTTTAAAATTAATTTGCATAGTCTTACTTTCCTTAGATTATGTTCTTACTATAATAGTGCACATGCTTGATGGGTTGTCACTACCAGCACATAGAGGAAGAGAGGTGCACAGAATCACAGACATGTTCACATTGCTACAATCCCCACACACACACACACACACACACACACACACACACACGAATCTGTACACCAGTTGATTGACAGTTGAGAGGCGGGACCAAAGAGCCAAAGCTCAACCCCCGCAAGCACAAATAGGTGAGTACACACGCACACACACACACACGATACGAAGATGATATTAAATAACTGAAAGTGCATTTCATAACGACGAGTCCTTTCACTGTTATATATCTATATATATATATATATAAAGATGATGGAAGGCATGACAGTAAAATAAACATGGGAAAGCACAATGGGAAAATTGATTTTTAGTTGCTTTAAAATGACAACCCTGCATATGCAAGCACCTTGTCGAATACAACATTCAACTCTAATATTGATGTATGCAGAGCTACCGCTCTTCCCTATCTTCCGAGGTAAACGTTTCAATGAAGCCCAGCCAAATCAACGATTGATCAAAATATATTTACATTATTTATGAAATATAACCACGTACTTAGTATGGAATACAGGCATTGGTCAGTGGTGAGAACCAACCCGGCTACGATCCAGGACAGCGAACACACACGCCACCTTCCCCAAATTTGCCTGCCTATGTTTGCACATATAATGCACTTACCCTAGAAAACAGGTCTTTCTCACATATAATGCAGTTACCATAGAAAACAGCACTTTTTCTTACATATAATGCAGTTGCCATAGAAAACAGCACTTTTTCTCACATAATGCAGTTACCATAGAAAACAGCACTTTTTCTCACACATATAATGCAGTTACCCCTAGAAAACAGCACTTTTTCTCACATAAAAAACACTTACCTTTCCATTTGACACACATTTTTTACGAGCACATCACTAGACACTCACTTACCAGGCTATAGCACTGTACTTTTAACGTACAGTATAAAAAGACCAAGATATAAAGTGCAAAAATGTGAATTAAAACTGTAATACTGATGTTAAGAAATACCTTGTTACTTTGGCTCTTGTACGACTCATCCGCTAATATCAAAGGTACGAGCTAGTTCACTTGATGGAAGCCTGGTTGAGGACCGGGCCGCAGGGACACTAAAGCCCCGAAATCCTCTCAAGATAAGAAGGTGTCATGAAAGAAGTTCCTGCCATTTCTGTGGCCTTCACTACCAACTTAAAAGTTCAGAGGTGCTGATCTTATAACAGCATTAAATAGCACATAAAAATGTTTATACCATATTAAAAAAAATTTCAATTGCATATACATGTAATGGCAAATTTTGAAGTCGCTATTGTTTTACTTTTTTTTTATAATGAAGGCTTAATGATGCCTAAATCTAAAACTCGATAACAGAAACAAGGATAGACAGATCAGACAGCCTGGTTATGCCTTTACTGTACTTACAGAAGAAAACCCTGTCCAGAATTCGGAATTCTGACAACGCGTTCCACAAAAATCTTGTCAACAAGATGAAAACTTTGTACAAGTCATTAGAATGCTCGTTTCCATGCACTGTTGAGTCGGTACACTCATTCACGTACACAAACTGAGTGAGTATTGATAAGCTGTCATCATGACGTTCACTATGGATTCATGAGTCTCTGTTGTTTTTTATACTCCTCTTGCAGCTCTCGTAGGTTAGCTTCCAGCAATGGCACATCATCGTACCGACTTGCTTCCCTGAAAGACCAACAGTTATGCTAGCATATGAAACTCAACACTTAAAATCATTGCCCCCCTCTATCTAGGAAACAAATTCATGAATATCATAATGTAAAACACTGTTTTACAAGCAACTAGTTATGGCCATCATGCTGTAAGACAATATTTTACAACATGATGCAATAAAAAAAATTTTTTACAGTCTACTGAACTGTCAAAAATACATTTTATTTATATTCAAAATCTACTGTTAAAATTATTACCTAAATGACTTCTGTTTTAAACATACAAATGTAAGTATCCAACATTCCAAAAGGTTCATTATATCAACAAGCAACAAAATTAAAGTTCTAACCATTATTAAAAACCCAGCATTGAATGGAGTGAAATGCCTCTTTCTGGTAGAGCCCCGGTGAATCCCTGAAGCTATCTCACCGTACCACCACCACTACCACCACCAGCAGTACCACCACCACCACCAGCAGTACCACCACCACCACCACCACTATCTCACTGAGATAGCACCCCATTACTGGACCACATCACTTGCAGGAGTCCTGTTTGGCCTACTATTATCTGTGTGTGTGTGTGTGTGTGTGTGTGTGGGGGGGGAATAAACAGGATAAACAGGGGACTGTTATCGTCACCTTCACCAGAAAAGCATCCAGCAAGTACGTAAAGCTCTACAGACAACTTTAAGGTTCAAAGAAAATGAAGCATCAAAAAGGCCAAATGACTCCACAGATGATTCAGTCTAAACCCCATTCACTTAAAACTAGCTGGTCCACAACCAGCTCCAATGGTCAGCCCAGAGCAATTACCGCAATGTCCACACTCGTGATCAGCTCTCGGCAATGGACCACATATATAGGGTTGTGGGAAAAGAGCACTGAGATAATCACCACCAGATCACACCAGCAGTACCACCACCACTGACCAGCAAGGAGCGACACCACTGATGACCTGCTTTGGCCCAGCCATCTCACCAGACGAACTTAGTCTAAAGCTATACTCCACGGACCCAGCAGTGTCTTGACATAGCCACCACCTGCATTCTACAGCCTCCCATTATGACAACTCTGGCATGCCATACAACAAGCTACTGTAACCATTATATCAAATATATATATAATGTTGAGCAATGTTTACTGTCCTACCTGTCCCAGTTACAAAAGAGCTTAGACATCCTCTTCACTAGTCAAATCATCTACAGTGCACTTCCATAACTAGAGACTATTTTATTAAAAAAAAGTCACAATGTAATAGATGTATTGTATTCTGTTATGTAGTAATTGTAATAACTGTAAAAATTATAATAAGTGTCAATAAATCTAAGAATTAACTGGTCAGTTTACTTCTGCCATATATTTCCACATCTGTCTCCAGTTCCTCCATCATTTGTCTCACAAAATAAAGCACATCAGTCATCAGTTTTACAAGGTTAAAACAAGCGTACCAAACGCTCCCAACTCTTATCAGTATCAAAACCATGCACGGCAGCATTGGCCAGTTGGGCCCAGGTCCAAGTACAAGGGGGAATTGGAGGGATACCTCGGGTTATTGTTCAAGGCCAATCAAAGAGTCGGGATTCACATATGCTTATTTTAAGTTTTTCCGGCAACAGCACTTATGCGGTGTTGCGGGGGTGAGACTTGTATGTGGCTCCCAACACCTACAAACTACACTACACTACACACAGAAATCACAATAGCGTGACGCATCAAATGAACAAATCCACAAGGGCCGTGACAAGGATTCGAACAAATTTTCACACCATCAAACTTTTCAAACTTACAAACTATCAGGGGCCCTGGATCACAAATTGTTTTTAGGGCCTTTATACCATAAAGGAACTAAAAATTCCTGCCTAGCCCATGCCTTAGTCACCGTATCAATATCCAAATTCACAAGAGCAAAAATGGTCAGGAAGAAGTCATGCTCCACTTGAATTACGACTATGGTGAGTAATAACAACACTACTCACCTAGCTTGTTTGATATAATTCCTAATAATATTCATCTGTTGGATCATGGGCTCATCCGTCTCGGTTACGTTGTGAGCTGAAGAATTGGCTCCCCAGCCTGTGTCAACCAGTACCTGTTTGGAACAAGTCACTGTTTTAAAAATTCACATCAAGATGAAAGGAAAATTTAATGTGTGCTATAATCAGAACTATATATGATTAGAATAACCCAACCCACACATATGAAATTAAATTAAACTAATTTTCAAATCCAGAGTATACTCTCTCTATAGCAAAATTTGACCAAAACCTGAAATGTACATTTACCAAAATCTACCCAAATCCTTGTACTCTATAATTATGTAAATTAGGTAAATAAAATATTTTCCTACAGTATTATTGGTAATGAAAATGGAACATTCTTACACATAATTAAATATTGGAAATACTGTAATTTCATGTGTGTGTGTGTGTGTGTGTGTGGGCTGGCTTATTTGTTTTTTCCACATTATTGGTACATTCTCTGCACACGATCAGAACATCACACCTAAACAAAAAATGAATGCCGTAAAATGTAAATTATTTGTCAGCTAAGGGTGACGCAAATATTTTTTTTTTACCACTTGTATATTTTCTAACAATCTGCAAAGTATTTTCTGTAGTATTTACAATATTGTATTTCTCATAAAATGAGAACAAATTTAAATAATAAAATCTTTCCTCACTATTTGATGCTGAAAACAAGTCACTCTTGACCCCTTTAGACTAACATCATATAATTATATTTTAGTCATAAATACTGAAACACAATGTGGAATCATGAGACACACTTTTAGTATCATTTCTCATTTATTAATTAGGAATAGCAGTCGAGACCAATTATATATATTAAAAAAAAATTTCTTGTACGCTAGTTATTTCAGAAAACTTTTCCTGGCTTTAAAACTGTCTATGGGTTGAAAATGAAATTGAAATAAGTTTATTGAGGTAAAATACACACAAAGGGATGAGGTAGCTCAAGCTATTCTCACCCCGTTCAGTACATCGTGTTAATACATACATAGACACACATCACAAGCAATAAACGTATTACCGAAGTCTATGGGTTCATCTTATGGTTTCCTATAGCTAGGGACAGGAAGCCTGGTAGGCCTATTGATGTCCCCTACCCCTCCCTTCCCCCCGGTCAAATACTGACCTTCCCCAGGAGGCAACCCACAACAGATGCCCAATTCCTGGGTACCTATTTACTGCTAGGTGAACAGGGGTATCAGGTTCCAAGAAACAAGCCCAGCCGCAGGTCATCTGCCTGGGAGACCAAGCAAGGGATCCTCGGTTGCGAGCCAAGAACGTAGAGCACTGCACTTCAGGCCCCGTATAAATGAATATATTAGTATAGTACAGTATATTAATATATCCAATATATTGCCATTAACCCCTAAACTGCTCCTGTTGCCCTCTAGTAATAACAATGCTCCTGTCACCTGTGGAAATCATTTGACACTTTATGGGCTATTCATGCCTGTGCCATCTCCTGGTTGGTATAATCAATCAATCATTTGACACTAGAAATCTCTGGCAATCATTTGCCATATTGGGAAAAATTCTGAAAGCCCTAATTGCCTTTTTGCACAATATTACAAAATACTGGCACCATGGTCGAGGGAGCCGGTCGGCCGAGCGGACAGCACGCTGGACTTGTGATCCTGTGGTCCTGGGTTCTATCCCAGGCGCCGGCGAGAAACAATGGGCAGAGTTTCTTTCACCCTATGCCTCTGTTACCGAGCAGTAAAATAGGTACCTGGGTGTTAGTCAGCTGTCGCGGACTGCTTCCTGGGGGTGGAGGCCTGGTCGAGGACCGGGCAGCGGGGACACTAAAGCCCCGAAATCATCTCAAGATAACCTGAAGAAGATGGTAGGTGCTTCACCATCCATTTACTGATGCCTATGTTCAGCACCATTGTCAAACAAAATTTCAAGGATTTTCATGGACCATGATAATATTAATGAGGAGAAATCTATTACAAATAGTTGATTTGAAAATTAATTCTCAGAATTTGATGTTTTTGACATTTCTTCACCTCACTACAGCCAAACTAAAATTATTAGATTCTTTTTCCAGACATCAGAAAGAGAAGTTTTAAATATAAAAAGGAGAAAGAATTTTGTTTTATGTGCACCAGGAAATCTACCTAAAAAATGGTGTGCAGTTTGAGGGGTCAATGCCATAATGTTAAGCTCTTCATTAAAGTTTTGATAAATTAATTTAATCCATTTATTACTTTTAAAGCTACTTACTTCCTCTTGGCGTTTCTTAAGACTGGCAAAAGACGGAGGCGTGACGCTACTGGAGCGTGACGGTGTGGAGCGTGGCGAGTCTCTCGAGTCTCTGTCACGGCGTCGTAAGATCTCGGCAGCATGCTCCTCAGCTTTGCGTAATGCTTCCTTCTCTGCTGCTAATCGTGCTTCAGCTTCAAATCTGTCATTATTATATTAACGCTATGTATCAACCTGCCTTCAATCTCATCCTGATTAACAATTTACCTATCCCACATGAAAAATTTAAACACTCTTTACTTCAGTAATTTACTTTTTCTAACTCAGTACATTGTGGCTACCATATCTAATAATGCAAAAAGCTTTCACTGAGACATTCCAAATTCACTTTTTCAGATTGCTTCCTTTCATTTTAATAGCTTTGATAACATTTAGAGATGAATGATAAAATGTATAAGATACATGAAAAGCATATATGAATATCAACTACTAAACTGAAAACTCATATTTCCTGCTGATAAGTGCAGCATTGGTTATTAAAATAAATGCTAAAAGATCACCGAATGCATAATGAATGAATAAAATGCCATGTTTAAAAGATTCATTAACTGACCTCCTCCTCTCTTGCAGTTCCTTCAACTCCTGGTGGCTGGGAAGCTTGGGTAGGCTAAGAATACGCTCTTTAAGAAATCCTGTTGCGGTTGATTGTATCCTGCGTTGAAGAAGCTCTTGTCGTGGGCCTGGAGGAGGTACGTTGCTCACAGCTGCATCTGTCACATCTTGCCCTGTGGTGCTACCAAGAGTCCGCACACGCTGGGCCATGGAGTTGAGACTGTCACCTTTCTTAAGAATCTTGATCCTCAGCTCCTCGGCATCCCGTAGGCTGTATGTAGTTTCACCACATCTGAAATTGTATGTTCTGCATTGATAGCTTGTGAGGTGTGCCTGTCTTACGAGGATATTTGGAAGATATATCCTCCAAAGGATACCTGATCAACCAGGCTGTGACTCGTACGTTAGGCTGCGAGCAGCCGCGTCCAACAGCCTGGTTGATCAGTCCGGCAACCAGGAGGCCTGGTCGACGACCAGGCCGCGGGGACGCTAAGCCCCGGAAGCACCTCAAGGTAACCTCAAGGTAAGGTATATACATCTTAGCATTCTCAGTAGTCATATGCTTATTCTGATCTGTTTAAAGATGGTCCAGATTTAAACCTTTATTCAAGCATTGTACACACAAGGCATACAGACTGAGTGAACTCTGTACAGGTGTCAGTACAGAACTACCACAAGGTGAGGTACAAGGAGACCCATCTAGATAGCTGGTGGGTCGTATGTAGAAAAGGAGCTAAGCACCCTGAAAGCACCCTAATTGATGACACTACAGATGCTGAAGATGAGGTATTCAAAAGTGCAAAAAATAATACTTACTATTACTGCATTAATAAAGGAACAATCTACAAGATAAGGATGAAGTCAAAATAATTGTTGACGTTCAGATGGGTCTACCTTAAAGATAAAAGCACAGTAATAACATTTTAATTTCAGTCATTCATCCCCATTGTAAGACAGAAGGTGTTCAACGAAGACATCAATCTTAATAACTGCATAAAGTCTCTGCTTGCAAAAATGAGACTAATGTACATAATAAATATTGAGGTTAATTTCTCTAACCAGTACCACTTATTCAACAAAGATGGTCTCCACTAAAATGAAGTAGGGATGGCTAGTTTCAACAGGCTCGTGCCACTTCCCACAAACAATGCATTGCATCCAGGATTGCCCATCGAGCCCTTGTACACTCAACAGGTTGTTGTAAATATGGCATCCAAAAATATTTTGTAACATTAAAATTCACAAATGAATTAAAGGTGATTCATTGCTGTCCAGGAAAGGGAGTTAAGAGCAGTTAATTCATGCCATAATCATAAAGCTGAATATGGTATAAGGCACACGTGTAGGGCTCACAGTAACCCTCTCCACCATCCACACTTGGTATGTGGTGCAGTTATGTAGTACACCAGTTATGTGGTATACCACATATCTGCATAATATGTGACTAACTGTATGGCACACTTACATGCTTTTATAAAGGCATCACTGCCCATTCTTTACTTACATGGTTCATCATAGTGCACTTAAAAAATAGTTGGACACATCTTCTTTCACCTGTGCCTCTATTCACCTAGGAGTAAACAGGTACCTGGGATTTATGAAACAGTTGAAGGTTACAGGGGGCCTCGTAGCCTGGTGGATAGCGCGCAGGACTCGTAATTCTGTGGCGCGGGTTCGATTCCCGCACGAGGCAGAAACAAATGGGCAAAGTTTCTTTCACCCTGAATGCCCCTGTTACCTAGCAGTAAATAGGTACCTGGGAGTTAGTCAGCTGTCACGGGCTGCTTCCTGGGGGTGGAGGCCTGGTCGAGGACCGGGCCGCGGGGACACTAAAGCCCCGAAATCATCTTAAGATAACCTTAAGAAGATACATTCTGGAGAAAACCCGTACAACATCCATTTAATGGGGCACCACTAAATCCAGGGTTGTTAAATTGTTGGTAACTTTTTAGTGATATTCAGGGGGACAAGCAGGCTGGATGGTGGGCGGGCTGGATGCTATGCCACATCAAACCCAATAGTAGCCTCCAGTTCAATACCCGCCAGAATGTTAAACTCAATAACGTCTGCATTCCAGGTTTGACGGTCAATGACTTGGTAAATAAGTCTCCAGTTACTGATCTCAAATTCAGCTATTAGAACCGGCATAACAATCAACCAGACATTCTTATATTGAGTGCATACTCTAATTCAACCTATGGGGGACCTTGATATAAACCTAGGCATGGCTTCCTGTTCTTAACAATGTGCATTATTATATCAGAGAGACTAATTTTTGGAGTACATCTGAAGTAATCACACACTCTCTTAGTAACCTACACAATGTTTGTGTGGGGGATGAGAGTATAGGTAGTACAGTAACTGCAGGTGATCATCGCAGGTAACCAGTTTACAAAGAACTGGTCTGCAGACTCGTGCAACCGTTGTACAGGTACTATACTTTCTCCAGTCACAACCCAAGAAATTGAGTAGCATCACAAAGCTTCCTGCTCAATAGTGGTTTGGAATATATATACAGTAATTTCCACTACATATGTTAAGCCCTTACCTTAACCACTAGAGTATTTCATAGTTCCAACAACACATGTCGTTACCTTACCTTAACGACTCTGCCATATGTATAAACTGTGGCAAAAGGCTCTCAATTTGAGATCTATATTCCATCAATTTTTCATAGTAGAGGGAAAGTGTTGGCTTTGACATGCGCTGCTCTACTTGGCTGTCTCTGGCTTGAAGGCGCTGCCAATGAAAGGAATGTAAGATAGTGAATGCATCGAGAGGATTCAATGAGGGGTATCCTCAATGTAAGTTAATATTTAAACTATGTCAACCTATTATCTATAACTGCAATTCTATTATTAATCCAGCCTACATAAATGGAATGGTAACGACATAATGACAATAACTATTACCTGTGTTAGCAAAACGAGTGAAAATATAGATTCCTCTATAACACAAGAAATGTTTTAAATTAAAATAATCATCAAGAATACAATAAAATTGTGTTGCATGTCAACACAAGAATACAATAAAATATACGAAACAATATAGCACAATGAAATGCAAGTTTAAAATAGTATTCGAATTAGTTTTATGTTGGCAAGAACCAATCCAAATATAACACATGGGATGAATGTTCCTACCGTCATACAGTGCGCGCAAGTACGAAAATGTTGTTCTGCTGTCATAGAATCCATCACAGAGAGTAGGGAATTAAGGGAGCCCTGTGAACCAGAACGACGGAGACCCGAGATGCCCGAGAGGAGAGAAGACATACCCGAGCCTGCCCCACTGCTAATACTCAACGCTGACATTGCGTCTTGGCTCCCTTGGTGAACTGGACTTACAAGCTTTCCTAAAATAAATTAAATAAACTAAATCAATTTTATATATATACTGTGTATATATATAAAATTATGTAGATAGTATATGTAGGGGTACAATCTCTGGTGCAATTGCAGGGACCCACATCCTCGAAGAAGAAAACAAAGAGCATTCAGAGAAGACCTTGTGGATTCTCACTGAACACTTTAAATCTTTTCTTCTCCTACCCCTACCTCATTGCACAGTATATATATAAATACAGTAATATATATTTACAGTATATATATATATATAATATATTTACCATAATCTGTTTACTCTATATGTACTATTTATTCTCTTTCTAGTTTTACTTATTTATGTCCTGTTAAGACTGTGGTGTATTTCAAGTGCACAGTACTTCAGATTAGTAATCCACTTCAATGGCTAAAAGCTCATCTTAATTTTCCTGCTGAAGAGAAATATTTATATATTTCAGACAATAAAGCCAACTCTAACATTTCAATTCCTTCTCTTTAAAAACTATTACTTAGTAGCATTCATATCTAACTTTTATTTAATGTAAAATAATTAGAGCTTTCCCAAGATATTGCAATTTGTGCCCAAAATGACTCAAAGAATCGAAAAACTTACTTGCATAATCAAATGTGAGAAAATGGGAACATTCGTCACACATGATGCCTCCACACAGCCGGCAATGGTGGCGGCGACGAGCCAGGTTGAATGAACGAGCGCAAAATGGACATAGTGGTACATCCTTGTCCTCTGCCCACATGACAATGTTGCGCTCGTGAGCTGTAACGGTCATTAACTCTAGTCTATAATAGAACATTTCATGGGGTTCGTTGACTGGTGCAGCATTAGGGGCAATACTGCAGATTAGCTATAAACCTTTTGCATTGATCTCAAATTATCACTTTTTTTTTTTATACATGACGTAGGGCAAAGCAACAGAAGCAATCTCTAAATTAAATTTACTGCATCAGTTTTGATTTGTAATTTGTATCAGAAGTTGTATCATTAAAGATAATTGTATTACTGTATATCAGAACATACTGCTGAACTCTAAATAGTTTCTCAGTAGGTCCAATAAGAAATGTTACAGTAAAATAGAAGGCATTAAGTAACATGTAACACCTATATTTGAGTAGTAATAGGGTTACTGAGAAACAATACAGGAAACTGATTCTGTACATGTACAGTATGTGATACAAGTTAAAAAAAAAAAAATATGCCATGCCTACTCAACGCGATTTCTGGTACACACACACACGCGGACATGCACACATTTGCATGCACACTCATGTGCACACATTAGAGACGTTAGAAAGAATTTTGTCAGTGTCAGAGTAGTTAACAAATGGAATGCACTAGGCAGTGATGTGATGGAGGCTGACTCCATACACAGTTTCAAATGTAGTTATGATAGAGCCCAGTAGACTCAGAAACCTGTATACCAGTTGATTGACAGGACCAAAAAGCCAGAGCTCAACCCCCGTAAGCACACTCACGTGCACACATACCCACACACAATAGCACGCATGTACATAAACACGTTACTCACCTTTTCTTTTCACTGGGTCATTCGGCAAATCTTTAAGCAGTTTGTCTAATCTGATGAGTAATTTGTTGGTCTCTGCAACAAAGGAGTCTATTCTTGCACTTCTTATCTTTTTGAAAAGGGCCGTGTGACTCCTCGAAGGTCCTGTTGAAAGAATGTTGTTCTATTTCGCCAGTAATATGTACACTGTACTGTACTGCAAATGCCAACATATAGACTTCTCCATGCATCCCAATTCATGTCTAGCCATAATGAATTTCTCCAAGGGGCATCAAACATTTCGTCACATATTCCCTTACTTAATAATTTAATATTCTCCAGTCTTATACTTCCTCATCTATCAAATATTTGATCATATCTTTATGTATTTAATGAACTCGAGGCAGAGTCGCCGGTAAGCAGTACAGTATTATGAAATTAACATGCTACAAATGTTTAATGCTTCAGCAATGGAAAAATCCCTAAGAGTCATCCTCTTCCTCTCTGATAAATAATGAATATTCACCCTTTTAATTACCTATTACATAAGTAATATTATACAACCATACCTCTTATCAATCACAAATTTATACCTCCCTTCCCTCATGTCTCCAATGACCACAGAAATGTAATGTATTTGTAATTTCAAGATACACAACAATACAAGTTCCCGTTAAATTCTGACATTCAGTACTACACGAATCAAGTCTGAAAAGTACCCAAAGGTGGAGGATCCCAGTTCCACGGGTTGTTTGGTTCATACTCCACTGTGTCGCCATCAAAGGGAGTGCGAACTTTTGATGATACAAAGTCTGGCTCATCCTCATTAAGTAGTTTTTTCTTTGCCTTGTTTAAGAAGCCTGTAAAAGAGGTTTACTCAGTAAGAAATTATGAGATAAAGACTTGTGGTCAAACATCAAGATAGTTCACATAGCAAGGACACTGGATCAGAGATTGACAAATTTGTAGCAGCAATGTAAGAAATTAAACAAAAGTTAAAGATGATGTGATCTGATGGAGAAGTGTGTAAGAGAATGTCTGGCAGCATTTTTACAGAAGATGTAAAGTGGAATCTCAATTCAATGAGCCTCGATTTGGTGAATCCCCAGTTGTAACACTTTTCATGCCAGATTTACCTGCCCAATTTGACAATGTCAGATTTACTCACCCAATTTGACTAACAACTCGCCCAACACACACCAAAACTACGACGTTGGTACAACGTTCGAACAAGTTTTAACACCTAACCAGTTATAACAACCAATATAGCAAGTTGTAATGTTCTAATATGTCATAAACACGTTAAGCCAAGATGTAACAACTTTATTACAAGTTGTAACAAGCGGAAAATAGAGACAGTTTCGGTTTGTGTTTCCAGGGAAGAGCTCGCTGAGGCAGGGAATGTGTGGATTTGCTTAGGATGTTGGGACCAAGTTCATGGAGGGGGTGAAGATTACAAGAAATAGTTGAGCCTTGGGAAAGCCACTGAATATATTAAAAACCAAATTCTACGGCTCATTTCTTTCCAGTTGCAGAGACTTTTGTTCAGAAAAATATAGGCCCCATAGAAACACTGTACAGTACAGTTACAGTATAAAAACACTGTAACATTGTAACTGTAACACGCCTCTCACACTGTGAGAGGAGTGGATGACGGCACATAGGATGACTAAGCATTAGATACGCGGTCGTAATGAGAGATAACTGAACGAGATGAATTGGTGCTCTTTGTGGAGGATGAAATATCACATGCAAGGCTACAGTGACAGTGTCTGTGGATATGATAAAGTTGGATGCAGGAGGAAGGAGAGATGTGAGAGTGACAAGTCACCATATATGTTTGATATTTACTCTGGGAAATAGTGTATGAAGGTACATGAGATAGTGAACAATATTATTTTAATAATTTTATTATCATCATTATTTACCAATATATTGTGAATTGATAGCAGAAAATTATTAAAAATGGTTTCCTCACCATTAAAATCAGAATTCAGCAAAGCCTTAGAAAAGGAGTAACTTTTGACATAGCATAATCAACGCTTTTCACCCCAAAGCAGCCACGTCGACTAGAATTCAAGGATCACAATTAATAGATTTACTAGTTATGAAAATGGTCTCGGTTTATTTATTTTACACAACAAAACAACTCCATTACAAGATTACACTAAACAGACTCGGTAGCTCGAAGAGCGCAGAGAGTGCTTGCCTTTGAGTGACTGGAGTACAGCCTTATCTTCAGATTCATGCTGCTCCTCGAAGTGAGCCTGGAGCTGTGTGATGGAGGTGAGGTCTTGGAGACATAACGGACACAAGAAACCTTCCAGCACCTCCCCATCTTGGGTCCCACTATAGGCACCGCTCATGCCAATTCACAAGATGCAAACTCTGAAATAAGGAGAAAATGAATGAATGAAATATCTACTTTTTATACAAATTATTACAAAATTTACCATACTTAAAATTATCTGTTAGATTAATGACCTGCCCAAAACGCTGTGCGTACTAGTGGCTCTACAAGATTTCACAAACCCAATGTACCTTCTTGTATATAGATAAATAAATAAATAAATAAACAAATAAATAAATACCATGATTTTTAACATTAAAGATTTCAGAATGAAATTACTGTTAAATTTAACATACAGTAGAAGCAAAAATACAATCCTGTAAAACTAATGCCAATTTGGCTTTACATCCTGAGGAGCCTCCACAGCAGTCTCATTACGCTACCTATTTTCAATGTAATAGGCATAAAGAAAATGCTATAATACTGTACACAACTTTAACACAGCTATTATACAGACTTTCTATGTAAATTTTCTATATCAGTAGACTTTGACATTACCATTACAGTGAAATACATTTACATTCGCTGACGAGTACATACAGCACCAGCATAATAAACAATAAGTCCACGAGAACATCAGTTTTGTCGTTATTATAGTTACGGGTAATAATGGAACAAAGCCGTTTGCTCCCTGCAGGTATAAGTTTTCGGAATGAAAATAAAATCTGGAACAATATGCCAAATGACACATAAACTGCCTATAGCAGGAAGATACAGAGAATGATAGAGTTAGCAACACCTCGAAAGGTTGAAAAAATTCAACCTTTCTGTGACCTCAGGCAATGCTATATGCTTGAAGCATTGTATAAATCTAGGCATTGTATAAATATTGTATAACGATGCTTTACGACAGACGAAACCACAAGGTCCATTCGGCATCAGGGTTAAACCAGGAATCGAGCACCAGTGTCGTACCTACCACCGGCTGGAGGAAAACAAAGGTTTCAGTTCAAGTTAGTCTTTATCAACTCCTTCCTATCCCAAAGCACATTCTGGCCCACAACCACTGGATCCTGGGTTAAGTTCCGAGGCAACACACATTTGGACACCTTTCCTTACTTAACCTGATGCCTCTGTTCACCTAGTAGTAAACAAGTACCTGGAAGTTGGCCATTATATTTTTTATTTTGTTTTATTTAAAAGAGTTCTTGTAAAGGCACTAGCAAGCATAGAGTTTCAGACAGGTCCTAAATCCTAATTTTCCCTGGAATAAGACCCGTTTGCTGCTGGTTAAACACAGGCTACAGTTATGGATTGGTGCCCAGCCAATCCTCCCCGGCCAGGATACGAACCCAGGACAAAGCGCTCACGATGCGCCAGGCGAGTGTTTTACCACTGCACCACGGGGACTGCACTAGACTTCACGCTCTCAAAATGGGATATTTACCCGAGGGGCCACTATTGCTAGTGGCCTCAACGAGGACAGGAAGCCGGCAGCTTGTCAAACGTCCCCCTCATATGCCCAATATGTATATATATTGATCTAAAACAGCCATGATAATATCACATAGCTTTACCTAACAACTTCTGCCATAATAAATATGGAAGAATGATAATTAAATGGAGCGACTCGTCTCCTACAACACCACCACACAGTTGAGAGGCGGGACCAAAGAGCCACAGCTCAACCCCTCCCCCACAAGCACAACTAGGCCAGTACACCGGTCAGGTCAACAACTAAGCCTTAATCTAACCTCAAAACCCAACACCATTACCAAAACCCTTCACTAACATAACCAACCAGGGAACCCAGCCGCCCCTCTAAGATTAACCTCCCACACCCCTATGTGGCAGTTTATCCCGCCTGTGTGTGGGGTTATGGGGGAAGGGGGAGCAAATAGATCGATTCCTATCCCTGCTGCATGCACTAGAAGTTCCACAGTTGTGGTAATTGAGAGAGAGATATAAGGAATACAAGGGCAGAGCCACCCACTTTTGACAGTGCTGGAGGCAGGCCTTGCTATCAGCTGCTGCTAGAGAGCGCCGGGTTACTCTCTTCTTAGTCTTATTTATTTATTATATATATATATATATATATATATATATATATATATATATATATATATATATATATATATATATATATAAGAAGGTACATTGGGATTGTGAGGATACATAGGATAGTAATTACAATCTTGTAAAGCCACTACTACGCGCAGAGTTTCGGGCAGAAACTATTTATTTATTTTTATTTGTTTATTTATTTATATACAAGAAGGTACATTGGGGTTAACAGAGAATATAGAAATAAAGTTGAATTAACATTCTTGTAAAGCCACTAGCATGCATAGCGTTTCAGGCAAGTTCTTAAACTAACTGAAAATTTTAGATACATTAGGAGTAAAATCTTATTACTATTATTTATTATTTAATCTCAGTACCTGCCCGAAATGCTATGCAATTTGGTGGCTTTGCTAGAATGTAAGAACACCAATGTTATGTATTCTCATAACCCAATGTACATTTTTGTATAAATAAATAAATAATATATTTTGGGGGGGGGGGGGCGGGGGAGTAAAGAGGATGGAGAGGCATAGGTGAAGGAAAGTGTGCAATGTTAAATGGGATTCTTGTAATGTTATTTGTCTATTTTGCATTTGTGCGCCCCTTGAGGGACTTGAAGTAGAGGGGGGTAGAACTAGCCTAAGCTACTCTATCCCTTTGAGATGTATTTATTGCTTATCTCAATAAACATACTTGAACTTGAACTTGAAGGAAAGTATGGAAGTGGGAAATACAGTGAGAGTTATGAAAGCAGGCGGGCTGTCCACCTTGCAATAATGTAATGTAAAAAAAAAAAAATAACAAGTATAATATGTTTGACCCATTTCTCTCCCTGGCTGCTAGAGTTCATTGTTGCTGAATATTTCCTCCTTAACTCAAACAAAATTTCAAAAACTATGTCATATTATTACCTACGATTCGCCATAAATATTTTAAATAAATAGTGAATTTAAATTCAATATTTTAATGTACTTGAATGAAACATCGTAAAATTAATATATCGTTGTCAACCTAAATGATTCTTCCATATGAAGAGTTTATCATAAATAATGAAATAGTGTTTGCTCTTCCGTTGCTAAATTTCCATTACTTTTAATATATAAGCAAGCAGAGAACGTCAAAGCGACGTCATTCTAAGGTCGCCGTGGAGCAACGTTAGAATGAACGTTAATTTAACGTTGAATCAACGTCGATTCCATTAATTCGGTGTTGAATCAACGTTGATTCAACAAATTGCTGTGTGTACTACCTAAACGTTGTTGTTGTTATAGATTCAGCTACTCAGAGCAAGTTCCAAGTAGCACGGGCTATGGTGAGCCCGTAGCTTACCTGGCACAGGAGCGGGGCAAGTAGCACGGGCTATGGTGAGCCCGTAGTGGACTTGCCTGTCACAGGAACGGTGCTGTTATCTATGACTCTACCTAAACGTGTTAATAAATAAATATACAAAAAAAACTATAACATTAATAGTACAAAATATGAACAACTGTCTGTAACAGTTCACTTTTTGTACGTTCAACGAAATAGTCGTTACAAGTACTTAGTACCAAACATTTAAGATAATTGAATATACACAGAATTATTGTTATATTGGAAAGGATACTGCCAGAAACGCTTTGCGTAATAGTGGCTTTAGGTATTGTATGTACTAGCTCTATCTATAAATCTATCAATTTTTGTAAAATCTCTTGTATGTATGTACCTACCTTACCTAAATAAACATTTATTTATTATTATTATTTATTTATTTTATTTATTTATTACAGGAACCATCGCGCCGGCGGTAAGGTTTGTTGTCCTCGATCAGCTGTGAGCTCGCCGTGTAGGGAGCTCGTATTCCTGCTGGAAGTAAGGGAAAGGAATCTTCGCCAGCAACCTTCGTGGTGCCATCAGTACAAGCCTGCACGGTGCCACCAGTACAAGCCTGCACGGTGCCATCAGTACAAGCCTGCACGGTGCCATCAGTACAAGCCTGCACGGTGCCATCAGGAAGAGGAACGTTCAGTAGGCACCGCTGTGCTGCCATCGGCAGGGATAGTCATGGCTTCCTTTTTTGGTCTGGATAAGCTGGTCAAAGCGGCTCGAATTATTAAGAATCACGGTGGGATTAGGGGATCCCTGTATCAGCTCTACAGGTCAGTGAGGCTCGCTAATATTAATTGGTAATATCAACCCGATGGAAGGTGTCTCAGTATCAGGTAGTGGATAGTTTCATGTTTTTAAACACAATATAAGCCACAGTCTCCGTGGTGTAGTGGTAAGACACTCGCCTGGCTTTCTGCGAGCGCTTTGTCATGGGTTCGTATCCTGGCCGGGGAGGATTTACTGGGTGCAAATCCTTAACTGCAACCTCTGTTTAACTCGACAGTAAAATGAGTACTTGGTTGTAAAAATGATTCTTCGCGGCGGGGATCGTATTTCAGGGACCTGCCCGAAACGCTACGCGTACTAGTGGCTGTAAAAGAATGTAACAACTCTTGTATATATCTCAAAAAAAAAAAAAATATATATATTTTTGCATCCTGTTTTTATGCACCTTTTTAATTTCATATATATTTTGGACACTTATTTTAAACAATATTCCATTTTTATAAATTTGAACACTTAAAAGATTTTCATCTCAAATTGGAATACTACAGTATAGCCAATTTAATATTGAAATAACGTTTTAGCTATTACTATATGTAGAGCTTGTACGCATATATTATGCCAATAATGTAAGATTATTTAAGTCATGTAACCCACCCCACTATGTATTTTGTAATTGATTTCTCTCTTAAGAATGTATGATTTTACAACATTTGAACATATGTCTGCAGTAAAGTTACTGTTAACCCTTAGACAGCGGCCTATGGAGAAATGGTCATTCCCACCTATGCACACACAAATACAAAAATTATAACAAATAATTTCTATTTTAGAATTATTAATTTGTATGCAGAATATAAGAAAAGCACAAAAATAAGTGAATATTTATAATTTTACTAGGTGGAGGCGCTCTGCAAGGCTGCGCCTGGCACTTGTCAATGCCTGGTGCCGATGCTTCATGTTTTATCCTCCGATGTTTCACAGATTGTTTTATCACTTGTTTTTTCTTATTTACATCTAGAGAAAGCTTTTATATCAATATTTGCATCATACATGTAAAAACCCAGACAATAATTGTGGGTAAATCACCATATGATGATGACCACATTCCACTAGTAACATTCATGACAATAACTGCATTTGTGCCATGAAATGGTAGCAGGATTTGTTTCATGGGTCAAGGTAAACAGAAATTACAGCCACAAAGACCTTAATATCAATACAGCACTGTATTTGCATCATACATGTAAAACACACAGACAATAATTGTTTAAATCTTCATATGATAATAACTGCATTACCCTGTGAATCAATTATTGACGATAACCGCTGCCTAAGGATTAATAACGTTGATCTTTAGTTACATTACAACCAAATGTTCATATTTCCAGGAAATTTAGTTTTAATGTAAAATATGTGCAAGTGAATTTTAAGTAAAAATGCATATTAGCTAATTAGCTAATTTATTAATTTTGTAAAGTATTATGGATAAAAATGCTCCAAGTGATAAAATACTTATATTTATAGGGTTGATGACCTTAAGGATGGCACGTTAGTGGGCAAGGATGCTCTGGGGAACAAATACTACGAAAACAAGCAGCTTACACTTGGTGAGTAGTTCCTCGTGCCCAAGTGGTTGAATGTACTTATTGTGTTGACAAGTATGAAAACAATTTAAGTTCTTATTGTAACTGAATACACTAATAACATTTTTAATTCTTTTGGGGTATGTTGATTGGTATGTTTGCGCCATAGAGAGGCCACTCCAGACCAACAATCAGAGTACAACTCTTTAACATTAATCTCCTATGACTAATGGACGCCTACTACTAATGCCATTTGTTTCAGGTCGTGACCGATGGGTAATATATCACCCACGGTATGGTATGGATTATGACGGATCTCAGGTGACAGTCGAATGGTACGGATGGTTACACCACAAGACCGATAAGCCTCCAACTGAGGTTAGCTGAAGAGCAATTTTTATTTTATTTTCAGTGTCTGAAGTAATATGGTTGTGATGGGTATACAATAGATCCTCCAAATCTAAACCGCCATACTGCATAATAAATATACCTAAATAAATGACTGATTTTACTACAAAATTAGCCATTAGAAATTTCTATCTTTGTCAAAATTGTTTATTGCCTGTGGTGATATTTGGATATTTGTGAATAGTAATTTCCACCCGATCAAATTTTCTTAAATTTTGCTATTCTCAAATGTATATTTATTTCCTGAATGTGCATTAAATTATAACAGCCCTTTATAGTATATGATAACCTAATTCATTCATCTGTGTCTACCTTGGACAGGCAGGGTAGGAAAGCTACCCTGCATTTAGTAATTTATGTAGAGGATTTAGTCAAATGACAAGTTTTTCTCTGTTCTTATTCTCTTTTCCAGGGCAATGGGTCCCCACTATTGCATCAAAGGGGGAACCCCCTATATATTTCAAGGGTTAAGTGTGTGTATGTTTGACATGTTTGTACAGAGTAACTAGTACTGTAGTTCAACCTAGTGGTAGGGTGCTGCCATGTATGACACGATGTAGTAGTCCTAGTTCTCTGCGATGGTGCTGTGTGTGTCAGGTATGGGGAGTGCACAGGTGTCATTGTTAATACACATCTTATTAACATTCTTTTCTTATAGCACTTTGTCTTTCCTGCAAATACCTCCCCTATCCTTTGAAAAAGGAAAATTGTGCGAAAATAATAATACTGATGATAACACTGAAAAACTCCCATTATTCATCAAAATATTCACAAATCTTTGGCTAGGAGGTAAAATAAAGCATTCTAAGAGACTTTGTAGTTTGTGTAAAGGAAACAACCTCAGTGTTAGAGGGAACTGATGAAAGCATAGTGCATGATAAATACAGTATTAAAGTCCTTGAGTATTATTATTTTGCATTTAGATGCCTTTTAATAATTATTGATGGATGTGATATACATAATACATATCAGTCAGTTTTGGTTCTCACTGATGCACTCTATAATTAAAGGATTAATTATATAGTATAGTCTTTAATGAGGTCCATGGGAATTGAATTAGGTATAGGGGTCTTGACTAAGGAATCCTCTTATTTCATGCATGACAAGCGATCACAATTGGTTTCTTTGTTAGTCTTGTCTCCAAATTCCATACTTCCTGCTTCAGGAATTTGTATCTTGATGGGCATTCTTTAGTTGGTTAATTTGTTTTTTACTTTTCAGGAAGCTCCAATTACTTACAGCTGGGTAAGTGAACATACAGAGAACAAAACGGGGACTGAAGAAGCATACATGCCATACACCACCACCAAGCCGAAAATTGAAGCGTGGGTTCCTCCTAAATGCCAGTAGATTAATATTTCACTTATTTTATCACTCTGAATCATAGTAAAAAAATTGGTGTAATAATTAAGATAAGTATATTTATTAAGGTGATTCTTTAATTTGTGAGCTGTACAATACTGCAATTCTCTTGGACACAGTTTATTTTTAATTTGAGTAAAGTTCCATTTCATGAAGCACAATTGTATTTAGAGATGGCATACTGTGCTCAGGATTTTTGGCTTATCAATAGTTATGGATGATGTATGATTTATTTTGTCAATCTAATGTAAAACTCTTTAATTTTCTTTGTACAATTAGTTTTCATGGTCAAAGAATGTTTGATCTTCAGAAACAAACTTTTTGTTGATTAAATTTTGGTAAATTTATTCACACATCAATTGTTATTGATTCACCTCTTATTTTATTGCATTGTCTGAGAAAATATTTTAGGAATGATGCCATGTTTTTTCACACTTAAAATGGAATACCATTAGCTTGTCGAGTAAAACTGTTCAGTAGTAAGAGAGATCCCATCTTGTGACACCAGGCTTATTCCTGTAGTACTATTATAAATGTATGTGAAATGCTGTGGGTTAATGCAATATAGAATATAAATGAAAATTATATATTTTTAACACTATCCTGGCCTGAGTAGCATCACACGTCTCTCCAATTAGTTCAAAAAGGTTAAAGTACTTGTACAGCATTAAGTAAACTTATCTACTGAAATTCAAAGCCACCAAGTTGATGTCTCTCAAGTCTTTGATAATAAAGTTTTAAAGTGTAAATCACTTTGTAAATATGTATGTAACAATAAAAATATAGAGAATGTCTTGTTTCATTAATATCTCTAATTTTTATATTTGAAATGTACTGAAGTTTTAGGTTAAATAAAAAAAGATTGTCCTGTCAAAGACCTTTTATTTAGATGAATATAATTTTTCTTTAGTATGATAATAAGTAACCTTCATTGACCTGAAGGGCATTAGAGTGTAGAAGTACATCCAGAATGTTTTTTCAGTCTTGCAAAATAATTTGGCAGCTGTAAGAATAAAGTTGAATCTTAAACTAAACTTGAGCATTACTGGTTGTCATTCCTATTCACATCTGGCAGTGCTTAGGAACTGAAATACTGTCACAATTACCTTAAAGCTATTTTGGAATGCCAAGGTCATATTATTTGTCATATTGTAGCGAGTAGATTATCCCAATAATATACTCGCTCCAAACGCATTAGCCTAATGAGAGAAGCAAAGCTCTTCTTGGTACTAATTATGAAACTCAAACCTTTCCCAACTTCCACATAATGTGGTCTAGAACAGACACTTGCGAGATACTGTACCGACGCTCAGTGCGCTCAACTCGCACCAAAGTATCACCTGTGTACGTCTGTATATTCGACCAAATATATATATTATCTTAGTGTTTGTGTTTATTGTCACCATACTTTACGTAACAGTTGAACCGTTATAATATCAATACATTCATTCACAACTCCATTGGCTTATCTCGAGATGATTTCGTGGCTTTAGTGTCCCCGCGGCCCGGTCCTCGACCAGGCCTTCACCCCCAGGAAGCAGCCCATGACAGCTGACTAACACCCAGGTACCTATTTTACTGCTAGGTAACAGGGGCATAGGGTGAAAGAAACTGCCCATTGTTTCTAGCCGGCGCCCGGGATCGAACCCGGGACCATAGGATCACAAGTCCAGCGTGCTGTCCGCTCGGCCGACTGGCTTGATGGGAGTAAGTATACAGGTGCTTGATGTGAGGAAAACATACAGATCGAAACACCTAATCCTTCACTCAAGACAAATACTCAAGTAAACATTCAAGTCAAATACTGACTCAAATATACGCTAATTATAGCATTTGACACACTGGAAACAAAAGAGCGTGATGTATCTATGAGCTACACATGTGAGCAGTCCCCGTGGCGTTGCAACCCATTCTCGCAAATTTAATAAGTCAATATTGACTTATTAGTTGCGTGCATAGGTGACATACTAAACATAATAGTTTCCCTTGAAAAGCTTCATAGAAAACACCGACCTTACCTAACCTACTTAGTATGTTAAAATAAGCATCTTATAGCTTCGTAATTACAATTGTTACTTAACCTATTATAGGTATAGGTTAGGTAATAATTGTAATTACGAAGCAATAAGATGCTTATCTTAACATACTAAGTAGGTTAGGTAAGGTCGGTGTTTTCTATGAAGCTTTTCAAGGGAAACTATTATGTTAAGTATGTCACCTATGCATATATTTAATAAGTCAATATTGACTTATTAAATTTGCGAGAACGGGTTGCCGTGGCGCATTGGTAAAACACTCGCCCGGCGCTTCGGAAGCAATTTGGCCTTGGTTCGTATCCTGGCCGGGGAGGATTGCCTGGGCATCAATCCTTAACTGTAGCATCTGTTCACCCAACCAGATGTTGTTTGATGAGCAAACAACATCTGGTTGTTAAACCTGGTACCTGGTTGTTAAACGATTTGTTGGGTCGTATTCCGGGGCAAAAATTAGGATTAAGGACCTGCCCGAAACGCTATGCGTGCTAGTGGCTTTACAAGAATGTCAGAACTCTTGTATATATAAATAAATAAAAAATTGAGTTCATGCAATGGGACTCAAGTCTGGTCCGTTCTTATTTGACATAATTATACGTCTGGCAGCAAGCTGGCAGGCATTATAATTCATTCTTTCATGCGGTGAAATAACAAGCGGTTTTTTTCTGAAATATAAACTGATATATTATTATATATTGTGTCTATGTATACTTATGCCTGGATATGGTTTGGTAAGATGGTGGTTGTGTTGAGTTAGGCGGCACAATTAGTGGCAGATGTAGCCTCGGCGTTAACTAGCGGCCATACACGTCGTCTGCGGCAGAAACTGCGCGCCCACATGTCCTTGTGGCAGGTCAACACGCCGTGAGACAGATGGTTGGCGGCTGCTGTCGTCTTCCCGCCCACCTTAGGCTCCGTCGTGGAGATGGTGAACTGTGAGGCGGGAGATTTGCAGCCGCTGACTATATAGGAAGTTGAGACTGATGCGCGCGGCGTGAAACTTCGGGCGGTACTTATTCTTCGCGATACATGCAGTTTGCATGAAAGTTTTTCCTCCCGCTGACTGCACTTCGGGCGGTGCAGAAGAGTCAAAATCTGCCTTGAGATGTGCTGCAAGGCAGGAATGTCTGATCTCGAGGCGGGTGAAGAGCCAAGAACCTTCTGGTGGGATGTACCCATGGACGAGTCGAGGACAACAACAATTCGCAAAGGCTCGCTAAATAGGTAAGCCGTTTTGATTACGTTGATTCAGGGAGTGTTAACGGTATACAGGTTGGAAAGGAATGAAGTGTCTGCGGTCATGGTTCACCCAAAGGTTCTGGTGATCGTAGCTCGCCATTTGTCGGGGGGCAGGAGGACTGGAGCCAGGTTCACGAAAGCACTTACGAACGTGTACATCTTTCCTCAATCTTTGACGGCTTTGGTTACATTTATTAAACAGTTTACAAGCATGAAAACTTCCCATTCAACTGTTGTTATTGTTATAAACAGCTTCCTGGGAGCTCATTAACTGTTTAATAATGGTAAACAAAGCCGCCAAAGATTGAGAAAAGATGTACAGGTTCGTAAGTGCTTGCGTAAATGCTTTCGTGAATCTGGCCCCTGGACGTTAGCCTTATCGATGTCCCCATATTAAGTCATCTATACTCACCTTCGCTAGGATGCAACCCACAACAGCTACCAAACTTCCGGGTACCTATTTACTTCTACATGAAAGAAGACTTGTCCTTCCATCGGTCTGTCCTGACTGGGGATCGAACCCCCATGGATCTGATTGGTTGTGAGTTGATGACGTAGACCGCTGCGCAATCCAAGAATGACAGTCCATCCCACACTGAGCACAAAACGAAGTCAGATTCTGGTCTGTCTTCCAGGCTGCCGGCTTAATTTCCTTCTCTGTCTCTTTGCCTCCGATTTCTCGTCAAATGACTCCTGGAACTTAGAGAGACCTTTCTTAACAGACTGCCTCCAGGCTGAACGGTCTGCGGCCAGTGTTTCCCCTCGTAGCAAGATCGATGTCAATGGCTTTCAGGTCTCTCGTGTTCACGCACACACATATATATAGACGCATCACAAACAACATATTATGGGACATTCTGAATGATAAATATACACATTTCTTCCATTACACTTCAAGTTATTACAAAGGTTTACTTTCCTACCAGACTGACGAGTCTAGTAGATTTAATATTTTATTCCTCTAACTAATTAATCCTTGGGTACATAACTATTTGATGAATAGACGATACAATGGGCTAACAAATATGCGAGTGACGTAAAATCAACGCAGGTTCGACGTAGATTTTAGTGTTAAATCAACTCAGGATCGACGTAGATTTTAGTGTTAAATCAACGCAGGATCGACGTAGATTTTTAGTGTTAAATCAACACAAGATCGACGTAGATTTTAGTGTTAAATCAAGGCAGGATCGACGTAGATTTTTAGTGTTAAATCAACACAAGATCGACGTAGATTTTAGTGTTAAATCAAGGCAGGATCGACGTAGATTTTAGTGTTAAATCAAGGCAGGATCGACGTAGATTTTAGTGTTAAATCAAGGCAGGATCGACGTAGATTTTAGTGTTAAATCAAGGCAGGATCGACGTAGATTTTAGTGTTAAATCACCGCAAGATCGACTTGCATTTAAGTGTTAAATCAACGCAGGGTCGACGTAGATTTTAGTAACTTAAATCAACGCAAGATCGACGTAGATTTTAGTGTTAAATCAACGCAGGATCGACCTAGATTTTACTGTTAAATCAACGCAGGATCGACGTAGATTTTAGTGTTAAATCAACGCAGGATCGACGTAGATTTTAGTGATAAATCAACGCAGGATCGACGTAGATCTTAATCTTAAATCAACATAGGATCGACGTAGATTTTAGTAACTTAAATCATCGCAGGATTGACGTAGATTTAAGTAACTTAAATCAACGCAGGATTGATGTAAATTTTCGTGTTAAATCAACACAGGATGGACATAGATTTTAGTAACTTAAATCAACGCAGGATCGACCTAGATTTTACTGTTAAATCAACGTAGTTAGCCCTGTGAAATGTGTGTGTGTGTGTGTGCTGGTGGGGGGCTTGAGTTAGCAAAGGTATCAGGGCCTTGTATCTACCCCAAGCACGCGCCAACAGTCAACACTCGTAAGTTTGTCCTAATGGGCAAGGGGAGACCATTTTTTATTGTTACAGTGTATATATATATATAGCTGACATTCCTGAAGTGTGAGATATGGTGATATATATGTCTTTAATGATTAAAGATATAATTTATTTAGCCTCGTGCTAGCTTTCCACAAATCTCGAAGTGACAGTATATTTTTTTGGTTATCAGGGCATAAGGAATTTATTGCCGTATGAATGTTGCTAAATATTCATTTATTTATTTTCTGTTTTGTGAAGCGGCTGCATTGCTGAGTTTTTGAACTCAGCAGCTGTACATCCCATTTTTGATCCCTGTTGTATTCAACAAATACGACTATTGCATTCTACAAATAAGACTGTTGGATTCTTCACATAATTGTGTATCAGTTATATTTTCATTTCGAATTATTTTTTTTATGTAAAATCTGAGTTTTGTGGGGTTAGTCGTTATTCATTCACTTCTACATAGTTAAAATGCAATTGCTGGTACTATATATATCATAGAATGTACATAATATTTTTCACATTTGATGGTTTTCTAAGTCACTTGCTGTCAGTATCATTACGGAAATGGAATAAGGAAAAATCATTATAGCATTTAT